TACTTAAAGCTATAGGGTATTAAGTATTTTATAAATAATTGCTTTATTTTTTAGCCCTTAATTTTATTATATAACTTAAATACTAACGTAATAGTTTTAATTAATTATTTATATAATAAATTACCCTTCCTTTACTTAATTAAAACTATTATTAGATTTTTACTTAAAATAAACCTACTAATAAAAGATTAAGGCATTAAAAAAATAATTATTAAGTATACTTAAACCCTATTATTTATAAAAAAACCAATAAGCAATTAAGTAAATATTAACGGAATAGTATATAATTTATTAAAAGCTTTTATTAATAAGGCATTAAGCTACTTTATAGGAATGGGAAATTAAAGATTATTAAGATTAGAAATAAATTAAAGATTTAACACTTTTAAAGGTAATTAATTAAATAATTAAAATAGCCTTAATAACCATTCAGCTTTAAGTTATAAATAAGGTATTATATATAAGGATATCCTTTAACTTAAATTACATTTAATATTAAAGTTAAATACTAATTATATTTAATACTTAATTAATTAATAATCCTTTAATTTATAAGTACCGCTTATATCTTAAAAAGAAAACTTATTTAATATTATTAAATATAAGCCAATGTTTAATATACCTTATAAATAGAAAGGGTAAAAAGATTATAAATCCTATATAAATAAAGTTAATTAAATAAATATAAGAAAAACATTAATTATAAAAAGTAACGTTAAGCCTTAAATAAAAGATAAGGAAAAGGGATTAAATTAATAAAACTAAATATAATTATTAATTAAGCTAAAAAATAAAAGGATAAGGATTAAATATATAAAGTATTATAAGCTAATAAATAAGGAAAAAAAAGTATAAAGTTATTATTTATTAAGGATAATAAAAAAATAATTAAGGAAGATTATAATAAAGCTAGGAATAAGGGTATAAATATTATAAAAGAAAGAATATAGCGGATGCTTTACTTTAATTTTTTCTTATTACTTTTATATATATAAGATATAGGTTACCCTTAATATAAGCTAAATAAAGGATATTTATTAAATAAACTATAATGTATCTTAAAGAGAATATATATTACCTTACCTTTTATACTTATTAATTAAAGCTTTTTATATATTATTTTATAATTCTTAATAAAAGGGTATAGGTTTATTAGTTTATTATTATTGCTTATTAATTATCTATTAGCTCCTTTTATATTAATGCTTTAACTTATACCTATTTTATTAATATTATAAAAATGGTTAAAAAGGATATTTATAATTTTTAAAGCTTTAAAATAATTAAAAAAAGGTTAATATTAATTATTATTATACTATTAATATATATATAATTAATAAATTATAATTTAATTAATTTAACTTTATTATTTTAAATTAAAAAATAAATATATTATTCTTTTTTAAAGCTTTTATTACTATTTAAAGTAATTAATATATATTTAATTATAAGTTTAAATTTAAATAATAAAGGTATAAAGCTTAACCTAATTTGCCTTATTGTTTAATTTATTAATTAATAACGCATCTCTCACTTGACCTGGCCACCCAATTGACCTGGCCACCCCAATAACCTATATAAAACCCCATTATTTCAATCTTTAACAACTTTACGAATATTAACCGTACGATTTGATAATTAGTACCTTTGAATCCGTTATTTAAAGGGGAATCCAACGGTATTTTTTACTATTTTTTATAAAATTTATTAAGCAAGATATTAAGCAATACGCTAAAGGAACGCTAAGCAAGGATTATTTTAGCGCTTACTTTAGCGTATTGCTTAATAACTCCGCGAGTAAAAATCGTAAAAATTAGTAGAGGGTACCGTTAAATAGCTCTTCTTATTACGAATCTAATGGTACATTTTATTATTTTATACGATTGATATTCGTAAAGTTATTAAATTATCACGTGATTAATGCACCGACGTTTTTTGTATGGGCTGGTGGGGTGGCCAGGTCAATTGGGTGGCCAGGTCAAGTGGGAGATGCGTTATTTATAATAGGTTAATAAAGCTTAAAGGTTAATATAGGTTTATTTTTTAATAAGAATACTTTAAAGCTAATAATATAGGTATAATCTATTAATGCTTTAAATATATATTGCTGCTTAAATTAAGGTTTTAAGTTAAATTATATAAATAATAATTATAATATAATAAATTTTTAAATTAAAAGATATAATAATAAAAAGGAGTTAATTTTAAATAAAATAAAGGTAAAAAATTATTATAAGACCTAAATGCGGTTATATTATTAAGTAGTGTTTAATTAAGTAATTGGGAGTTAAAGCGCATTTTAGGGTGCTTAAGGCCTTGGTTGTGACGGGGGGTGGTCGTGAGGCCGGGTTTTTGCTTATTGTGGCCACATCCTTAGTTTGCAATTAGGTATTCCAATATCTCCTCTATCATAATTGATCATCCAGTAGCGACCACTTCATGCTTTTCTCTTTATTCCCCTCCTTCCCTAAAGAATCATATATAAAGAATAGTGCCTACAAGAATTATTTAACGAATAAGGCCTTCCTTTTAAAGGTAACTATCCAGTCAAGAAATGAATATTCTATCTGCTTATTTACAGACAGGTGTAATGACCTAAAGAGCCTATAGATTATAAGTAGAGCTAAATGGGCAATTATTGGGCTGTTACAGCTAGCTGTGATCTGGTTATACAGTTTTAATATAGTTTCTTACCAAAACTATATATTGCTTTTATAATCCCTCATAGCTTTCTAATATTAGACTAACCTACTCACTTATACCTGCTATTTAAAGCTATTACCAACCCTACCCCATTCCACCCATACACTTCTAACTTTAATACCTTTACCTTTAAATTTAACACTTCTGCTATTAATAACTTTAACTGCCTTCAACTTTGCGTAAAAAGAAAATTTAAAAAAAGAGGGGGGGGGGAGGGTTGGTTCCAAAAACAAGCCAAGATCATCGAACAACATGGATTCTACATAGCGCGCCATATTAATTTTGGTGGTATACAGTGTAACTAATGTAGCTGCAGATGATTGGTAGTTGGAAACGAGCCGATAACTGCCCATTTAGCTCGCGTTCATGATCATTATTGAGCTTCATAATCCAGTTAGCATGATCACCAACGTCTCACTAAGTTCACCGGGATATTGGAGACTTGGGTAAGGCTATATCAACTTCATAATCACAGTTCTCATCATAGTACATACCCTACACTTCTACTAAGGCAACCCAATAGAAATCAAAACGAAAAGCTAGCGAGCAGTCATTGTAGCCGCTTGTACCTAAGTACTTGCATCCTACGTCCTAAGCTCAAATACCTAAAGGCGGGTTTGACGTGAAGTTTTGGGAAGGTGCTAGGCTGGAGTTTCTAGGGTTTGCTGGGTTAGCATCCAACTTCGGGTCAAGGTAACAATCGACTTCAACTTTCTTACTATCATCTTGAGCTTTAACAGAGTTACACCTCTAGAGAATAAACTTGAATACATAGCACGCACATACCGTTAAGGGATCTCATCAGCCAATGTGGATCTTTTCTCAAGTTAGTTTTCTTCCAACACATCTATCACTTGGCTATCTAGCCTCACCTTGGACGTTCACCTAACCCCAGCTCGTCTTTGAATTCCTGATCGTGCAACATCCTCGGCTTCTGCCTTATGTTTGCACTAGCTTAGAAATCATCTTGAGGCCTTTTGCGCTTCTCACCGGGCCGCACACATTTGCACATTCTAACCCTCACTTACTTGGCATTGCATACCTACCTAGGCTCCTCTTTAAGGTACCAATCGCATTGCGGATGATTTCTACACCATACGCCCTCCTTACTGAGCTTCGACTCATTTATTGACACCACGAGACCACGTGCGTTCTTAGAATGTGGAGGGACTCCCATTACCATTGATTAGCATGTCCTCAAGATCTGGATCTCTGTCATCATCAGCATAATAGAGCATAGACCTGCATCCCAATCCCAATCCGGTCTAACGGACATCACTGGTGACAGCGTGCCTGCGGCAAACTCTCAAAATTCACTTACCAATATCACAGCTACTACAAACAACATGGGCTCCCATGAATCTGTCGAGCGTGCAGCTTCGATAAGTGCACCAGAGTCGACTGAGTTTCATGATTCCGATTTTTCTAGATTTTCAGGCAGCGACATGACTCCAGTCACATCTCAGTCCGCAGATATGTCAACAGTACCTGATACTTCGAACTCAGTCACACATCACACACAAAGTGCTGGGGCACCCAACATTGATAGCCGTCAACATCCTGAAAACGCTACCAGGATTGTAACCGGAGTCCCCGATTCCCATTCCGATGAAACTTTATCGATACATTCGACAATGTCTCCAGAGATGGACAGCCATTCCTATCCCGAAGAAGACAGCCTTTTTGTGTCCGAACCCGACGAAATACATTCAAACCAGCCTCCCCAAAAGCACGACTTACACAGTCAAGTTGGATCGGATAATAATGCCCTCGGGCTCACGAAAGGAGCAGAAACAGATGTTGTAGTAACGACGAAGATTGCAAAACGAAACACCGGACAACTGGCAAGAAACCCGAAACAATGGTTCGCTAGGAAGGCGCAACTCATCAAGCAAAAGTCACGAGAAATTAACGTCGCGAAGAGAAAGCGAATTGGGACAGAATCAAGCATTGGCATTATCCCTCAGAAGAGACTTAAGCGACAGGGGAAGTATGCAGCCAATACTGGTAGGAAGAATAGAGGAACAGACAAGAGATCGAAGCAGGTGATGAGTGCCATGTTCAAAAGCCTAGCGACTAACCCAATCGAAGCTCGCATTGCGCATGGAGACCTGCCTCAAGTAGATTCAATTAAAGCCACCACGAAGGGAGATCAGCTCCAGCAGATTATGAAAAGTCTACCAGAGAATGCAGATGAACGAAGGGCATTCAAAGATAGAAGGGAACTTCAGGAAGCCACTCGTTCATTTGGTCTTCATAACTGTACCGCCATTGATGGAAAGTGGCTGATTAAAGGAATGAAGACTTCGTTGCACGCCCACCAAGTCATTGGAACATCTTGGATGTTGGGGCGAGAATTAGGCGATGACGGCCCACGAGGGGGTATATTAGCAGACGAGATGGGAATGGGAAAGACGTTGCAAACTCTTGCGTGCATCGTTTCAAATCAAGCATCAAAAGACGACCTAGACAAATGCTGTCCGACAACATTAGTTGTTGCTCCAGCCACCGCAATCAAGCAATGGAAGAGTGAAATCAAAAGACACGTTGACTTAAAATCACACACCCAAGGAATATTACATTACAAAAAGAGTAAGGAAGTTCCGTTGCAAGCTTTGCAGAACACAGCTATCATGTACGTATTTGATGAGAGTGATGGCATAAACATACTGACTTTCGTAGCCTCGTCAGCTATCACGAGTTATGCAAGGAGCTGCCAAATAAAAAGTTCATTGCTCAGCTTGAAGAAAAATGTCGCAATTCTCCTGGTGTCGATTACGATGAGAAGTACGACGAGCGACTTGGAATGCTATTCAAGGTGAACTTCTGGCGTATCGTTCTCGACGAATCGCAAAATATCAAGAACCATCATAGCCAAAGTGAGGCACCTAACGGGATTTTTTTCATTTAATGATTGCTAATAGTACGTAGCATCGACTGCATGTCAAAGATTAAACGGACGCTACCGCTGGGCACTATCTGGAACACCTATCACAAACTCTATTGAAGGTAACAGTAAAAGGTGCAAAGATGAAATTCGCGCTAATTTAATCAAGAAGTTTATCCATACCTTAAGTTCCTTAGGGCTGAGATACCCAACGACATGAAAGCGTTCCGAGTTCAGTTCTTGAATGCCGAAGACGAATCTTCCATGGGGCGCCTGCGGAGTATCATGGGGCCACTCATGCTCAGGAGGTAAGGGTAACCTATTCAAAAAGCTATATTAATATGAAATCTAATAGAAGTTAGGACAATGAAAGACACATTCCTGGGACGACCCCTGTACGAGATCCCTAAGCCACATCCCGATGTGAAGACAGTTGCGCTCATACAAGAAGAACGGATAATATACGAGTAAGTAATCTTTAGTTAGACTCCTACAACAACTGACACGGCGAGCAGTACGGTAGAAGGAAGATTCCGAGAAATCATCAACGACATGTTGCAGCGGGGGGATAATGTAGACTTGACGATTTACCTAAAACTATTCTTGCGGCTCCGACAATGTGTAGCTCACCCCTTTTTGCTAGAGTCTACCATGAAGTATGTCTTGACCAAACATAATCTTCGAGACATCAAAGATCGGATAGAGAAAATGGGGGTCAAAGAACCGATTTTCAAGCGGATCGACCGGCGGTGCGCCAAAGAAGCTACAGTTATTGATTCCGAAGGCGAAAATGAAAATCTAAGAAGCGGCTTTGGAAATAGCCAATTCGGCTACGAGTTCGACCTGGGCAAGCAACTGAATCTCGCCCTGGCATCCCAGGAAGATGATGTGTGTCGAATCTGCTACCAGGAACCCGTTGAGCCACAAGTTCCTCAGGTAGGCCTCAGCTTAGATCTGTTCGGAATGACGTATCGGACTGACCATACCGTGTAGTGCAATCATCTATTTTGTGGCGAATGCTTGAAGGATCATGTGAAAGCCGAGTATAAGAATGGACGTATAGTCCCTAAGTGTTTTGAATGTCGACAGCCTTTAGTCGACTATGAACCAATAATGCCATCTGAAGTGGAAGATCCAGGTTCGGAAGGTTCATCGAGAAATGATTCAAGCATTACTATATTTCGGGGGCGCAAATTAGGTCGAGACATATTAAAGAAGCACCCGAAGCTGCCAAAGTCACAATCGATGTTTCTTTCGCAATGCGACCGAGCCCACCCCGAGCCCGTCGTCTCGAGCGCAAAGACAACAGCGGTCAAAGCGATTATTCTAGAGTGGCAGTCTCAAGCACCTGATGACAAGATCATCGTATTCATGGAGTTCAAGGTGACCGGCGCAGTACTTGGGCGCATGTTAGAAGCAGAGGGTATCCCATTTCTTTACTTCTTTGGGGACATGAATTCAAGCTCCAAGGAGCAAGCTATCAAAGCCTTCCATGAAAAGAAAGAAGTTAAGGTCTTGGTAAGTCGCAGAAGATTTGTATTCGCAGACACAGCTAACTGATTGATACAAGATTGCCTCTATGCGGTGCGGATCTGTCGCTCTCAACCTAACAGTAGCCAATCGAGTCATCTTAGTGGATTTATGGTGGAACATCGCAATGGAAATGCAAGCATTTGGGCGGGTTTTCCGCATAGGTCAAACCAAAGAGACCCATTTTCGGCGCATTGTGGCTGATTGTACCATCGATGATCGACTGGTGGCCCTTCAAGAACGCAAGGAAGAGAATATCAGTAAAATCATGGAGTCTGGTGGGAAACAGAATTTGTCACTGGAGGAGACTCTCTCCTTGTTCGGCCGAGTCTCAAAGTCCGAAAACGGAATTTTTCAGGTATTACCTGACGCCGAAGAAGAGTGTAATCTGGATGACAGTGGGGGTGAAGAAGATGAAGAAGAAGAAGACGACGAGGACGATGAGGACTATGAGCCTGATGAAGCTAGAGACACCTAACTGTGGTCGTTCCCGTGGCATTGGCACCGCGCCAACAATTGCTTCTAACTTAGCTGTTACTATAGCTGTTTTATCGTTTGGCATCCCGGCAGCATCTACCATCATGAATCATCCGGCTCTATTTCTTCCCATTTGATGGAAGAATCCCATTTCTAACAGTATTTCACATGCTTCACTTCACTCATACAAGGAAGAAGATACAGAACAGAACGAGAAAAAGAGAGACCGTTTCTCAGGCTGGCTTGGATTTGCATAGATCTAGGCTACTCAACCTGTTTGCTCATAGGCTACGCATTCCATACAACAGACATACAGGCTCGAATGTACGGGTCCATCGTTACTTTGCCATAGTACTAGAAAAGTTATTTAAAATGCGATGATTTTCACCAACCTATGACCCACTAGGTATTGGCCCGTAAGAGTGTCATCAAAGCGATTATAATTATCTGTAGAGAGCCTTTATGTCAAGCGAAGGTAAGCTAATGTCAACTCTTATAGTCTGCAACGATCAAAAGTCAAAGTTGCCGTGACGCAACTCTATAGGTAGGTTTAAAGTCATATACGATAATATGCACTTGGAAAAACATCGGTGTAAAGACCAGCGACCTACTCACTGCAACATATCACAAGATGCAGTCAATGAATAATTTGCATTTCCAAATGCGTCACTGTCAGAACTCAACACCCCATGTCGTACAACTTGCTGACCTTCAATGAATTGTCGGGAGCGGAATCCAATGATATCATGCGTTTTGCCGTATCCGATTCCGATCGGAACTCTCAACGATAATCATCACTCACTCTTGCATGACCAATGCAGATATTATCGCTGCAGCACGATAAGTATCCCAGGATGCCAACCACCTCAATCTATGCACTTGTGGTGGCACCCAAGACAGCCTAACACGTTGCAATGAAGCAGAGTGTTGGATTCTGTATGCAATACGCAGAGACCTGAATTGACTATCTGATTGAGTGAAGTTGTTTTTATCTAGAAGGTTACCCTAAGTTGAGTGCTGGCCGAAGTGGAAGTAGGGTGCCAGTAGTCGTCACGTAACTGCTAGCGTCATCCCAATCATCCAACAGCAGCACTGTCCAACAAGTGGTCGAACATTAGAATTAACAAGCCTCTGTTTTGTTTCCTTGCAGACTCACTGTGTACTTTATGCCTTTGATTATCGCCATCTACTTTAGTGCCCAGGATGTACGCGCTGACGAGAAATTACTGCGTGCTATTGCTAGACATGAGTTGAACGAGCGGCGCTGTCTCATTAACTTTATTAATTTCCCTCCAAGTTACTACGACGAGGTCTAGTGCTCTAGTTGATTAAATGCACTAATCGGCTTGACAACTGAAGAAACGAGATAGGATTGACTGCACTTTATCTAAACGTTATTCCGAATATTCGAGTCCAACTACTCCTGCAGCTCAGCCAGAGACGGGCGGCTCTGGGATCCACCTTGAGCGGGATGTCACAACTCTCCCGGTAGTTCATGTGGTTTAGCTGGCTGGTTGTCTAGCTCATGTTTAATGGGCGCCACATAAAGTTCATGAAGTGGCTGTTGTACAGCCATTGATCCATAGCCCTGATGACTCTGTGGCGGCATCACTACATTCCTCTTTTTCCGCTTCTTCATTACATATAGGGTCACAAGTAGCGAAGCTATTCCGATCACGCCTACACCGACTCCTACCCCAATACCTGCCGCGGCGCCTTGGCTGATTCGGGACGAGTTGTTCGAGGATGGTGATGGGCTGGATATCGAGGGGGCTAGCGAAGAGGAAGAGACGGCAATGGATTCTCTCGTTGATATAAGTTTCGAAGGTTCTGTCGTAAGCTTTGATGTAGTCCCTGGTTCTGTTGGCGTCGCCAGATTGATATTCCAGCCCACGATTGCGATGGCACCGACAACAGAGCTTCGCGCTAGGGTGGTCGTCTCCGTGTACCAGACATCAGAAATCGACGTCGATGTCGAGGCGTATGTCAAAGTCATGCCTGATGATACATCTGACAGACAGTCCCCAACTACAAACCCTGAAATACCATTTGCCAGGTAGTAGCCTCTTCAGATACAAATTTTCAGTGGCAGGACATAAAAGAAAGACTAGGGGTTCGACATACGAGGGACAGCACATGGCATGCGTACTTGACTGGTTTTCCACCGAGCTCACGACTGTCGACCATTGGTAAGGGCATGTGAAAGGTCCTAGACTGAGAGCAGTGTGGTCTTCGTTATTGTCTCCTAGTCGGCCTTGCTCCCACCAGGTTGTCACAGCAGAAGGTGCACATCGAACACTGGAGTTTATGTCCAATCCGTACCCGGGGTCGAATGCCACAAGGCTAGGTCCATTAAGTCGAAAGTATCGGCTACATTCTATCGAGGGCGTGAATATTGTCGTAAGAGGAAGAAAGGAAGTTATTGTTCCACTACTGTTTATTGCTGGATATAATGTCGCCATTTCGTTTGGTCTCAGCTCTTGGGGAATTCTACTCGGCTATGGAATGTATAGCAAACGATCGCCCCGAAAATTTCACCGGGGCCCATACAAGGCACCAGCTGGTATCTTATACAAGAGACGCGTATGCACCTCGTCCCCCTTTAGTCTGCAGGAAGCCGTGCTTGTTGGTTTGGCTGTTGGTATGTTGCATGTCATGCCGGCAGGGGGTGCGTAATATCAATCTTATAACCGCTTTAACCAACACAGCCTTTCGCACTACCTTGTCTCATCTTGTCTCATCTTGTCTCTCGCATGACCACCTACTTTTCCAATTCTTCAAACTGGATGGTCTGAAAATCTCTACAGCTATTAGAAGCGATAAGATGGCTCCTCGGAGAGAGAAAGCAACTGTTGACCATAACTCGCCATACCCTCGTTCCTCTTCATATTTAAAATCTCTGCTTCGGCTTCGAACTGTATTGGTTCTAGCTCTGTCTGTTGTATTAGTCTTGTTAAATTGGACGAGAGACAATCCTATTGGCTTTTACCATCATGTTGGTGACTATGTGGATTGGACTGCTAGACGAGAAAAAGTGAAGGATGCCTTCATCACCAGCTGGGATGCATATCTAGCTAATGCCTGGGGTTTGTCGACGACTGAAACTTAGAGGGATGGTACTGACTATGCTTCAAACCAGGTAATGACAGGTATCATCCGGTATCAGGAGCAGGTTCTCAGATGAGTCCTGACGGACTAGGATGGATTATCGTCGACAGCCTCGATACGATGATGATAATGAATCTCACTGATCGTTTAGCCGAGCCTCGGAAATGGTTGCAACGCAGTCTAACCTACAACCAAGACCAAGACATAAACACATTCGAAACGACCATCCGTATGCTTGGTGGATTACTTTCTGCGCATTACTTGAGCACGAAGCTGCCACACGCTGCATCCCGCAGAGATTCTGTATATCTAGCGAAAGCAGTGGAACTTGCCGACAGATTGCTCCCCGCCTACGAGTCACGCTCAGGTATCCCTTATGCCAGTGTGCTCCTTTCGAAATCACGAGGTATACCATCTCATGCAGATGGGGGATCATCATCAACGGCGGAGGCCGGCACATTGCAACTTGAAATGAAGTATCTGTCTCACCTAACAGGTAATGATACATACTGGCGAAAGGCCGAGAGAGTAATGAAAGTGCTTGATGATAATGGCGCCCAAAACGGGTTGGTCCCAATATTCGTCCATCCAGAGACAGGAAGATTTACGTCGCGGGAAATTCGACTTGGAAGCCGTGGTGATTCATATTATGGTTCGAGTTCGCATGCATTCCAATATTGCAGGACATTGCTAACGCGACGAAGAATACCTCGTCAAACAATACCTGCAGACATCTGGGCAGGAGCCAGTATACCTCGAAATGTGGGAAGAGGCGTTGGAGGGAATCCAAAAACACCTCATCACTACCACCAAGCACTCAGGTCTCAAATTCGTCGCCGAGCTCCCACAAGGGATCGGCGGTCCGTTATCACCTAAGATGGACCATCTCGTCTGCTTCCTGCCTGGGCTCATCGCGCTCGGTGCCACTCGGGGGCATCCGCTTTCTAAGGCACGTACCTGGCCAAGCTGGGACGACAAGAAAGAGAGACAGATGCAGCTCGCGCGCGATCTAATGAAAACATGCTGGGGAATGTACGCAGTGACAAAGACTGGACTTGCTCCCGAGATTGCGTGGTTCCATGCGAACGAGGAAGACCTCCGCCCAGCACCAGGTGATCGACCTCTGGCCGCAACAAAAGACTCGCTAGCAGCATGGAAGAAGGATTATATTGTCAAGCCGCTAGATGCGCATAACCTGCAACGACCGGAGACCGTCGAGAGTTTATTCATGATGTGGCGCATCACCGAAGACCCGGTATATCGCGAATGGGGGTGGAAGATATTCAACGCGTTTGAAAAGTACACTAAAGTCGGCCAAAGGCAAGGCTACACCTCCGTAAACGACGTGAATGCTATTCCACCGCCGCTAAGGGACAATATGGAGAGCTTTTGGTTGGTAGGTCATGATAACATCTCCGAGCATACCCACCTCACCGTCCGCTCCGGACGATAAGAGATGAAGACTGACGTTGAATCGGCTCATAGGCAGAGACTCTCAAGTATCTGTATCTCCTTTTCAGCCCTACTGACTTCATTCCTCTTACCGAAGTTGTTTTCAATACGGAAGCGCATATCTTGCCTGTCATCAGTAAGGTCAAATGGCAGACTGGATGGAGTAGAGCTGAGAGGTGAGGAGGGAGGCATAAAGTTGAGTACTGTAAGAGCTCAGGCGGCGGATTCTTGATTTTTCTAGGGTCTGTTGATCAGAGCACATTCGCAAAATACAAGCGCGTATATGATGATTTAATGCAACCTTATAATTTATGACATATTGTTCGCTGCCTTGACCGTAGCCCAGTGCATTAAGAAGTATCATGTATCAAAAAGCAGTTGCTTATTAGGCTTCTAGAAATAGATGGAGGGGCTTGGCCAACAGGCGAAATGCTCTGGAGATTAGTTTATTTTTAACAGCGCTTCCAAATGAAATCGTTCCAGTTGCCCAACCACCTAAAAGGGGCTCGAAAGATACTCAACAAGAAATCACCCCCCTTGTTATGCTGGAAAACAAGGAGCCAACAGCTTGTTCATGAGAAATCCACTAACTCGAAACAATTGGGCACTCATACAAATCAGTAATAGGCCCACTGACGGCCAACAAATCGCTGGCGCTAGTACTGCCCAATCCGGTAGACCAGCGAGATTGAGATCTTACCAAGCGGGGGTTTAGCCCATCTACTTTGCCAATAGGAGCATGCCAGCAGAACTAGAGGGACAAGTCACCATGGGTATGACAGCCTGCATGGGACCGCAGAAATGCAGGCGTTTCATAGGTGGTTCTGAAGAGATATCTCGCAGCTACCTACGTAACTCACCGCTCTCAGCTATTGATGGTGCAGTAGGTAGGGGCAGAAGTAGGAGGTTGGTTATGTGCGGTGAAGACGCGATCGATACGTGTAGCGGACTGTATGGGATAGGCCAGCAGCGGGTCGTCACCGTACCATGTAAATAGAGGACTCGGATGACGATGAACTGTTTACTCACCGACGTTCGCGTATAAAGACCCCTAGGGATCCCATACCCTGGGAATGTTGGAAAGGTCAGAGGCTGAGCCTTGATACGATCATTACAACTTTTCAAAACTTTCCAACCCAATTCCTTCCCCCCCAAATCCACAACAGCCCAGCAAAATGGACGCTTTCTGCTCGACCATCGCTGTTGTCATGGCCACCGTGGTCTCCGTCTCGGTTGGACTTGCCCAGGGGAAGGTAAGCTCGAATTTTCAAATATAAATCATCGTGTCAAAAACATCTTATTTGCTAACTCGACTTATCCAGGCATTCGGCTCTGGCGCTAGCCTCCAGGGTCTCAATATGCGTTTGTGACCCCTAGCGTCCGGGGCACGAATGGCATTCGCGGAGTCCCGAAGCGGCACAAAGCGGATGATAGAGGCCACCGGTGTCGGATGAAACGAACACATGCCCTCCAAGGCAGCCATCGCAAGAAACAAGTTATGAGCAACACACACACCACCTCAATAGTTATGAGCACACCGCATCGACAGTTATGAGCATTACATCCACACCGATAGTTATGAGCATTGACAGGGGACGACGGAATTGGATTAAGGCATGGCTTAGGTTCCGGAGCAACAAACCAGGTTATGAGCTATGAATATCAATGAGGGATGACGGATATGAATTGAGAATATGCTCGACATTCAAAGCGACAAGGACACGCAATGAGCATAGCATCACGATACCCCTCTTCCCCGACTCACCCGTAGCCCGCCGACGATTAGCTATCCGAGATGGCTGCGGGCTAGTTAGCAGCCTCTACAGGAAATCTCATTATCTGTTCACTGCTACCTACAAATGTCATCGACTGTGATGGTCATATACTTGAGCGTGACTTGTTTACGATACAACCGTGCTGTGATAAAGTGTGGACTATGTGACGTATATAACAATAGCAGGGAATAGTAGTCGCAGAGTTAATAAGACAAGCTATGTCTCATGCGTCTATCTAGGTTCATGTGAGTTGAGTATCTGCCGCTTCCCACCCTGCTGTCTCTTTCAAAAGTTTGCATTGGCAAGTACTACGGCCGGAGCACAAGGTGAGTTGTATGCTCAGTTGTACGCGTGTAGCAGCTGATTACCCACTACATGGATCTAACGATATGGTATCAAGCTGCTATGAGGAAAGAATTAACAAGAATATAATGATTCGCGTATGCTTTCGGTATAAGTTAGTACTAGTGCTTGATATGTGATGCCTAACTTTCAGCACGTTTTTTATTATTGGCTGATCGTGCTTCTGTCATCTCGCGGGATTTAGATGAAGCTGATGGGGGCGGCTGATGACGGGACACGAACTACATCCCCAGTGTCCCCGAGTAGGTCTATTTGGTATTCATTATATCATCATATTTCAGTTCCCTGGAACACTAGGCAACATTGGCCTTACACTTGTAATGTGCAATTGAATTCATCAGCAATTAGACCATACAACTCCAAGCTTCCCAGCACAAGAATCAAACTTGGTCTACACTCAAGCTGTAGCTCCCGTGAGTGTTACAGTATAGTCCAATCCCGCCTGCACGTCGCTGGTGAGACTGAACGGGTCAAACAGAATGAGTGACGACGGCGTGTTGACGATAACGAGACTAGCCTCCTCATTTGCGCTCACGGCGGTCGAGCCAGTACCGTTTGCTAGATCGACGTACCGTGTCGCACCTGAGCTTGTGTTGCGGACAGCCAGAGTGGCTGTGAAGGCCTTGTTGGCCGTAACCTTCGCTGTTACGGTGACGGCGCCGGATATCTTCAGCGGGATAACTAGATCACAGTTAGTAATTAAAACTCATTATAAACTCATTGCCGTATCCCACTTCAACATATTTTCGATCATCATTACTCTCTCATACAGAGCTGAAAATCATAATAAGATAACTACTTACTGTTAGCGCCCATGTATCGCGGTTGTCTGGCCCTCTTGACCTTGTAAGTACCTGTGGTACCCTGAGCGTCAAGATTGGCGTAGTTAAGACTGTTGCGCTGCTGAAGGAAGACCTGTTGAGCAGTAGGGTGTCCAATATCGACGTACGCCATGCGCGCCCAGTAGCGTGCGACTATAGCTTGGGCCGTCGTGCTCGTAGCGATGCGGTCGAGTGAGTGCAGCGGAGTCTCGTTGCTCCCGCGATTGTATTTCCGGATCATGTCGCGAACAGCAGTCTTTCCTAGCCCAGCATACCCGTCAGGGTTCGCCGTGATGTATGACAGGAAAGGCCACGCTTCGTAGTAGTTGCCCGTGTTGACGGAGCCATCGACAAGCACCTGGTACGAGTCACCGATGATCTTGCGAAGATTGATCTCGGTGGCCGTCGCGGACTGTCCGTGTGCGGATCGCGCGCTTGCGCAGAACGTTGATGTCTTGTATGTATCGGCGACCCAGTTCGCGATCGTCTCCCACCAGGCTCCTGTGCGTCCTTGGTCTACCCAGTAGCGCTCCGCATATGTAATTCCATGGCCCCATTCATGTACGGTAATCCATGGATTCGCGAGATAGTCTGGTAGTACCTCGAGCCAAGCCAGGCCAGACGCAGCGTCGTTATGCATGACGCCTGCGGAGCCGCCCAAGCTCCCGACAGAGTAGACATTCACCTTGTAGAATGGTCCATCGTCATTGGCCGAGTTGTACGAGAGACCCGACGAGCGCCAGCCCATTGTGTTTATGTAGCAGTCGTAAGCAGCCTCGAGCATATTGAGTGACGCACTCGCCTGCGTACCACTCGCGCCATATAGACGGAAGTGCGCCGAGTCCGTGTAATAATTGTTCCCTCTTCCCGGTCCAACGTTGGGGTTCGGAGTGAAAGTAGCAGGCGGAGCCGCAGCAGCAACCGTGCCGGTCGCAGCCTGATTCAAGGGCACCGCCGCACCGCAAGCCGCGTGAAGAAGAATGATAGCCGCTGACGAGATGCTCTTAGACGCCATATTGATGGGTTACTCCTGACTACTGGGCCTTTGTTTAGTCCAGCGGCACAGCTCACGAACCTGGGACTATATAACGTAACGGCGGGATAAGTCTTCCCACCGCCGTCCCCGCCGCCCCTATGAAGCTTAGACATGGTAACAAAGCGGGCTCATATCATCCGACGAGGCTTAACGGCCCTTAATATCATAAAAACGTTGACAGGGTCGATGGAGTTGGGCGTCTTGGCAAACACTTGGCTGTCCGTGGTGTAGGACGCTTTCATCAAGGTAGAATAAGTCATCTCGATTGAGCAATCGAGATTTTGCCTATTCCGCACCGAAAGAGGCTAAAATGACCGTTATACGTGGAACCGGCCTGTGTTCAACGTCGTATTGTTGTCCAAATACAATCATAAAACCTCGTAGTCCATCTTATATTCGTGTCTATTTGTTGTAAGAGGATTCGTCTGCAACCCAATATTAGCATCAACTCTTCTAGACATACACAATAGTCAAAGTCAAGTGCAGAGAGATGTCGTGAATGGCTCAGTGAAAGATACGCACACAGATAATACAACAAGCTCGCCATAGACTGTTAGCGGCAGGAGATGGCTCCGTTTATATATATCCGACAAATTATAGGCCACAGGCAGAGTAAAGAAGCCAGAAACAGATGTAATCGCCGATTGGCTAACTCCATTTCCTTATGAAAGCCCGGGAGCAAGAGGTTCACAACCCAGATCGATTATTAAGTTAAAGTCTGTCTTGTTAAATCAATAGTCTATATACTTGGCAACAGGCATCAGAACGTACACGAAGTTGTCTACCAAGTATATTTGAGGATGCCAGGTATATACAGCGTAGTCTGAGCGTAGTTTACCTGGACTAGGGGCGGCCAACTGGGCGGAGTTCCGCCTAAGAATCGGATCTAACAGCAGCCCTTAGCGGTCTTATTAGTGCTTACCTCATCGAACAAACCTCAATGGGCGGAACCCCGGGGCTCGCTTGCGACAAGGGACTTGCAACATGAGCCGCGAGGATTAGTCCTCAAGTTCTCAACAACGTACCTACGACAGACTAGTATCGAACCTCAACGCCGATGGCAAGATATATCGAATATGCCGCCGTCTCTGTCATCCATAGAGCGTAACAATCCGCCACCTCGGCGGAAATCGGTAAGTCGAGAGCCCTTTTTACTATGACTGGTTGGTGCGTGGTACTTTATCCACTTCAATTCAATATGGAATCGAGATAATAACAAGAACGTTCAAGTGAAATATCAGCAGAGTCTACATACCTTACCTATGATCTTTTATTATACTGACATAACCGCTTCCTAGTGCGCAGCATGCATCAAAGCAAAACGGCGGTGCGACCTGCACCAGCCCTCCTGTCTGCGCTGCACGCAGAGGAGGATCGACTGCTCCTATCCCGCGCCCGCAGGGACCCATCCCAAACGGCGTGGCGACACATCTTCGTCTCCGTCACAGTCGGAGACGAGCCCAACTGCGCAGGCGCAAGATGAGCTCATCATGAAAGACGTCGCTTTGACAGAGACGTCTACATCGTGGGAGTCGAGCTTCGACTTCAACATAGATCTATCTCCAGCATACACTATTAACGCCTCGTGTGCGCCATTCCCGAACATCTCATTCGATGAGCCGGCGTTCCATGGGCTGGAATTCCTCGATGATGTAGCGGATACGCATAATCTAAATCCTATGATGCCGACGCCAGCGCCGACAGTAGAGCTAGGGCTAGAGGACCCGATGCCCCTGATCCAGCGGCCTAAGTCTACCGTTCCGAATTTTTCCAGGATAGATCTCCTGCGCGCGGCATCGGAACTGACGGACAAACGCCTGCGGTACACCATCGATGTGTACAAGAGCGCGCCGGAAGAGATGGTTCTTACGGGCGGGACCCCGTGGAGTCACCCGGCTCTCTATCAAGACTCCATGCCCCTATGTTTAGAAGGTATACAATCCCCTCACCTTTTTTCAATTTCTACAGTGATTAGCCCTAGCAATCGTAGATCAAATACCTCTCATAGATGCGTATACACCAGCGCTAACGAGCCAACACAGACGCCGTCGCAGCCAGCGGTCTGTACCGCGCAAAGAATTCCATCAACGGGCCTATGATCCAGCGCATCGTCGAGCTGCGGTACCGCCGCCTGCTCGCGGCGCCAGTCCCACCAAGCATACCAGAGCAGCTGGCGCGCACGCACGCGATCATCCTCTACCAAATCATGCTCTTCTTCGACGAATCGTGTCCGTCGCGCGCTCTATCGCAAGAGACGGTCTCAGTACTCGTAGACTCAGCGATCGCGCTCCTCGAGCACGCGGACTACGAGTCGCCGGACTCGGACGCAGACAGCCCGTCCTCCAGATCCATCCCTCTGTACCCGCTGACCGCGGCCCGCGCGCTCTACGCGGACTGGGTGTTCCAGGAATCGCTCCGCCGGACCCTCCTGATCGCCTTCTTGCTCTCGCAGATGCAGAGCCTCTTGCAAGCTGATTTCTCCAGCTTCATTCCGCGCCCCTTCGACGACGCCTCATTGACAGCCGAAGAAGCAGAGTGTTTCGGGCCCTCGGATGCAGCGCCGTCCGACGCGTCCGCATTAGCAGTGATCCGGCTCGCGCTGCAAGAACAGCAACAACAGCAACAGCAGCAGCAGAGCTCATCTAAGAGGTGCGACCCTAGTTTGTTGCTCTGCCAGAGCTTCACGCTGTCCGCGCACTTGTGGCACGCGCGAGATGCGGTCGATTTCGCCGTTGCGTGGCGGAATAAAAAGCATCTCGTCGTGAAGCCGTTTAATATATGGAAGCGAATCGATACGGCGCAGGTGGATGATATCGATAAGTTGGGACGTATGATTATGACTTCGGGCATGGGAATGGAGGAGGCGAAAGGGTGGTTTGCGTCGAGAGGGGGGAGTCTGTGAGACGTGTTGCATCAATACTTATGTGGGAACAGGCATAATTTAGGGTAGAAAAGTGCCGTTTTCATCAGTGGTCTTGGATATTGTACAATACTGGTTACGTGCGTGGCGTTCAGGATATGGAGCTTGACACAGATATACATTTGACTATCTCAACCAGTAGACACGACAGTGCCATTGGCCATATATCGGCTTGGGTGACTAAACCCTTCATCTCTTATCATTCTCATAATCCGTCATCTCGTGTGAGCATCCCTACTGCCAGCTCAATGCTGTAGCTCTAGCAGAAATATTATCAGCTTTCCAAAGCAGGTTATCCACCCGTGTCAAAATATACAAGAAATTCTTCCAATGTGCAAAGTGATACAAATATTGTAAATGCGAAAAATTTGGGGGGTATCACACAAAATGTCGCTTGCTAAATGCTGAGAAAGCATTGCATCGCTCTTTGTCTTTCACGTAAATATGCAAAGTCTAAGCACCGCCCACGCCGCCATCCTCTAGACTCTCGTCCCAGCCGCCAGTCGAGAGAAGCCATTCCCCAACTCTCTCTTTGACACCTCGCATGCTGTCGCCAAGCGCGCCCTCCCATTGATCTTGAACGACGCGAACTTTCTCTTTCAAATCCTCTGTCAGCCGCTCGCGCTCACCTCTTCGCTCTTCATCAATTGCACGAGCATCATGATTCTCAGCCTCATTGACTTTTCCATGTGCAGTAACAACCGCCTCCTTGACCTCGTGCAAGAGACAAAGCAGGTTCGTCTGGGACTCAATAAATTGATATGTGCTCTTTTCCGCGTGCAGCAGCAAGCTATACAGATACTGTAGAGGATGCCGATGATACGAAGGGCTCTCCTCATATTCGGCGGGTGGAATCTGGATGCGGAAATGGGGGTCAATAATGGCCGGGATCTTGTCAAGCAGGCGCTTTAGTGGAGGCGCAATATCCCAAAATGCATTCAATTGCATATCAACACCGCGGGTCACATTCTCCTCCACAACATCCCGAAACTCCTGGGTCCGCTGCAGAACCTCGTTTGTATATGCGGCCTGTCGCTTAGCCGCATCCTCGGCGAAGAAAGCTTCAGCATTGCGTAGCTTCTCGTCATTGCCCGACAGCCGATACGGCATAATCACCATCTCTCGGTAACGATTGTTACGGTCGCTAAGTAGTTCATATATCTCGCGGTGTAGAGTCTCACGCGCCTCAAAGATCCACTTGAGAAGGGTAAGTTTTTCAAGAAGCTCGGGTTGTTCGTCGCCTTCTTCCTGAGGCATATTAGGGTCTGGAGCTTGCGTCTCAACGAAGAGCCGTGAACGAAGCTCATCGAAGAGTGTGGTAGCTTTCGCGATACGCCCAGTAAGAAGATCATTTAGTGGCATAACAACTGCATTTTGGAACTTCTCGAACTCTTTCCTCTCCAGGTCTTTTGACTGCGCCTTCTCTGATTCCTCCGAGTCGGCCTCAATCGCTGCAGCTTCAGCATACGACATGTTCCCGGAACTAACCTCTTGCTGCAAATTCACACGTAGCGCCTGTCGTCTTGCCGCGGCAGCTTCTGTGGCTTGGTCGCGTACCTTCTGGCTGTCGAGCGCAAAGCTTTGTTTAGTTGCCTCAACTTCACTTAGGTCACTAACTGTTCGTACCATAGTTCGGATCGCGGTTAGTTCTGGGTGATTGTTGTTCACCGCTGGGTGGTGACGAGGATAAGGTGGAGGCAATGTGACTAGTCGGGATACGTCGAGATGAGACGGAGATGGCGTATTGGGCGCTGATGATGCAAGTGATAACAGAGACTGGCGAAAAGGATGCGGTGCTTTCGAATGCTCCGATTCATGCCAACCAACTTTCTCGGGAGGGTATTCGTCGGCAAGATATCCCTCGCTAGAGGCTGATGGTCCAGAGACACTCCCAGATGTATCTTGCCACTGCAATGCCTCTCGTGCCTCTTTAGGAACGCCCATATATTTTGATTCACGTTTTGATCTTTCCATCCTGTTGCCTTCACCTGTGGAATCTGACTCCCACCAACGACTCGCAGGTCTACCCCGAGAATCCGCTTCATCACGAGCGCTCACACTCATGCTGAGAATTGGCGAAAGCGATGGCATATATTGATTTGAGGTCCAATTTGTGTTGATTGGAGGAGGCCCGCTCGGCGACATAGGAAGACTAGCGGACCCTGGTGCAGAACTCGGTTGTTTTTGGTCACGGGGATTAAATGTCATAGAGTTTCGGTTTGACTTGGTCTCAGATATCTGAGGGGTCCAATCGCTTATCTGAGAGCTATTCGAGTCACGTCGGTCCTTCATGGGACGGAACAGATCTCTAGTAAGATCAAAAATCTCAGACCCCATCGCGCCAATAGCTGATGAGTACCTCTCACGTCTCAACCTAGATTCATTGACAATGAAATCAGCAAACAGCTTCACGCGGTCGGCGTCCGTTTTTGCAGAGGCTTCTTTTTCAGCAAAAGCTTGGAAGCGCTCAACTGTCCCTTGACAAAACTGCTGAGCCGTTTGACTCACGACAAGTTGCTTCGTCAACGGCTGCGATGTATACGGAGTAGAGGCGACACTATTGATGGAACTGTAAATTTCTGGCCGAACGTGTGATGAACTTGAGACTGAACGGCTCTGAGGAGGCGGTGTGGGTAGGGCTTTTGGAGCTATAGCATGCCCCGTTTCGATAGGAAACGGTTTTTGCGGATGTGGAGAGAAGGGGGGTGTGGCTGACTCCATAGGCAGTCCTGCCGAGGCTCGAGGCGTCGAATTGCGCGAATCGGCATTGTCGTCTGAAGACTGAACTAGATCAAGTACCGTCTTTCCTCCACTTCGCGGCGTTCCACGATGTACTGAAAGGCGACGATAAAGGTTTGAACCTTGGGGTACCACGATATCTGATAGTTGTTGTGGATTCGTGCTTGATTCGGCCGTCTGCTGCCTAGTTCGGCTTTCATTTCGCCTTTCTCGAAGGGTCTTTTCACCTCGAACCGCACCGGTTCTGTTTAAGCCACTGTTAGGACTCGCACCAGTAGCCGATTCGGGGACACCCTGTGTCTGGGTGTTACCCAGGTTAGAGGTTTGTAAAGTCAATTCGGGCTGGTTCGGCGTTGTAGTACGCTGCTGTTGATGCTCTTCATCGACCCAATTAGCCGGCGTTGGAGGTACAGGTCCCAGAGCGGTAACTCCACCCGGCGGTGGTCGCCTCGTAGGTGGGGACGTGATGGGAGGATTCAGTGCGTTTGGTCTGTTTAGGCTCTGGGAGCGAGATTGTGAAGGAGGGGGCCCTGGTGGCGGAGGTGGAAGTGGCATAGCCGGATCCCATCTTGATTGCGAAGCTGACCTAGATCGAGCAGAAACAGGCGTTTCTACTGCGCTTGCAGAGGCAGCTCTACGAGCATTGGGTGGTATAACTGGGGTAAGACTATCGACTGGGGCCGGAGCGGGGGGTATATTGATCATCAACGGTTGCGGCCGAGATACAGAGGCCAGTGAACGGTTGTCTGGACTAGGAGTCGGTTCTGTATGATCCCTATCCCTCCGCCTCAGTGTGGGCAGCCCGAATCGCCTATCCCGAGAAGCTCTTCTTTCAGACCCTGGCGGTGGTGGAAAATTCTGGGCTGTTGCCGGCTCGGGCGACGGTCGGTGGTTGCTCGATGGTATACGAACAGCGGACGTGTTTGCTGGGGGCGTCTCATAATTGGTAGGCGCAGGTCGTTGACTACGCGGAGGGGAATATGGAGGAGGTGGTGCTGGGGCAGCAGCTGTGACTTGGTTAATACTTGTTTTGTACATTTAGGAAATGCGCAGTATGTTACCTGAGGAGTCACGAAAAGCCGACTGCGCAGGATATTGGTGTGTCCGCTCCGGACCGACGGCAGGAGAAGGAAGCCATTCTTGAGGATTATATGGCTGTATCGCACTAGCTGGCGCTGGAGCGCCGAACGTATGCGAAGAGCTAATTGTCGCAGCAGACTGGGGTGTGTTCAATTGGTTGTTGTGATAGCCCAGCGCCGAGGTCAGCAATGGATTGAGGGTCTGGCGAAGTCGTGAACTACCATCACGACTGGTACTCATTTTTGCTAATCAAAGACCCTTAATCCCAAAATCTGTGCAACTAAAAGTCGCGGTCGAGCAACGCGAAAGTTGTGGTATTAAGCTTTGTGTGTAGTCTGTCTATTTCGCGAGACTCTATTTCGCGAGACTGTCGCACCTCCGTTTCACAACTGGGCTCGTCTTTTTTGCCTTACGCAGTTCCCTTCGGGCACGGTAGGGTGGACGATATCGCCAGACGCGCCCATGTCCCGACAACTTTCAGAATCGAGCCGTGACAGAGGAGGACCAAATGGCTATATGTTGTCAGGTCGCGGCGATTGTGCTACGGCAAGTGATTCGTTTCGCCAACTGAGTATTGACGGAGACGTATGAGGGAGCATCAACTACGATGTAGTAGGTAAAGTACTTGAACATGATACTGGAGTCCGGTAGTGGGGATGCCCAATTCAGTCTCTTGGCAGATCTCTGGTGCATTTAAACCTCCTGCATAAACCGGCGTGAGCTTTGCAGAGGGAACCAGTCCGCTTCGAGACAGGAGGCCGGTACGGTACGGTACTGAGTAAGTGGTACACCACACTTTGACCACACTACCTGCTGTGCTTCGTAGGTAGCCGTAGGGAACAGCGAGGGGCTGGGATGTTTGGAATCTCTTCGATCAGCGTTGGGACCTGGACCAGGACCAGGGCAGAGGAATTCTCCCTACTAAAGACGGCCTGCCTGTTTAGGCCATGCTACGTTGGACGTGTACACTGGCTCTGCACTGGGTAATGTACTACAACAGAGAATGGGATCCGCGGATGTGCAGTATTTGCGTTGTAGTGGATGGGAGGTGTATCACAAGATATGCAAGGAGACACAGACGCAGGTATTCAAGGAGCGCACCACGATACACACAGCCAGCTTGAAAAGAAAGACGGCCTTACCAATGCAAGCAGAGAGCATTATAGTACGCCCTAGCGCACAGGCAGCATAGATTGGTAGATTGAGCGGCTCTCTGAGTCGTCGGCTCTTGTTGGCTCCCTGCAGGGTGATCAGCCAAAACAGATGCCAACCACCACTTACGGTGGCCGAAAGGAGCGAAGCTAGTGCAGCGTCTGAGGCATGCCGCATACTTACGGCCGGTGGTTTACACTTCCTAGTTAATAATTGAGGTACATGTGGTCAGAATGTGGTGTGAGTAGGAAGAGGCGCGGGACGACGTGGGAGCGAAGCGAAGAAGAGAGGCCTTCGCGGGAAAGGGGACCCTCAACCCTGTCGGGTGCCGTGCCGGCGATTGGACATCGTCTAGGCATGGCGACAGGGGCCTCCCCGTGCTATAGGCTGCTATAGGCTGCTGGAGCTGGGGCCCTCGCCCCTGTATCCGGGCCTCAATTGGTGCGCCGCCGGCCCCTCCCCGCCCCCTCGTCGTGTCTGGCGCTTACACCAGGTCCGGGTTCTCTGTAGGTATGTACTACCATATGTACAGCAGCTATCGATGCAACACCATGACACCCTCTTCATTCAAGGTCTCTCAAGCTCGAGTGTGACAAGTCCCTCTGTCCACCTACCAGGACTCTCTTCGAACACATTTCCACGCCGTCTTACCCATGGGAGCTGCATTAATCTGCAGCTGGCAATAGACTAATTCGCCTCAACGCTCTCGTGCTACTAGAGCCGAAAAAAAAAAAAGCGCTGTCAGGTGTCACGATCTCCTGCAGTCAGAATGCTTGCCGTACGGGCCGATGCAGGGTCACCCATCTCTACTATGATCATCAATAAGCATAATTCTAGGAACCTACCTTTAGTAGGTATGCTGCCTAGGTAGCCTTACGCAGTAGGCATTAGGTATATGCTAATAAGAGTGTCTTACTCCGGCTCTACACCTAGGCCGAATGATATCTCGAAGACGGCGAAGATGAATGGCAGATATACCCAGCTGCAAGTATCTAGCTCACCCGTTCTCATGGGAACATGTGTTAATAGCACTGCTTACACCAGCCAATAGTCTACGATATACTTGATACCCCGCGCATTCCAGTCCGCAACGCTTTCTGGCTGTCCTGTGGACCAGATCCGAAAATAGAACAGAAAGTGACGGAGTGCCCCATCTGCCAAAGCTAGTACTACTAGGCAACCGAGAGATACCGACTGCATTGGTGAATCCTCTTCTGCATGGCGGTCAGATCATCGACGTCGCATAGTCAGTATTTACCGAGTCAGGTGCCAGTGATCCCTTTATTAGTCACGCACCACTGCCAGTCTATTGTAGGCAACGTGAGACGAAGTGTGGTGGTACGTGCGCTTCAATATAATCAAACGGCGTTTGACGGCGCATGAAGTCCCCCAATTCTCAGAAACGAAAATAAATTCGCGCTGAAGCTAGGCCGGCCTGTTTTCCGAGGCCATCCCATCCCTTGTGTGCCGGCCGTCTGGGTCTGTTCTCGGTGGACCACGCAGCATCCCGCCGGGTAGACTTGCATAGTGAACCAAGCTTTTGAGGGCTGTCTTACATGACACTAGTAACTACCGGAGGTCTTGATATGAATAGCTACCTTCGCAAGGTAGTAAGTACTAGGCATAGAAAATAGACATGAGAAGCCAGGCATTGATGCTAATTGCGTATGACGAGGGCCAACCCACCAGTGTTGCTGAGTGTCGACAGTGAGTGTCCGTGCTCCTCTCTTAAAACTGCTCATTCACAGCTGCATACCAGCGAGCAGGGTAGACCTCGTCAACATAAGGCGAGATACAGCCCTTCAGGACTATACTGATAGATAGATAGATTTAAATTTAGCTCCTAGCCGCCTACCCCCAGAGCGCCCCGCAAGACTACCGAAGATGCAGAGTGACGATCTAGCCCTACGGTGAACCGGCATGGGTCAAGCGCGACTTCCTTACCCGCGTCGAGTGTTTTGAACCAATAGACTGAGTCTCCAGTAGCCCTTTGAATGGAAGTTCTTAGAAGAAGGGTTTAAGATGTAGGGCAAGTGTACCTGGTGTTGGGATAGAAACCCGGGGAAGTTTCACGTTAATAGATGTGATATCGTCATATTCTACGCTAAACTCAACATTCCAATAATGAATCAAGACGCACTTTAGGTTGGTTATAGACATTTCTGAATATTTCGATATCTAAAAATAGAAAACCGATAAGATATCGCGGAATACGCTGTGACAACGTCGATCTGCACAGATCAACTTCAATATCAACGAAGATAGCAACTCCCGCACATAAAGGGCTCAGTGTGTATAACCAAGTCTCGTATATCTTCGATACCGCGTAACCTTTTAGGGTCAGCTTCCCAAGAAGAATGAGGGCATTCAAGCCCCTTCTGGCTATATACACTCAGTTTGCTTGTCCCTGACCCCCTAGTTCCTCACAGCTACATTACATAATCTAGCTTCATATTGCAGTTGAAATCGAGGGGTGGTAGGCATGGCGAGGACGATCCATCGTTGGATATGACCTCTTCAAACACCCTGACATCTATTCTCTTGTCGTGCCACTCTTACCCGTGGAACATATTAACGTCTAGTTTTCGTATTCTCCTACCCTGTCGAAATCATTGCTCCCAATTATATCAAAGCACCGACAAGCTCGACTCATAGACTGAGGGTCTACAGCGTAGCATATCATGAAGTGGCCGGAGACTTTAAGGTCCTAAAATAGTCTCTGCCAATACAAACCCCTATCTCAGTAGACGACTTGACGTATGGGCTTAACAAGTCACACGCCTTGAGTGCCATAAATCAACGTGTCAACGCAACTGCTGGCTTGAGGCATGCCCGAAAATTTTACAGTCAACAGGTAGTTATTCCCGTCATCTTGTCACGGAACAAGTAATAGGAGTGTAGTTCTATAACCGCTACGCTACCAAAAGGTAAACGACATACGTAACCAGGTCGAGACCCCGTGTCTCTACACTCAACTATAGTACTGTAGCACATTTCGTTCGCCGGCTTACTACCGTCATCTTGTAGTCACAAGTCACCTTTCGTATCCCTTCTCAGACAAACTTTCCTCTGTTTAGCGTCATGACTCAAATCGCGCTCGGTTTCCAGTTCTGCCTTGCGGGCCTCCTTTTCAAGCCCATAGTACGATAGTGGGAGGACTGACGACTTCTATGTGTGTATCGAACTTGAATATCGAATACTGTCTATCACAACATGGACCAGAGCATATCCAGTGGCGAGAATGAGGGTCGCCGGAAAAGAGAACCATACCCAGCTGATTTATGTGCAGATAGTGTAGTCCAAAACCGTTCCGTAGGCTTTGCTAGCTTATCCATGGCTATTATTCCCAATTTCTCTAATGGCGCTAGTCGTTACTGTTGCAGTATTCTAGATGTCCGTCGAAAGTATGTCGAACGGATCTAGAAGATCCGGCGTCGAATACCAGGGCAACCCTAGCAAGTGATTGACCCGGGAGTCTCCCAAGTCCCAAGATACACCGCCTTACCGCTTTACACCCTGTGGCTGAAAGAGCTGGGTGAAGATATCCCGCAAATGTATGCGGGGCTTGGGTATAATTCACTCTAACTCCATCAATGTAACATGGATCGACATAGGATCCATAATGAGAGCGAGGAAGCCCGAGTGCCTGGTTCTTCTGCAATCAGGCTAGATCTGTCTTGACGAGAGTCTTCTGCAATTTTCCATTGCTAATCGATCAACTGGAGTATCTGACACATGGATAAAACCAACAAGCCACATGAATATGGCTGAATTGGTTGATAAACTCTATGGATACCCCATCACCGAGTTTTGCAGGTATATTGCAAATGTGAACACAAATCAGTCCAGAGCCAGAGCTTGACAGCACAGCAAGAGTGTCATCTCTGTAGGAAATTATTTGAGTTGTTCGAACCCACGCTTCCACTTTTGAATCGGCCTTAAAACATAGTGCATTTCTTATAGCTTGTTGTGCAAAAGTGCTTATTCCCAAGGAGAGTACCAGTTCTGTAGCCGCTATTGTTGAAGGAGACTGACTCAATCAGCTAAATACCAGTCCGCATAAGAGTGTTAAGCTTATAGTCGGTATACACGACTTAGATAATTCAACAACACTATGGTCCCCAGCCAGCTTGGTCAAAGACTTGCAATTGATATAGAGCCTTGAAATCAGGACAGTCTTGATTGGCCAATACCTGTTGGCGAATTAGCATTTCTATTCAATATACTATTAGTTTGTGAATCGACTTAGTAGCCTCTTCAAGAATAATTAATAGTAGTGATCTGATGATTGTTGCCAATAGGGCTACAATGGCACTGATCGTAGCTACTTTGGCTGCATTTTCCCATCATATCTGGCAAGGATTGCTACTATAACGCGGATAGGGATATGGCAACTAGTAAAGCCGCAGTCTCACAGAACTAGGGAACTTAATGATTCTAACTGGCAGCTCTGCGGCCGTAGTCTTTTCTCTGCACCTTGGATGTGGTGATATCCGATTTCTGGAAGCTGGCTCCGCATCGGTTGTCCCGACGTTGCCGCCCGCGGTAAGACTGGCATACTCGCCTTGTAAACGGGTGGCCTCCCCCTGTCTAACGTCTTGTCTCGAATCAGTTGTAGCGATTTCAAGCATGAACGCATCGAGCTCGGTCAGGCCAAAGTTCAACTCAAATGCCTCTATTACAAATTTAACATCCCTTTTGCCGGGTTAACATAATGCAGAATGTCAATGTCCCAAGGTCTAAAGAGAAAATAATCTAGGAAACATTGCAGGACAAGACTTCGAGTCAGTCGCTCGAACAATAAGAGCAGTAATACAATAATAAGCAAGCTTACACCGCTTCCTCACCGCCCCCCCCCCCAAGTCGAATCCTTCTAATACACTGTAAGAGAGTGTTACACACGCTTATTCCACACTTTTTGTAAGCCTTTGTACATGCGTAGCCTACAGTTACTTCAGGAAGCACCAGTTAAATCTGCGGTCAAACGTTTGATAAATTTGCAGTTGTCGGGCTGTTACAACTGCTAATCTCCTGCCGATACGGATATTGCTCCTCACTACATCGATTATTCTTTAGCCTTAGTAATCTCGAGATACTTAGCCATTGACCTACTTATACCTACTACAAAGCTACTTCAAAATCTACATGCATATCACTAACTATTACAGCCAGTATCAACATCCCACATGACTAAGCTGACCCTAGATAAGGAAAGGATTTGCACAAGGCAATGCATATATGGAGAGACTGTCTTGTTGTATCTAGTTTCTCTTTTCTTTCTCTCTTTGATCTTGGTTACCTCGTCAATAGAGCATTGGCTGCTGCTGCCGGCTTTGTCCCAGCTTTTCAGCACGCTTGCCGTGGCAGTAGTACCGATTTTCGTTTAAAAGTAGTGCTCGAGGCCGTGATAGGACGATATTACTCGTTGAGGGGGAGTCCCCTTGAGACACTTCACTGAAACACAGCATCATATCATAATCCTTCGTGCATTCGGGATTATGTTAAAGCGTTCGGGCTATTAAAGGTTGATGGTAAATGAGCAACTGCACACCGTCCGTAGCATCACTGCCTTTCCATTCTCTTCGTCCTTTTCCCCTTTGCTAGACATAGCCGAGATAATTATCACCCATACGACCCCTTACTAATAAGTCATGCACCCATGGGCTGAAGAGGCTTTTAACATCACAACAAGTCAGGCCATGCAAAATGACCAACTTAGGGCCGGCCCCAACAAACTTCGAGTTGCCGAGTAGCTGTGTAGAGGATCTCCAAAGCGCATATTGGTACCACTTGGCTGCGTCGACTGGCTGGTTCCTTGTTCAGGGCCCAGAGGAACAGACGACCTGCTATCCCAGTGGTTATGCTGCTTTAAGCTTGAATCAGATATATTATTCGCCAGGAAGATGTCCTACTGGCTTTACCCCTGCTTGCGAAGCCCATCAAGCCGTAGGCTCTCTTACGGAGACCATCGTGACGTGTTGTCCTACGTATGTGCTGTTTGGAATATTCTGTCACCTATTTGACAAAATCACTCACCATTTGCGTCATATATCGCGAAATGCTAACTTCCATCTGCAATTCAGACAAAACGTTTACTCCTGTCAGACGAACCCTAGTGACAAATATCCATGGCAATACACCCTTGGTTGCGTTTCCACGGTCCAAAGCGAAAGTGTATATACATTCAATTCCGTCTCTGGTGGGGTGACGTATCTCAAGACCTCTACTCTCGTATCCAGCAACGGGTTCAACGCATACTCTGTACAAATTCGGTACCAGTCTACTGACTTTGTCGCAACTACTACATCCACCGTGAGTTCTAATGTGCTCAGGTCTATAATCCGTCATTCAAAGCTAGGCTGCTTACAACCCTTAACTAATCAACATATGAACAGAATACTATAAGCACAGGGTCAACCTGGGCGACAGCCATATCTGCGATCCGTCCAACCAATCCACATGACAGCAGCAGCAACATTAACGACGCCAAGTCCACAGATAACATTAGTGCAGGCGCGGCAGCTGGGATAGCTATTGGTGCCTTCACGGGGCTCTTGATCGCCATAGCTGGAGTCAGTTATCTCCTTTGGCGCAAAAAGCGGCAGCGCCGGGCGTTGCGTAGAGTGGCAGAGCTTCAAGGCCAGCCGAACCATGGACCTTTATCACACCATTTAGGGAAAAATCCGGGGCAATATGAACCTTGGCGCGCCGAAAAGCTGGGCCATGGTCAACTTGTTATTAGCGAGCTGGTTGGTGGTCCCCCAGCTGCCAATGAGTTGAATGGCCAGCCGCTTCTTAATGAATTAGAAGCGAAATGAATCGCATTGAAATTTTGGACAATATAGGATACCGAGTCGAGATAATATAGTGCAGGTAGACTAGTTGTATATACTATGTAGAGTCAAGCCACCAAGACCAAGAAGGAATTGGTTGGCTAAGGACTTTCGCAACCCTAGTAAATCATTACATTATGAATAGCATCGAGTTTCAAGCCCAAATCTCTGCCCTTGTTATACAAGCAGCATAAATGAAAACTCGGGGGAAGCTGAGACAGCATGTTGCAGACGATAATGTGTAAATAACCATAACCTAGTGTGTGTATCCATCCCGTTTGACAATTCGGTATTATAGGGCAAGGGCTTCATGAATAAACAAGTAAGAGATAAGCCAAAGAACAAAAAATCGAATAGTCTTCAGCAGCAAACACGAATTGACATCTGCAAACGGAAAAAATATGCATCAGCCGTGAATCGAACACGGGGCCCATCGATGGCAACGATGGATTTTACCACTAAACCACTGATGCTGCTGGGATTATTAATACGTGGAATCCAAAAGTGTTATAAATAATGGTGTTTAACCTAGGTCCAGCAGTGACTCCTGTTGACTTGACCTACGATGTGAGGTATATTGAGCTACATCTTGAGGGCTTGTAGACTTGAGGAGTTCCATTGAGTGGTCACAATCGGCCCGACTACGGCTGGTGTTCCCACAGTGGGACCTGAGCTGCCAACGTTGGAGCGTCAGTGAGCAAGTAAGATGTGGCCGTAGGGAGGGGCCTCGGTGAGCAGGCTGAGCCCCTTATGGAGCCCACCAACCACCGCATTGCCTTAACTCGAGCCAAGCCTCGCCTTATCAACAACGCAACTTTCTTCTTCCATGTTCCATTCACCCCTTTCAACACCTGCTGAACCGAAGCCTTCACACAGAAATCATTCAGTCACAAATCTCAGCTCAAGCAAAATGATGTCGGGTCTTCAACAGCAAATACTAAAGGAAGGGATAAACAAAAAAAGGGCTGTCACTAAAAGAAGGAAAAAAAAAAGAGAGAGAGGCAATCTTCGGACATTGGTGGAACGTAATCCGGAGTTGGTCTTGGAGGATTTCGTGGTGAAGTACCGGCGTTCTGAGCACCTACATACTACACTTGATGAGATGATGAATCAGATCCTACAATCTCGTTGCTGCAGTCGGATACGCCGTCGTGATATTCTCGTCCAAGAGAATAGTCCGAACACGAACGAGAACAAGCTGCTAGGGGTGGTTTGCCTTCCACTGAAGGGTGCTGAGAGTGATACACCCAAAGAACATCTGACACGCGATCCCGAAGGTTACTTCGCTTTTCTCATGGTAAAACGCGTGATCATGCATCCTCTTTTCTTGTCTTCTGCTAACGTCCGAACCCAACAGGCACTCGCCGAAGCTGGTGCCATGAATAGAGAGGCTCCATTCGCCCCAGAGAAGCAGGCGTTAATCGTTAAGTACTGGCCGGGAAACCAGATTATAGGAGCCGCGAATTTGCTTCTAAATATCAAACCCCTCATCCTAGGACTGGCTTCTTGTGTGATCCTTGAAAAATACCGCCAAAACGCTTCCAGGCCACAATCGAAGACGCGGGAATGTCTCGAACCAGACTTTGAGTCGTTCTTCGGCCGTCAATTAAGCGTGGATGATGTGAGGAGCACAGTAGAAGATAACTACAAAGCCTTCAAGGAACTACGCAAGCAACAGCTCATATCTTGCGGGATAAAAGATTCAGATATGGAGCTTTACCTCCCAACCAGTGGGGATGCGGATAGACAAATCACGGTGTTTGTCCTAGTCAATGCGATGATAGTGTTGTTCAACGAGGAAGATTATGCCATTCGAGAGGTGTGGGCCAATGCCACGCAAGCCATGATTGAGAAATCCCCCACGGATACGCATGTAGAGAAGCAATTCTGGGGAATCAAAGACAGCCGATTACAGAGGTAGATGCGATGGTGGATTGACAGGAAAGCCGAAGCGAAGGACGAAGGAAGGTTTGAGAGACCTTTTTGCAACGCAAAGTATTATTTACCTACCCGAAAGTAGCCCGGTCCTGACAGTTTGTTTTCCAATGGCAATAGACAAATGCGATGCAATCGCAGCCCTATAATTATGCTTTATTCTAACTTAATTGAACTCCGTGTGTACTACGAATATAGTAGAATTAGCACACAAAGCGCACGCGCTCCTGAGGCAACGGTTCTGTTGAAAGTGTATGTGTTCAAGGAGTCATTGCATGTATTGTACGGATCAAGGGGCACGCAAGGGACACGAAGGTCATGTTCATGGTTCATGGATATAAGGAGGCCTTCCCACCTTCACTCATCAAGTAGTTTAGTTGAATGTAACGTTCAATTTTGAGAAGAGAGGAAGCGGCTGAATAGTCTCATTTCAGTAATTATGTTTGGGTGTGTATAGTTGTGCCTGCATTTACGTGTTCAGCGCGATCGCCGCATAAAACAGACTGGTTCATCGTACGATGGCATTTGTTAGAAGTTCTTCAGCACACACCAGGTTACACACTCGGTATGCTAGCTTTTGCGGCTAAGCTGTAGTGCCTACGTAGTAGGGCTGCCTATAGTAACGAAGTCTTGTATATAGGCGATAAGGCGCCCATGACTGCTATGTGCACTATATAATACCTACTGAGAAGGGAGGAAAGAGGGCGAGTCAGATTTAGTCGAATCCGACTCGTATGTGCCTCGAAATACGGTGTTGCAGAGGAGTCGAGAACATTGGTTAGCCAAATGACCCCTTTTTCTGACATGGAACTGTAGGTCGGAAGCCAAAGGACAAGGTAAATTAGGCAAGGAGGAAGCTGAAACGCGAGTGGCAGGAAAAAGCATGTTCCTCTTTCTTTTATATTGCTCAGCATCAAGTCCACTAGAGATCTGGCACCACTCCGGCCGCTTGGCTATTAATTATTATCGGTGCCCAAGTCTTCGAACATTACGTGCCCGACCTGCGGATGAGAGTTGAGCCCCTCAACGTAGTACCGCATACACTGAGATTATATTCACAACGCGCCGTTGGTGCGTAACGCAGACTTTACCTGATTAAGCACAATTTTCCGGAAATTCAACTGGGGAAACTGTCTTTCATTTGGTACTGAGAACAGTGGAAAATTGCCCTTAATCAGGTAAAGTCTACATTACACGCCAACGGCGCGTTGTGAATATAATCTCAGTGTATGCGGCAGTACGTGCTGCCAACGGCACCTTCGACCCCTTCGGAGACGTACAGCCTGACCCCTTCGCTCTACACTCAGCCTTCCGACCAGACCCCTCGCCGTACGCTAGTTAAGCGACAGCCTACTTTGCCCAAAATTCTACATATGTAGTCTTTGACAATAGACAAAATGGCCAGCACACACTCTCAAGTAGCACATTGGCAATATGATTTACTCCCCCATATTGTCGACAGGGTAGCCCGCGACGCACCGGACACGCCGTACGGCCTTTGGCTGATATCGTCGATGTCGTATGAAGAGGGTTATCAAACCATCACTTATTCGCAGTTGGCGAATGCCGTTAACGGTTTGGCATGGTGGTTTGCGGAGCATCTAGGGCCAGGCCAAGGAGATGTCGTTGTCTGTTAGTCTGAGTCTGAATCCTGACTTGTCTCTTTCAACCAACCGACTCTGCTGTCAACGTCTACCTTAGCTAACCATTCGCCTCCTCTATCATCAGATATCGGCCCCAACGATTTACGGTTAACGGCCTTGCTTCTCGCAACTATCAAGACAAACTACGTGGTAGGTAAAAAGTGCAGGACTTAGGTCCAGTCTCGGCGTCAAGATCTTTCCCCGGACAAGCTTTTACTAAAACAAACGACTTCAGATCTTCTTCTCATCACCGCGCAACAGCCCGGCCGCGCACAAGGCGCTGCTAGAGACGCTGAAGTGCAAGACGCTTGTAACAATCAGTCCTGCGCCGCCACCGGCTCTCGCTATCCTCGAGGTTGTGCAGCCTCAGAAGCTCACGATCCCGGAAGTCGACGAGCTTGTTGGTAAAGTATACGAGCATTACAAGTGCGATAGGACGTATGAGAAGAATGGCCGGGACCCTATCTGGGCTATGTAAGTCTTTTTCTTTTTCTTTGCTAGTTGCGTGGATGTCATCGACCTAGAAAGAAGGATAAGTCAGTCTGAACTCCATTGCTCACTGAGTCCCTCAATAATCAGACACACATCCGGTTCGACGGGCTTCCCCAAACCCATCATCGGGACATCTGAAGCCATCGCGCGCCACCACAACGGCACGGACACCGCACCTCCCGAGGGGGTGCGATCTCTCGACCACTTTGAGCGTGGCAGGAGGATGTTGACCACTCTGCCGCCGTTTCATGTACGTTAGCTTTATTGAGTAATCAATTATTTATAATAAAGTGTGTAAAACTCACACATAGCAGGGAGCCGGCTTAGGACAATACATCTTTTGGGGTATCCCCTTCGGCAGCACGCCGATTGCCCCCTTGTCAGCGACTATTCCCACTGCCGTGGGACTTGTTGAGGCCCTCAAAAAGGCGCCGGCTGACATCGCGTTGGTAGTTCCTTCGGTAGTGGCCGAGTTGGCTGAAGACCTTGTTAGTCTTGAATATGTTGCAGCGAGTATCAAACTGCTCGTATATCTTGGGGGTGATCTACCGCAAAGTGTTGGGGATCGCGGTATGTTCTCTCTCATTCTCGTCTATGAAAGACTTGTTCACCTTTTACGCTGCAATACTTTGATGGTCTTGCCCGGTCCATTTCCCTGCCTCGTTCACTCACTTCCCGATGGCATTTCGACTAACCCTCACTCATTCCCTCAGTCGCAACCAAGGTCCCCCTCCGCTGCCAATACGGCTGCTCGGAGATTGGCTTCGCGCACCAGCTCTGGCCGACCGAGCTGGGGCCTCTGGACTGGAAGTACATCCGGTTTCACCCGTGCACGGGGGCCGTCTTCGAGGAGACGGTGGACGGGACTTATGAGCTGGTCTTCAAGCGGCATCAGCAAGACTCCTCTTTACTGAAGACCCAATCCATATGGTCCATCTTGAACCAGGAGCGCCTTGCCGAGTTCCGGACCCGCGACCTCTGGGAGCCGCACCCGGCCGTCCCCGACGCTTGGCGCTGGGTCGCCCGGACCGACGACATCATCGTCTTCCTCAACGGCGAGAAGACAAATCCCGTTACTATGGAGCAGAGCGTTGTGGCGAGTAATCCCGGGCTTCTTGTTGGCGCCATCGTCGTCGGCGCGCAGAGGTTCCAGGCCGCGCTGCTGGTTGAGCCTCCACCTACCCTGAAAATCGAGAACACGGCGGACGAGGCTGCCCTGATCGAACGCATTTGGCCAAGCATCGAGGAGGCCAATAGCATCGCCCCCGCGCACGCGTACATCGAGAAATCTAAGGTCCTCATCGGAGATCCGAAGCGCCCCTTAATCCGCGCGGCTAAGGGTACGATCCAACGCGCAGTGAGCCTGGCGCAGTACTCCGCCGAGATAGACAAGCTGTACGCCGCTGCAGATGCCGCCGAAGGCGACAATGACATTATGGCTGACGAGATGCACATCCCGTTAGACAGAGGGCTTATTATGCGACGGATCCGGGAGGCCGTTCTTTTTCCTACGGGGTGGCAACATATAGAGGATTCCACCGGCTTTTTCGACAGTGGGATGGACTTGCTACAGGCACTGCGCATCATCCATACTCTAAGAGGTGCACTAGGCGCGAGCCATCTCGCACTGTCGACGCTGTATCAGAACCCGTCGATTGCGCGCCTGGCGGAGGCGATTCTGTCGCAGAAGAGTAGTGATGGCAATCCTGGTCTTATGCAGTCGTTGCTGGGTACTTATTCGGGGCTAATACAGCAGATCAAACCAACAAATAACGGCATAACGGCTGCTGCTAATACGGACGTCATCCTCACCGGCTCCACGGGAACACTAGGGACGCAGATTCTACGTGCCCTCCTTGATAGGCCAGGGGTGGGGCATATATATTGCCTGAACCGTGGCGCGGACGGCGGATATGCTGTGCAGCACAAACGCTTCGGAGCCGCTGGAATTTCAGGGGGACGGCTCGACAACAGAGTTACATTTCTGCAGGTCGACCTAGCTCAGCCGTTCCTCAACCTCGAGAAAGACAAGTACGAAACGTTGCGATCACGCGTGGGCGTTGTCATCCACAACGCTTGGCCAGTTAATTTCAATCTAGACCTGCTTGCTTTCCGACGACAACTCGCCGGACTGGTGAATCTTTTCGCGCTCTCTAACGCCGCGGCGGCGTCAGAAGAAAAGAAGAATGTGAAGTTCCTCTTCGTTTCATCCGTGGGAGTTGTTGTAGACGGAACATCAGGAAATGCCCCAGAAGCCCTTGTCGAATTGCCAAGGAAACAAGACGGCAGCAGCAGCAGCAACGGCTACTCCAAAAGTAAGCTCCTCGCCGAGCACCTATGTGATGTCGCCGCGCGCCATCTCAACACTTCCGCCCCTGTCGCTCGCGTAGGCCAGGTCGCCGGCGCGATCAACCACAAGGGCGTGTGGAACCCAGCCGAGTGGCTGCCGAGTCTAGTCATGAGCTCGCGGCACCTCGGTTGTCTGCCTGATAACTTGGGTCCGCGCTTCTCTACGATCGATTGGGTGCCCGTCGACGCGCTGGCTGATGTCGTGGTGGATCTGATGACGCACCACCCCAGGAACAGCAATGACGGAGGAGACGTAGCAAAGGAACCGGCGGAGGGGGCTTGGGTACGCAATATACGGAACCCCGCCGTTGTGAATTGGGAAGACGTGCTCCCCGCTATCAAGGAGGGTATCGAGGGTCGCGGGACCATCGATGTGGTGCCCGCCAGTGCCTGGTTGCATCGACTGGAAATGAGTGTTGAGGCTACTACTGCAGATGATGCAGATGCTATAGCGGCGAACCCGGCCGTTAAGTTGATCGAGTTCTACAATAACAGCGTGTGGAATGTCAGTGTTGGACCTGCAAGTTCGGAGACGGCGCCGATGGCTATCGAGAAGACCCTGGATGCCAGCCCGACGCTAAGGGATCTGCCGCCGGTGAGCAGGGCTTGGATGCGCAAGTGGGTTGACGAGTGGTTGGCTACGGTGGCGGTGAGGGAGGTTTAACTGAGGGTGATTACATATTAACTACGACTGTGAGGTTTATTGATTGATGATTTACGAGCTGTCCAAGGCATGTGCTATGAGTTAGATTGGTGCTTTCGAGGTTCTTCCAACCCGCTGTGTTGGGTTTGCTACCACTATCGGTGTTGTCGGCGAGAAGCTTCAGGGCAAGATCTGACTTGGAATAGTTAAGTTTTAACACTACCAAACGCGAAGCAAGGGGACAGACGTCACAGTGTAGCGAGAATCGGGAGGGATGACACTAAAATGGCACGGGGAACTTTTGAGTCACGGCCACAGTCATGTAAAGCACCCGGTGCTTGAGTTACGCTCATTGAGTAGTTTAATTAGATGATTGTCAGTTCTATCTGGACTAGTATGACTTTTAGATCGAGGACTGTTACGATATCTGAACCAGTACAACCACAGGCCTAATACTAGTACAGCTTGGATTATTCCATACAAAGTTCTTCATTTTGGCGGCTATCTATACTAAGAAGCGTTCCCACCGCTGTGGGTACCTACATTCATTCACCCTTAAGCGTAAGTGTAGGAGCTGTAATGCTTAACCATCTGGTAACAGTAAGACTTAGGTAGGTAGGTCGGCGATGCCTGCATTTCAATTTCTGCCAATGCTGACTGTGTCTCATATAATCACTTGTCCAGCAAACCTGAAGTTAAGATGACCCCTTGTTTCCAAACGAAGCCTTCAAGCTGCCTTGTTGTCATTTGGTATGCGAACTTGTTAAACGTGCATAAGCAAAGTAGCGAGCAGCAGCAGGAGCCCGTATGGAAGACCTTGGAACAGCATACAGTCTTGTGTCATCACAGCATGGATGAAACGCTTCGATCTCAAGGCTTTCTAAACAGAAGGGTGTTTACAGGGGGTTTCGGCAATGGCCGTCCAGCTTACCGCACACTTTTGCACCTGCTTAACTCGTTATTTCTGTGAATCAAAAGAAGCGAAGAGAGGATCCGGTTATTAAATATAGATAAGTTCTCTCCATTATCGACCTAAGCGCGGAACCAGGTTGAATTCCATCTTTGCATAAAGAGGCTTGCATCGGGGCCGCTTATAAAACTGCACTGCGACCAAGACGGCCCCGTAGGACTATGTACAGCCAATTTGAACATTGGCCTATATTATTTATAAAGTGATCTAGCGACTCCCTTTGTAATCGAGACCTTAATATTGAAGCATGGCTATCTACACTGATTTCTCGTAGCGTTCATTCCTATCCTCAATGCGTGACCAGCCTGGGCTCGAGGTCGTTGTGCCTCGAGCTGACCTGGAAGTCGCATCGCAATCTTATTCAACATCACAAAACCACTATGCATATTCGGATATCTCTCCCGAAGTCGTGCCGATTGAGCTTCTTCATCGTCAATCGCATAGACCAGAAGCAATCTATGCTTTCGGGAGTGAAAAGGAGTTGATAAACAATCCTTCGGGGGTGCGGGGTCACGGACTCGCCAATCTAACCGAAAAGTCTTTCAAGTGACGCCATGGACGACTTATTATTATCGGTATTGGCATATTAATATTAATTGTTATTGGGGCCGTCGTTGGTAGTGTAGTCGGTAGTAGGCGTAGCGACAGCGTATCCTCAACAGCAGCACTGGGTACGCCCACATCGTCATCTTCGTCGTCGCCGATATCTGGTGTTACGTCTTCTCGTCCAATCCAATCAAACTCCGGTTTAGCCGTGGCGGGGTGGCGTACGCAAAACGAGTTTTTCAATTTCCGTGTTTTCTATCAAGATCAGGATGACGCCCTTCGATTTTCGGAGTACCAAAGCGACGGTGCCGGCTGGGGAAATTCAACAAAGGTGAACAGAGAAGATGTCATGTTGAACACGACTCTTGGAGCTACTATAATACTCGAAAATAACCCGGTAAGCCCCTTGAATGACCTTTGAACTTGGGGGCATCCGTCAAAGGTACTTAACACTAACACATATATTACCTAGCCGCAGTACGAGCTTTTCTTCCAGAACACTTCATCTCTGGTCCCACACTGTGGAGAAACCAGTCCTTGGACATCGTCGCATCTGAAGGAACCTCGTTGGCTATTATTCCGCTGTCAAGTTCCTACCAAGCTCCATATAGAGCAGCGCTGGTATACCGGGGGACCGACGGCATCTTAGCTCTTCATTTATTTGAATATGGTACAGCATAGAGTGAATTCCAAACAGGTTGGTCGTAGCTCATCTTCCCACCAGACCTTTTTTTTTTCTTTTTCTTTTTTGGACATTTTTCGCTAATTAATGGGCGATCGTTAGTTGAGATTGGCGGATCGTATAAGTCGTCATTTAGTGCTTTTACAGTAGCCCGAGAAAAAGACCTTAATAACGGTACCAATATGTACATCTTATACCAAACCGAATCGAACGATCTCGATTATGTTTACTCTAAAGGGGATTCATGGGAACTTGGATCGTCTTCAGATGTCCTCAAAAACGCAGACCCCTCTACTGATATCACGTTTCTTACCGAGTCGATCTGGGATGGCAAGGCAGTCATGTCATCGACATATGATATGAGTAGATGCTACTTTTATTCCAGAGGACAGATCAAACAGGTGAAATTCAATGGTTCACTGTGGACGGAAGCTGAAAACATACCATACCCTTGATATAGGTAGAAGGCGAAGGCGTTGACTTATGTTCTTGAATTTTCATATCGGACAGAGACGCATGATTAGAACAAGAGAGACCTTTGAAAAGAATCAACTGGTTAATGGTAACTGTATGAACATCCTATTTATATAGATACCCAATTCTATGAGCTCTTCATGCGTCATGCCTATATTATTAGCTATATGAATCAAACCTGCCATTAATAACGCTCCATGATTGAAATTGTGAGTGCCATTTTGTTTTGGAATTCTGACACCCTAATTGAATAAATTCACCTCGCGGTGCTAGTATATCAGTTGCATCAGAAGGTCCAAACAAGGTCAGAGATCCTATGATATTAACAATAGGCAATAGACTCCATACTATTGCGCAGAGGTCTCTAAACTATGTAGCGGAATAGACCCTCTTTATATACATCAGTCTTTTTGCCTCGCAGCACTCTCGGCTGATTGGATCTTGCCAAAGCCGGCGTTGTTTGGAACCCTTGATTGTGCTGTCGTTGCGGTATCAGCCGAAGCGACGTCCTTTCCGCTGAAATGCTGGAAGAAGCTCGTATCTGTGCCCGAGTAGAATGTTGTGCTGCCATATGGGCTAGCTTGGCAGGTGCGACCCAAGTAGGATGAGCAAGCCGCGTTCGCTGTGATGCTAGGGCTGGTGATGTCAGAAATAAGCGAGCCAGTCAATTAAGGGTGTATTGTGTTGTATTGTTGTCTGAAAGCATCTTGCTGTCTTTCTGAGGTGTGCCCTAGTAAAATAATATATGTCAGGTATAAGCGATGGCACGCAATTGGGTTAAATGTATTATATATTGATTGATATATTTTTCTAGGTGCCTTTTAATGATTGCGTTTATAGGTAGGTTTAAAGATGTAACTCAATTAATATTATAAATAAAGATTATAAATTAAAAGAGAAAGGAAAGTAAAAGAAATATTAAAATATAAATATATATAAATTATAAATTCCTGGTAACTCGGATGCCTTTAGCCCAGGCCCAGGAACCGTGGAAACACACTTGACGTTGGTACAATGGGCCAAAATGCGGTCTGGTAAATGGAGCATCACGAACGAAGCCCCTCTTCGATACAGTCTGGATAAATGCGAAGTTAGCGAGGAACTCTGCGCCTCTGCAAAACAGCACGACAACGTATAAGGATTTCCGAATAGAACACGATACCCTTGAGAAATAAAGAGAAGAGGTCTTCCGGTTCGCTAGTTTATACCGGAGCCCAAGGGTCATGTGTGTTTAGATGCGAAGACGCGATACTAGCTTTAGAAAAATGGTTAGAAACTTGATTTACATTTTTAGCTATGTTTGATTCGAAGGCAAGAACGCTTGGAGCCCTCTTTGGTAAGCCAATTTTGTATTTACGCAGCGCGAAGGAGCTATATCCGGCTTTTGGACAGGGAAAGAATCCTAAGGTACTTGACAGTCGGTACAAATGCTGTGCTCTATATTTAGACTTCGAATATCTTACAGTAGTTATTTTAGCTACAATCTTTTATAATTTAAGATACTATTTAATATTGTTCAACTTATTAAGTCCGGAAGCAGATATAATACCATTGCTTTACTGATTTATATTACTTAACTATTCATGCTGCTTAGGGGCTTTAGATTCAAGTCACTCCTTCTAGTTCCCTAGATTTCAAATTCACACTCATTATCTCATACTTAATGAGCCGACTGCTAAGTGAAGCCCCTGTCCTTCCTCAGTGGTGGGAGTCCCTGAAAACCTCCCTAACGAACAAACCCGTTGATTCGTCTATTGTTACCTGCAAATCAGGAACTCTGACGTATCGCCCATACCTCTCAGGCGATGTATGGCAAGTTCGTTACATATAATTATCCCCGATACATCATGTTTCTTCAACTTTTACCTACAACCTTTAACGCATATTCCCTAGATCCAATTGCAAGTTGAAAAACGAACCTATCGTTGTCTTTACGGTCTTCGTCAAGTCTCTTTATCCATTTGATTGTGTTCTTATGCAGTGTTTCCCAATAACTTTCCTACAGGTAAATGTAGAATCGCACGCTTATACCAAGGCCAGTATGTGGTGCGTATCCAGGCCGCAATATGACGCAAGGCGTGAATAATCTGGAATATACCGAGAATACTTTCGGTTGCACCAATAGGTTGCTTTATCCACAGTATCTGCGAAGCAGTCAATTAGAATTGTACAGTAAGTGATAAAGACAGTAACGAAACCGCAGGAAATATATCGGGCAGTGAGCATATACCAGCAAAAGATGTACATACTGTTTCATTGTTAAACCTTGTGCTGGCAGCAAAATACCAGTCGTGGCCTTGTATAATAAGAGCGGGGAGGAAGGGAATGGCCTCTGGCACTTGCGTCCCTTCAAATTCTCCAGCTAAGAGATCTGAAAGGAACTTCCATTGCGCAGCTTGCCAAACGCTGAGCTGCAATTGCGCATTCTTAAATCCTTTACCGGGTTTCTTAGACTCGGCGCTAAGGACGATAGGTCGTCGGCGGAGCGGGTAGTAGTCAGTGTGGTTGATGTATTCCCATCTCTCCCTTAACTCATTGATCTTTGCAGCTTCATCCGTCCCGGGCTCGATGAAGATACAATAATCTACCATTTTAGAACCGCGCGCATGGCCTATTAGTCTGGCTGCTGTACAAGGCATGCCACAAACACGAACTTGATCTTCCCGTCCCTGCTCTTCTATTCTATCCCCAGGGACCGAGGCCGGTTGTGCTGTCTCTGCTCTATGTCCGGGGGCCGAGGCTGATCGTGCTCTCTCTGACACACCAGCTATAGACCCCAGGGCTAGTTCGAACACCGGCCAGTGAACGAGGGTATTCCACGTTGCTTCCGTGTGGTCCTCGTTGAGACACTCTCTGGCTGATTTGAAGACTTCCAAGATCTGGTGCAAGGAAAGCCGTGGAGGAGAGACGGGAAGATGGGTAGCTCCATCGCTTCTTTCGAATGTAGAAGGCGCAAAATTGTAGAAGTCGTCGTCATATTCCGCACACGTTTGTATCTCGGCTGCAAGATATTCAGGCACGATACCGTTCCGATTTTGAAAGCTGTCGAGGTCCCTCAGGATAGTTTTGAGTTCTGTCGGTATACGGTGATCTGTTCTGATAATCTGTTGTATGGAGATGGGACTGTCGGGGGCAAGCTCGAGCTTCGCTAGCCGCTTAGTAGGAGATATTCTTGAATTGTTTGATGAGTAGCTGTCGGTATCCGAAATAGACAATGCCTTGCTACTCCTGGCCCTCGGAGTGCGATCTAGGTCTATATCACCTTCATTTTTATCGGGCCGTCGTCGCTTGGTAGGCGGAAGCACTGCACTGGGGCTGTCGGTTGTCGATGCCGTCGGTGTAGGTATTTGTTGTTGTTGTTGTTGTTGTTGTTGTTGTTGTTGTCTACGCTTTCGGGTCTCCGGTAGCTGCTGCGGAGCAGCATTGCTCGAGGCTTCGGTATCGACGCCTTCGAGCCATGAAATTATGTTCATTCAGTCGTACGGTTATAAATCACGTTGGGCAGGAGAAGGATAGAATTGAGTGTATGCGAGGAAAGAGAAAAGAGGGCATGGCTCAAGAGGTGAGCGCGCGAAGCATTGTGACGCGATTGGTGCGCAAGGAGAAACGCGGGGTCCCTCTGGATCCGCATCCGAGCAACCGCCTATATAGACACGGGATCCCATGTGGTTCATATACTTAAGCATCAGCTGCCACAATTAGAAGCATTATCTAGGCCTCAAGTATCTTGTGGTACCTTGGCCACAATCTTTGTGATCTGAGGTTTTATTTAGTATCGTCCAACTTGGTAAGCCCGGAAGCGGACACATTGTCAAACTCATGTCACTCATTTCGACTAGGATACTAAGGGTGGGCGTTAAATTGTAGCACAGTTGCAGCAACAAGATCATCCTCATCAAGTAGTCTTCCTGATATACATAACTAGATCACCACAGTAGTGTATGCTGGAGGACAGAGCCATGGTTAAGTCGAGTCCCTGATGTTAAGTGCCCTAATGCAACACCAATGATTTTATCTAAGACAAAAGGGGGGTTTACTTTAGCAAGTGCCGCTTGAAGCTGTTGGTAATAATGGCTAGTTCTCCATTTTCGTCCGATATCGTGGAAAACTTCTAGCAACTCTTCGGTAGAGAATACCCGCAAATCATTTTTATCGGGGGTGAAAGGATCTGTTATCTCTCTAGCATAGGTATAAATCTCCATCGGTAGGTATACGCGCTGGGGATAGAAAAACGCAACGCCTATCTCCCTTATAAGAAACTCAATTGGGCGGTAGTTAATAATCCTGTTATCTTCCATTACTAAAGAGATGGCTAGTTAAAAGATTGGATATAATTACTGACCAAGTCGAGCCCCCAACGAATAACTCGGCTTCTGACATGGTTTCTTCCGAGGGAAGATAAACGAAGTTCGTATAATCCATTCCATTGATGCCCCGTAGTGTAACATATCGACCACCCGAAGTAACTGTCTTGCAAACCTCGAGTTTTTGACCAACCTTCCGTATGGCTTCTTTTGTAAACAGCGGAGTGCCCTGGTTGTAGATAGCCTTGATCTCGTTGATTATCGACTTTATTTGAGCGAATTCCCGGTTAGGCTGCTCTGGTGCAGCGGCTGCTATATCTACTCGTTGAATACGGGGTAACATGATGGAACAGCAATGGATATGCAGGGCTCAATTGATTGATACAGGCTACTCAATTTTCACAGTTGTTGTTGAGTTTGTTATCTAGGTCTCCTATGTTTCGAAGTGTTTAAGCTCTCACCATACACCGAGGTCTCAGTAAGTATCCCAGTTTTCTACATGCCTACCTGAGTAGTACCTACAGGGTACCTAGCAGGTTGCGTGAAACCGTCTCTGATGACTGAACAGAGAAAACAACAATAGAAGTTGTTTCGATATATCTATTTATTCGTACTTTCTACCTAGGTGGATGTAAGTACTTATGTATCACAAGTTGGTAAAGGTGATGAAGAAATGAGGAGACGGACCCATAGCAACAGCCCCTCCGCCGGAAAAAAAACCTGCCATTTTTACAGGCTAGTGGGCGGGCTTAAATAGCTATTCTAGTCCCTGACAGAAAGAATTTCTAGAGCTTTCGGCGGCATCAAGCTTCAACCATCCAAGGAGAGTCAGTTGACTTGTGAGCCCCCCATGCCGACCACTCTCCCACCTCACCATCATCATCATCATCACCACCACCACCACCGCCACCTTTGGCCTCCCGCGCTCACCGGATGATAACCGAGTAGCCACCACGTCTCACCTCGTCCCGTCCATCTGTCATTCATTGCATAGGTATGTGTGCATTTTCTCTATCATGTCAATTGTGTTTGTTTTTCTTGTTTGTTTGTTGCTATTCAATCACTGTTTCCCACGCGAGCTTTTCCGCTCCCTTCCACTTCCTTGCATGCAGCGTTTTCCCTGATGATCACACCAGCTGGCACCAGTCATAGAGCGACTTGTACTCCCTTTCATTGATGACCAATATGCTGAGGTCCTCTGAGACCGTTATCTGATTCCAAACGCTTGCCTTGTTCCGTCTGCTCCCATCCAATTGCTATTCCTCGCTCTGCATTGCGCGCGGCTGACACGAACACTGGTCTTACAGCATCTTCTGCGAATACTTCTTGCCTCATATAACTCTTGCCGCTTACGTCACGATGGCCCTCCACAACCCCAACAATTGGCACTGGGTTAGCAAGAACACCTCCCAGTGGGCGCAGGAGTGGTTCCAGGAGACTCTGACCCAGCTCGAAGCTCAAGATGGGGAGGTTACAGTCAAGATCAGCAAGGTGCTCAGCATGGACGGAGACGTGGATGTTAGTCAACGTAAAGGAAAGGTCATCACTATCTATGATGTAAAATTGGTGCTTGAATATTCGGGTAAGCTCCGGAATGCCATTCAAAGTCTTGCGGACCTACGACTGACGATATCTAGGCTCTGCACCCGAGGCGGAGGAGGTGTCGGGCACGATCACCATCCCCGAAGTTGCCCACGATACCGAGGAAAACGAGTTTGTCGTACGTATCTGTTGTCACTGCCAGATCAAGGCTGTCTGTATTAACAATGACGCAGTTTGACATAGACATCCATTCCGAGTCTAAGGAGAAGCAGCCCGTTAAAGACCTAATTCGCTCTAAACTCGTATCGCAACTGCGGAAGGAGCTCTTGAAGTTAGGCCCGGCTATGATTGCCGAGCATGGCAAAGATATCCAGCACGCTGCCGGTTCTAACCCGTCGAGTGGATTCTCTACACCCAAAATCCATGCACCCACTGGTCCAGCGGCGAGGTCCGAGCCTGCAGCGAGCACCCAGAAGAACTCTGGCAGCACTGTTAACACTACAAGTTTGTCCGAGCAAGCGGAGTTCAGGACGACTGCTGCCGAGTTGTACCAGACCTTCACCGACCCGCAAAGACTCGCTGCTTTCACCCGCGCCGTCCCGAAGAGATTCGACGGCGCCAAGGTCGGCGGATCGTGGGAATTGTTTGATGGAAATGTTGCTGGCGAATACAAGGAGCTACAGGAGCCCACCAAGATTGTCCAGACTTGGCGGTTGAAACAGTGGCCGGCTGGTCACTTTTCGCAACAGACCCTCTATTTCGACCAGAACGACGTCGATGGCGTAACAGTCTTACGCGTTGAATGGAGCGGTGTTCCTATTGGTCAAGAGGAAGTCACCAAGCGGAACTGGGATGAATACTACATCAGGTCTATTAAAAAGACATTCGGGTAAGTCTCTGTAATGTGTAGTCTTACGGACATGCCTAGCTAACGCAATCTTAGGTTTGGAACCATCCTATAGACGCACTTTTGTCTAGGCGCCTCGGCGTTATCAGATTTACTAAGTATATTGAGGAAGGCGCTTTGGAGGGCTGTTTTACCGGCGTTGAATCTTGCGGGGAAAAGCCTAGACGTCAATGGAAACAGTAGTTCTCTTATCGATGTTGCTATAGAGACCTTGAAGATCGTAGAACCCGTAGGAAATCGTGAATCACCGTGAGCGCTACAACGCCTTCGAACTCTTGATGTGTGATACGAGGTTCCTGTGTAAACATCCGTAGGTGAAACTGAAACAGCTATTTCTGCATCTGCTTCATTCTAAGTACATGTATGCATAGCTGGCATATGCCTAGCACTATGCATATGTATACTTATATTTTATGCTTGGGGCTTACTGCACCTAGTTAAGGTCATTGGTAAACTGGTTTCTTCGCATATCTTACTAAATATTGACTCGGAGATCGTTAGAGGAATCTGATACCTGAATACAATCCTCCTAGGTTCCTTCTGCAAGCTACCTAAGTCGCCCCTGGGGACTTATCCCATGCCACGCGCAAATCCTCTTGTTTTGATTCATTGACAGCTCCCTCATACTTCTTTCTGTGCATCGCTGATGCCGACGACTTCCCCCGTACCCGTGACCTCGACTCTGACCTTGCGCGTGCTGTACTTGCGCGGGTTGGGCGCCTCGAAGATCTCGGCGAGCTCTTCGAGGGTCTTGCCTGCTGTCTCGACGAAGAAGCGATAGATCAGTATCATCTCGATTACGATCCATCCGATGTATACGATCTGGTATGGCTTTGTTAGTACTGTATTTTGCATATGCGTTATGCTAGGAAGGGGATAGAACTGGGAAAGTTCCGTGGAGTTGGCTCTTGAGGAAGAAGCGTGTATCGGGGGATTAAATTCGGCTCTGGGCGGACGTACTATAGTGGTGTTAGCTGATCTGAAGGTTTTATATAAGAATGTGAGATGGGGGTGAGCATACCATATAATCTCCATCCAATATCCTTGATGCCGATGCTAATGCCGTACGTGTTGACGATGATGGCGACGTTCAGGAATAAGTAGTTAAGACCGGATCCCTTGGCTCGCGTCCTGTTATCAAGACACTCGACGGCGTACAGGGTCTGGAGCGGCGTGAAGCCCCATGCGAAGCAGATTCCGAATAAGTAGATCGATACGATCGTGCCGTAGGATAGATTGGGGTGGTAGGCCGTCTGGGCGGTGAACGCTGTCAGGAGGATGTAGAACACGCAGGAGCCTGCTAGACCCCATAGCATCATGGGTCGACGACCAAGTTTATCGAGACACGTCGCTCCGTAGACGGCCGCTATGAGAGAGAATATGGGATTGATAGCGTTGATAAGGAGTTGCGTGTTGGTGCTGGTGATGCCGGCTGCTTCAATCATCTCGGGCTGAGGTATGCGTTAGGTCAATTGGTAATACTGAAGCTCAGGATAGTAGTATTTATTTACCAAGAAATATGACACAACATTGTTACCACCTTTACCACCGAAGTTAGTTTGAACTAGTTTCCTCACATCAAAAGACAGAAGACTCACTCCATTGCCCACTATTTGATCTCCTGTTAGCCACCAATTCTACAAAAGGGGGTCATACGAGGAGAGCTTGAAGTTTGCTTACAAGAAGGACATGCCAATGACCATAGCTAAGCGGTAGCGAGCAGCTCTCGTATTGACTAGCTCACGGAAGTCCCACCAAGGATTCTCATTTTTGCTCGCGTGATAATCTTCAAGGACCTCTTGATACTGCAGTTGAGCCAATGGGGAGTTGGGGTCTCCCTCGCCGTGATACTTTGCGAAGATGGCCAGTGCCTCTTCTGCTCTATTTCTTGTCAGCCTCGTGATTTGGCAGTCACCTAGATTTGTACTCATAATCGTCTCACCTGTCGTTGTGAATCAGCCATCTTGGGCTTTCAGGGAAAAACAAAATAAAAACGGCGACTACGGCAGGGATTCCAGCCTGAACGACAGTAGGGGTCCTCCATGCCCAAGAATTCTTGATATGCCTGCACTGAGTTAGTTGTGAGTCTTCATTGTTCGAAACAGGTCGCATTACAAATTGGTTCCGTAGGTCGTCCATCCTGCTAGGATGTTTCCAACCCACCAGAAATTGTTGTACCTATCAATGGGTTAACAGCCGTCAAAGCTAGTTATGGGTGACCACTTGCATGCCCGCCATGGTCCCTCGATACGCTGGGTGGGCCAGTTCCACCGTATAAGCAGGTCCAGCTGCAGAAGCTATAGAAGCCCCGAATCCCAGGATAAATCTCCCGCCAATGAATTGCCCAAGGTGGTTGGCGGAGCCTCTGTGAAAGTTTAGAGGTTAGAAATAATCTTGAGTACGAAGTCGGAATTCGAAGAGGAATGTGGGCATAATATAATGTCTTTGTTTATATCCCAAGAATACAAGCTAGGTAAACGCACTGTATAGCAGTTCCAATCAACACTATGATGCACCCGATGAAGATGCACCATCGACGACCATAGCCATCAGCAAATAGACCGCAGACTGGATTGACCAATTAGAGTTATGCGAAGATGCCATCAGTACGTCGTGTTACTACTCACATGGGAAGCTCGCAATCTGGCAGACATTAGCGAATGAGTAAAAGCGAGAATAACATATGACATACCTGGCCAATCTGGTATATGATGAAAATGATACCAGTGGTTGAGCCTTCGCCATCAAGCCCAAATGTCTCTTGATAGGTATCCATCGCATTGATAGCGCCCATCAGCGAGCTGTCGAAACCGTTCATAGTCGAGACAAGGTAGCCGATGCCCATAATGACATATAATCGCATCATACTGGGTGAGAGGAGCTTGGGCTTCTGCTTGGCGACAGCAGCCTCGAGAACCGCCGAAGCGGTGCTAATCTCGTGGGTGTCAACATAGAGCTTCTCATCGGCGACAGAGTCTGTGTGTTTTAAACTGTTCTCCATGGCAGGTGACATTTTAGACGATTCTCTTAGAAATGGATTCCAGGCAATTAGAATAGAAAGATGCTCAGGCTAAGCATAATAACCCCCTAAAGCTCTGAGTAAGTTTATGGCGCACCGGCAAAAGAAAACTTGACATGCCCGAACGAGGGGCATCTTTCTTATAGCTTGCTTGACATGTGCTCGCTCAGCCAACATCGCTCCGCCTGTACATCATTCGATACCTCATTGGGCGGCGTGACCACGAAAGACATGACATTTGATTGGGAAGTGTTCCTGGTAGCAGAGCGGCGGCAGACTACAATGGGATTAGAACAGGCCACCGACGCCATGGGAGAGGAAGTTTAAGGTGCGGAGATGATGTTGGGGAAACCTGGGTCTGAGCTGGGCCAACGTGGTATTGGCAGAGATCCAACAAGGTCTCGGATCGGGGATTGGCGGTGTTACAACCATCTTTGGGTTCTCGTCCAAAAGTTCCTTGAGTCTCGGTCCTCTTCATTGTTGTGTAAGTGGTGCTACATACCCACCTTGCTCTCTCTACCCCAGCTCTTCTCTATTTACGCCGCATGTCTGCCCGCATACTGAGCCAATGTAGATATTCACATAGGACTCTCGATGGGGCATCGTTCTGCGTGTCTGGAGTCAGGTTTGATGCTGTAAAAATGCCTTGACTGCTCTACTTATCTATCCTGAACGATCATCAATCATAACGTACCTTCATCAGAGATGTAGGTACATATGATACCTAGATGAAGTAGTAGGTATCAAGATGTCGGCATTTAGACTACCTACCTACATACCTTGGTACTGGGTGTTGCACACGCGCGCCAATCAACGGCGATTATCCACCCCCGGATCTAGTGGTTCGCGCTACTGTTTGCCGGGCCTAGATCGAGATTTGGTACCGGCCAGTGCCGGCTACGTACGCTACCTAAGGTACCTATGGACGCCACTCAAAGCCACTGTAAGTACCACGCTAACGAGGTGCAGAGAGGTGCCTACCAACCTCCGCATATAGATCGCCCACCGCCGGCAACGCTGACGTGGAGATGCATTCACCTTATTGAACCGTAGCTTTAGAATCATTTAGCTATCGGTGCCTGTTATATCCCTCTCTCGACCATTTAGTCCTTGGTTAGGCATCCAGATAAACTTACCTACCTAACCTAGGTACTTACCTAGCTCAGTCCTTGCTGTCCGATGTCAAAACGTTGATGATTTCACTTTTTGTGATCTCGATATTATTACTAATATAAACTTCCACGTTCTCTACTGTTTCGCCTATCCTTGATAACCCATCATGTCATCAGCCTCGGAGCGACGTGGACCACGTATGGGAAATAGGAGAGTTATCCGCGAGCGCGATCGCTTACATGTCGACTTACAGCTCACTACCCCAGGCCTAGAAGCTGACGCGATAAGTTGTTCGGAGCAGGCCGCCTCGGAAGTCATCAAGCCCGACCATCTCCCTGATTGGAGCAACCTTAAGGTCATCCATAGAAACACATTACCACCCCGTAGTCACTTTCACTTGTATAATACCGAGGAGGATGCCCTTTTGGGCGATGTCAGCAATAAGTCTCGCGCAGCCCTGCTTTCCGGTACATCATGGGGTTTCCATCTCTCCCCAAGCCCATTCAAAGGGCCTCGCGATTTTCATAAGCCTGGCTTTGACTATGATGGCTGGACCCTTATCAAGGTCCCGGGAATGTGGCAATGCCAGGGTTTTGGAAAAGGTCCTCAGTACACTAACGTAAACTACCCCTTTCCTGTCGACCCACCACATGTGCCCTACGACGACAACGAGTGCGGTCGTTACGTTCTACAGTTCGAAGTTCCCGACCGCCTCAAAGATGGTAGCGTGTGGAGGCTTCGGTTTGAAGGCGTAGATGCCGCTTTCACCGCCTGGGTGAACGGTCGAGAGGTTGGCTATTCACAAGGCTCGCGAAATCCTAGCGAGTTCGACGTATCTGATTTTCTCAACCTCGATGGCGAAAACATACTCTGTGTAGAAGTATACCAGCGGTGTCATGGAAGCTACATTGAGGATCAAGTCAGTGTGACCTAGCTAGCACCCAGCGTGAATATACTAACGTCCAAATGTGCTAGGATCAATGGTGGCTGAGTGGAATATTTAGAGACGTTTGGCTTCATTCGTTTCCCTCTGCTCACTTTGAAGACTTCCACGTCCAAACTCTTCTTGACGATGATTATGGAGATGCAGACCTCATCATCGACATCGAAGTGAACAAGCCGAGTCAGGCGGTGTCCATGAAACTCCTTGATCGCGAGAACCAACTGGTCACTAGTCAACAGCAATCCTTAGACACAAACACTGGAAAGTTCAAATATCGCATGAGTAACCCGGAGAAGTGGACAGCAGAGACGCCATATCTTTATACATTGATCCTGCACGTTGCAGGTGTATATATCGTGCAAAAAGTTGGGTTTCGCCGAACGGAGCTCATCGATGGCGTGTTTTGCGTCAATGGAAGTCCTATCAAGATACGCGGTGTAAACCGACATGAACATCATGCGGAATCGGGCAGAACTGTTCCTTACGAAGCAATGATACAAGATTTTGCGACTATGAGAGCTTTCGGCATTAACGCAATCCGAACGTGTCATTATATCAACGACCCGAGATTCTACGATGTAGCAGATACCTTAGGATTCTGGATTCTGGACGAAGCTGATCTGGAATGTCATGGATTTGGTGAAATTGGTGGTGACCCTGCCAGTTACCTTTCGGACAATCCTGACTGGAGAGAGGCCTACGTTGATCGCGCACTCCAAATGGTAATGCGTGATAAGAACCACCCTTGCATCATCATGTGGTCGCTTGGAAACGAGGCCTTTTATGGGAAGAACCATCAGGCTATGTATGACGAGATCAAGAAGATTGACTCAACGCGATTAATCCATTACGAAGGCGACCAAGAGGCTAAGACAGCAGATATTTTCAGTCGAATGTACACCTCAGTAGACTCGATGATCAAATATGCGGAAGAAGACACATGGAATAAGCCATTCGTAATGTGCGAGTTTGCCCATGCCATGGGCAACGGACCTGGCGCTGTTCGAGAGTATATCGAGGCATTTTACAAGTATCCCAGACTCATGGGCGGGTTCGTGTGGGAATGGGCGAATCATGGGTTACTGACTGAGACTAAGGACGGTCAGAAGTTCTACGGCTATGGCGGTGATTTCGGCGATGACCCAAATGACTACAACTTTGTCATGGACGGTCTTTGCGACTCTCAACATTTCCCCGGCACAGGACTAGCAGAATATAGTAAAGCTATCGAGCCTGTGCAAGTCCTAAGCATCGACGGCGGTCAAGTCAAGATTATCAATCGCTACGACTTCCTCACTCTAGATCACCTTGAATGCTATTTTGAGATCATCTCTGATAGGTATCAACAGATCGAGCGGAACATTCCCATCCCACAAGGCGTCAAGCCGCATACCGAAGCCACCCTGACTCTTGGCGGGCTTTTTACAACCCTGACGACAGGTTTGACAGAGGCTTGGTTACAATTAAACTTCACAGCACGGCCTGATTCGAAATGGGAGATTCCCAATCGCGTTGTAGCCCGTGGCCAGATTCAACTCACCCCGCCCAAATCATTAGCCCAGCTCAAAATGTTAGCGTCGCCATCTACAAGCCGTCCAACGATCCAACGTAAAGACGACTTCATCTACGCGACGATTGCAAACGGCACAACTTTCGGCTTCGACACGCGCACGGGAGAGTTGTCTTCCCTGACGAAAGTCTCGAACCCGCAGCTAAACCTCCTGACCGTCCCCTTCGCACTGGACTTCTACCGCGCGCTAACAGACAATGATCGCGGCGGACCCTTCGGGAAACAATGGCTCGATGCCCGCTTACACCAGACCCGAAACCATTTCAAGCAAATCCGCATCGACGAGACAGACACAGACTGCACCATCGAAGTCAAAAGCCGGGTCGCACCACCCGTTCTCGCCTGGTGCGTAGACGCCACAACAACATACACCATAACCAGCACACACTGCAGTGTTCGCGTCCAAGCGCGACCCCAAGGCCGTCTTCTCCCAGAGACCTTCGCGCGCTTCGGGCTAACCTTCGGGCTGCGCAAGGAGCTGGCCATCGTAGAGTGGTTCGGGCGCGGGCCGATGGACTCGTACGTCGACAAGAAGCGCTCGCAGTTCATGAACACGTGGGGCATGCAGGCGAGCTCGATGCTCTACGAGTACGAGTTCCCGCAGGAGGTCGGGAACAAGATGGACGTCCGCTGGGTCGAGCTCCGCGAGCAATGGGGCGACGAGGAGGAGGGCCGCTTGCTGCGGGCGCGCTTCGGGGACCATGACGGCGCTAGTTTTGCCGTCATGCCGTATACGGCGAAAGACATCGACGAGTCCACGCATCCGCATGAGTTAAGGGCGCGGAAGCGTGATGATTATATTGTTCGCCTGGACTGGTTCCATCATGGTCTGGGCACGGGGAGCTGTGGGCCTGCGACGCTGCCTGAGTACCAGCTCAGGACTGATCGCGAATTTGATGTTGAGCTTTTGCTTGACTAAGGAAACTATAACTACTTTTATCCTCATACTTAGTAGGCGTTACCGGATTTTTGGCACAGGATGACATAACAGGATTGCTTAGTTAGCCTTACACATTTACACATAGCATCTTCTCTTTCAGTCTAGTATAGGATACAAAATATCACAATCGAATTTGAAACAGTACACCTGGGTCAAGAAAACGTTGAATATCTAAGAATGATACTGGTGCTATCAATGCCGACTAATCCTATCAATGAATTCGTATAACCGCGGTCAACAATAAGCCATCATCCCCCCATCAGTTGTATTGCCAACATCCAACGCTGGAGTTTGACAAAGTCATTTGCAGTCCAAGGATGTCGGTGCAACCTTTCTCCTTGAAACCCTTAGTCTTAGCATATAGCGTTGAGCCCTTTATAGTCCAGTCCACGGGGCAAAGGACAAGGCCACCATTGCCCTTGCCGTCAGTGAAGTCCGCCAAGTCGTGTGCTAGCGGTCCCAGACAAGCGGATTCGATCCCTTTGTGGAACCAGCCGCCGACTATTGCTCCCGGAGGGAGTGCATGCGAATGAGCAGTCATATACTGAACCTGCCCGTCGGCTCCGACGTAGATTTCCTGGCCTCCGGGTACTTGGACCTATCGATTTGACGAAAACATTAGCCGCACTCACCAAGAAAGCTAAGATGATGCTCGTATGGAAGACGTGAGAAGTCCGGGGGCGTCGAGCAGTCATTTACGATATGAGTAAGTGGAGGAATAGAAACGCTGACACGTCAAGGACATACCGCCATGTACTCCATGTTCATGCTCACCAGCGTGCCAGCAACCTTAGGGCAATCGGTTTCAGGCTTCAGAGGGCAGTAGGTCGCTGGGCCCTCTAGCTGGGTTGCAAAGCCGTGGTCGTACGCATGCAGGATGGCACCGTCAACGTCGGTGTTGGGAGCGAACACGGAGATGCTGAAAGCTTCTGCCGAGACTAGAGTAGCGGCTGCGAGATAAGCGAGGAAATGCATCTTTGAAGTGTGAAGGCTGGGTTTTGTTCAAGGGTGGATGGAAAGAATGTGTCTCTTGAAGCTGTAATGATGTCGAAGCAGAAGTCTTGTTATGATTGAGCGAGTGACGGGCTAACAGAGCGGCAGATGATGTGATGTGGTGGTTCTGATGTGCGAGAGGAGACGAGAAGATGGTCAGGAAACTGAGGACAGCGAGCTCTGTCGAAGAGACCATCATTCCTTCTGCTCATTCCCATTGCGTCTGCTCTTCCCCTCGATATTCCCGTGTCTACAGTCAGAGCCCATCGCTACTTCCAATCTGCGGCCTTTCAGTTGTTTGTCGGAAGGTGACGTCGATGGGGAACCCTCTTGCTGTCACGCACTTTCAGTGCGAGCGCTTTGTCGTTACCTTTTCCACACCTGCATCATGATTCCGTCCGTGTCTCCGTCTCGACTCCCGGCTTCCTTCTCGCTCTGCTAACGACTTTGTTGATATTCAATGAATTTAGCATCAATAGATTTGCCTGAGCCTATGATGTGATCCGAGCTAAGACAGGTTGTCGTAGTGATGGGCACACTCCTTCATGGCATCAAAAGCCCTTCCGAACGGCATCTATCCCACGAGACCCTGGCAAGGCCTACGCAACCCCTTGATGTCCCTCCAACGGCCCTATCAAGAATTTCTCCGTATGTGCCGTCTATTTTTGCGCCAATGCCGTGTCTACGTATTGACCCATGCCAGCGGGTTCCGTTAAGAATGCTACCCTTCGCATTCCGCAACTAGTGTAGACCCCAGGTTTTGCCCCTGTGTTAGTGATCCTTGGCATAGCATCAGGTACGTCCCCTGCGCTACGAGAACGCATTTTCACCCTTGTGGATGATGGGTCGGACCTTTTTTTAAATAGGATCGTGCGGAAGCGGCATCCATTTTCGTTCATTGAACGCGTACCTACTCTATGGTAGAATATCCACTGAGACAGACGCCTGCTAGCCCGTCCCTGCAATCTTACACTATAGAGCAGAATAACCATGAGATAACAATTGGTGCAGCTGATGCCTCATAAACCCTCCATCACAGTATTTCTAAAAGACGCCTCCGAGAAGCGGTCTCCTTTGAGATCCGCATCAAAGAGAGTAATGATGTGCATTGGAGATGGTGTTTGTATTATGTAATTCAACGGCCCTCAGTGATGATCATTCGGAAGCCGTCTAGTGATCCAGAATCGTTGCTGATTCGAGGATTATTACTTACAGTTTAGTCACTGGGTTCGTGAACACTTTAGTCATTGTAAACGGTAGAATAACAAGAGCCGCGATGCATATAAACAGACCATGGAAACCAGAACAGAGATCAAGAATAACCTCGTAGACCAGCCGGCCTCAGCCTGTCAGCAGCATTAGGTTTTTCAGACTATCTTCAGATCTCATCTCCTTTACTCTTCTTACTCACCATGAGGTTCGCATCTTCTGCTGCTGCTGCTCTGTTGGCAGCGTGCGTCTCCGCAGTTCCTACTCGTACCACGAACGAGGCGCACAATGCTCCCATCCAGAAGCGAGCTACCATAACTGATGCTGCGAGCGTTGGTTACGCCACGAAGAACGGCGGGTACGTGCTTACCTCGATGCAACTAAGCAGATCAAGCTGTAATAACTCCTCATCAGTACTAAGGGTGGCGCTGGCGGCACCACGACTACCGTCTCGGATCTTGCATCCTTCACTGCTGCTGCCGAGGCCGACGAGGCGTACGTTATTGTCGTGAATGGCCCCATCTCCGGGGCTTACAAAACGCGAGTGGGTTCCAACAAGTCTATCATCGGGGCTGGTGGGAGTAAGTTGCTATCACCCAAGTTAGATGAGCCATTGACTAATATGACCGATGTTTCTAGGCCTCGAGGGTGTCGGCCTCTACATCAAGGGACAGTCCAACGTCATTGTCCGAAACCTGAAGATCTCAAAGGTCCTCGCGGATGATGGGGATGCAATCGGTATTCAGGAGTCGACAAATATCTGGGTTGACCACTGCGACCTCTCGAGCGACATGGATCACGACAAGGACTACTATGACGGTCTCCTTGACATTACTCATGCCAGCGATTATATCACTGTCTCAAACAGCTATCTGCATGACCACTACAAGAGCTCTCTCGTAGGTCACAGCGACTCGAACGCCGACGAGGACACCGGCCATCTCACCGTCACCTACGCCAACAACTGTACGTAGTATCCCGTTTCGCCTCTGCATACACTCATCGCTCCTCAATGCAAAATGCTAACACCCACCCTTACAGACTTCCGGAACCTCAACAGCCGTGGACCCTCGGTCCGCTTCGGCACCGCCCACATCTTCAACTCATACTACGAGAACGTGCACTCGGCCATCAACACCCGGCTAGGCGCCCAGGTCCTTGTCGAGAGCACCGTTTTCGAGGGCTGTGGCGATAATGCCATCTACTCCGCCGACAGCGACGCAACTGGATATGCCGTGGTAAAGGACGTCGCCCTCGGTGGCAGCAGCGACTCGGCTCCCAAGGGAACCCTCGCCAGCGTCCCGTATAGCTACTCTCTCCTCGGATCTCGCAAAACCAAGGCCTCTGTCACCGCCAATGCCGGCGCCATCCTCTCTTTCTAAGCATACTACGCCACGAGAGAAGTTGTAGAGAAGCACAGCACATTTTGTATATAAAACCGTGAGCAAGGCGACTGTGAGATGGATGTGGTCAGAGGATAGGTGCATTTCGCCGTGCTTTGGCAGTCCTACAATACTGATAGTCAGTGTGCACCGGGTTCCCGGATGTGCCTAGCTAATCATGTTGCACATAATGTGTGAAACCTAATCGTCCACAGGTACTCTGTAGATAAACGTAGATAGAGGTCTGACAGACGCGCCCCAAACACGTGACTGAATGCATCTGTATCTCTTGGTCACTTCACTAGTCGTGCACACCTCTTTGCCCTGCTGCAGATGGTACGACTAATCCTCTCATGCAGCAGTGATAATGTGGGTTGGATGAGCGCGAAGGCCTGAGACGATGATGGGATGGATGTGGGCGGGCTGACCGATCCCAGCTGACCCGAGCGGCGGGTATGTCGTCTCGCGGCAGCATCTGATCACCTGCCTCTCCTTCGTCTACCTACTCATTCTTGGGCGGCGGCCGTGACTTTCATCACATCGTGGCGGTGTTGCCTAGCTGTCTGGCTACCTAGCTGAGATAGATTAACAAAGACGCTTGTGACACGTTATTCAACAGGAATGGATAGCATCGTGGCTTCTGAAATGTGTCATGGTCATTAATTTGCAGCGCAATGCGGATCCAAGTGTCTTGCGACTGATCCTAAGTAGGTAGCTCCCTAGCTCATCTGAGCTTAGAGCTTAGGTAGCATGTACGTCAGCCTCTAAGCCTTAATTCGGATCTTAAGACAGGGGTCTTCCAAGCACAATCTGATGCTTCAGGTACGCGCTTCTTCGTTCTGCTCTTCCTTTCTTGTTCTAATTAGGTATATCACCATGTCTTTCGATAGTCAGAGGCGAAGCGATGATTTACTAATAGCGCTTACTGGGATTTTAAGGAAAGCTGCATAGCTGCTATGCAGGTTTCCTCATCTTCGAATTGTCGATAGATCCTCTGTCTCAAATAAATCCATGTAGGCATTTATTCTACCTACCTAGTGGGCATCAGCTCCCTGAACCTGGGCGGAGATAGCCGATCGCAAATTCGTCTCGATCCGGTATCCAAGGTCGTCACGCATGCGCAGTGATTGGTCAAGTTAAGCAGTGTTTCTCTATTCAGACAGCTAACTGACAGTCTGACAGACTACTGTATGTAACTACTTATGCGAGCAAGCAACATGCACTTTACTTGGGACATCCATGTAAGACATGACAAGGCAGGCCAAGGACAAGACAGGCTGCTCATGCTGTACCGACCGACTAGTAACCACACCACGAGAGCCTGGAGTGGAAAACAAGGCCCCAGAGCCTATGGCAAGCGAAACACCAACAGGGAAGTCAGGCTAGACGATGCCCAGTCACGAAATGGCAATTTCTAGTCAGTATTGGTGTAGCAGTGGCACAGCATGTCATAATCCATGTTACAAAATGGATGTCAGCCCCCATGCCAGCCACACGGGATTGCTCTGCCCCACAGACAAGCATAAGCCCAAACACGCTACGACAACAACACGGCATCAATCATACTGGTAAGAAGGAAACAAACAGCCACTGCTCCGCATAACGACATCAAGTGTACCAGGTAGGTGGTCCGAAGGGAAGAGGACGGTTCCTGGAACAAGCGAAGCTATAACACAGCAGAAGTATATCCTAACTACGTCATATCAACCTCTTCGAGAAAACATCGCAAGACTACGGCATAGCTGGCGCCAGCTAGATAGCCCACCACATCTAGACCAAGCCCATAAACACACAGCAGTAGCTGCTTTGACCAATGACTTCTTGCCGAACGCTCGCTTGTCGGTGTTTGGGCGTGAGATCAGTCAGCCTGCAGTAGAGCTGACCTGTCAACATGCGGGAGGAAAACGCCCCCCAACATCAACCCCATATCAGCATATCTATGTACTACACTCCTACCGTATTACGTGCCTTGCTTGTTGAAAACTGATGAGGCTAGGACCACGATATGTTTGCCAGATTGTTGGGTTACATAGCCATATCCCTGATCCCTTCCTTCGGAATGTATCTACGTCAAGCCAGCGGGTCAGATGGCCAAGGCAAGGTCCCATTGTGACTACAGTGACATTTCGGGTTGGGAGAAGTGGTGCCTAGATCTGCCTGGAGTAGGTAGGTACCTACGTGACGAGAATGTGTCTTGATGCTGTGATACACATACCTTCGTCACCGGAACTAGTCCCCCTCAGCTCCGTGCATCACGGCCAAGCCGGTAGTGAACAAAGCAAAAACCTGCGGCAAATGGTTGCATCCAAGGCAGTTCATGTCATCGGCTACCTCGTGGCCCTGGTCTCCCTGGGGATCACTAGGCGCATAAATCGGGGCTGTCTTGTCATACGTCTTGCAGTGCCTCCGAAGCAATATATAAGAAAGGCTTCCAACAGGCCGGATCATTCTCACTTGGCATCATATTACTTACTTACTTAGTTCTCATTCACTATTATATCTACTACTCACTTTCACCATCTAGATAGCCTTTTGAGATTCAACTCTTGACATACTTCTCAGCAACTATCCGTAAACATAACCAACATGGCACCTCACATGTGCTCCGTCGTTCCCCCTTATCTCCTCAACGCCCTCGCCGAGAGTGAGCACAACAGCGATGAGATTCGCAAGTCAGCCCGCAGCTGTCTCGACTTCAGCAAAACCTACCTAGAGAAGCGCCAGCGCGTCTTCACCGAGCTGACTGCTCCCCGTGGCTTTCGAGGCGCTGCCGGATACCAGCCCAAGCAGCGCATCATCCCGGACGTTCTGCTGAAGCACATCTCCGAATGCGAGGACGTCGACGAGGAAACCCGCTCCAAGGCCAAGCGGGACCTCTCTCACATCGAGGACGTCCAAGCCAAGTATCAGCAGGCCCAGGGCATCGCCGCACAGGCGAAGACCCTCACTGCTGCCGCTGAACCGGCCAAGGCCGAGACGACCTACCGCGCTGTGTACGATGCCAAGCACACGGAAGACGAGGGCAATCTGCCAGGCGATGTGTTGCGCGTCGAAGGACAGAAGGCCGTCAGCGACGAGGCTGCTAACCAGGTCAGTCTCACACCCATTCTCCAGTAACGCGAACCCGAGAGCACAAATCAAGGATCTTAGTGATTCCCCTTTGCACTCACAAACCCATATACAGAATCTACCCTCAACCAGCAATCCACTAACTTCCACCCCTGAAAACCAGGCCTACGAGAACGCGGGCAACGTCCTGAGCTTCTACTCCGACATCTTCAACTGGAAGTCCATCGACAACAAGAACATGAACGTCATCAGCTCCGTGCACTTTGGCAACAAGTACGAGAACGCGTTCTGGGACCCCGAGATCGCGCAGAGTAAGTCGCGTCATTTATGATAATGTGCCTACTACCCAGCTCTAGTCCCGTCCAAAGAGCGTTCACGACGCTGTTTCTCAGGACAAGAATCTCAAACCCCCGCTCAAGGCCTCATCCATCTCCCTACCCACATACACTAATTCTTTCACACAAAGTGGTATACGGCGACGGCCACAATTTCCTCGGCAACTTCACCAACGCCGTGGACGTCATCGGCCACGAGCTCACGCACGCCGTGACGGAGCACACCTCGCCGCTCGACTACACGGGCCAGTCGGGCGCGCTGAACGAGCACGTCTCCGACACCTTCGGCATCATGGTGAAGCAGCGCGTGCAGGACGAGACGGCCGAGCAGGCCGACTGGCTCGTCGGCGAGGAGTGCCTGATGCCCGGCGTCAAGGGCGTCGCCCTGCGCTCCATGAAGGCCCCCGGCACCGCCTACAACGACCCCCGCTTCGGCAAGGACCCGCAGCCCGACAACTTCAAGGACTACAAGTTCACCTTCGAGGACAACGGCGGCGTCCACTTGTACTCGGGCATCCCCAACAAGGCCTTCTATCTCACCGCCATCGCCTTCGGGGGTTATTCGTAAGTTTTCCCGGTCTCTCTTGTCCCTTATAATACTTTCCCCCCCCTCTCTCTCTCACATACACACGCACAATTCATCACCTATTTATCCAAGTGACTTCATATGCTAACCACAGATATTTTAATTCTGTAGCTGGGAGAAGGCCGGCAAGATCTGGTGGGAGACGCTGCAGAGCGGACAAATCCCTCCCAGGTGCACCTTCATGCAATTCGCCGACGCAACCGTGGATAAGGCCGAGGAGCTCTTCGGTGATGAGGGAGCGGCGGTTGTTCGCAAGGCCTGGAACGAAGTTGGTGTCATCCGCAAATCACATGCCTAAAGCATGGCTGTTGGAACTCAGCCAATCTGTCAGGGGTACAAAGTAGCAGCGTTTAGATGCGAACGTTTCGGTGGATCACGTCATTGACATGGTTCTTCTACTCTGTAACAACAATACTGCCCCAAACTTCTACGATTGAAATTCAGATAGTATATTTGGGATAGCTATTATTTGAAGTGATGTCTTTCTGTTAAGCATACATCATTATAATGTAGGAGAGTTTGCTCGCAAAATGCAAGTTTATTTTAGTTTGACACAGCAAACTTGAATATTGTATTTCATCTACGCTTTCTCAATCTGACCCTTTCTGTCCTCAAAGCAGCCCTAGAGGTTCTCGATTAGTTAGTGTTACGCCCTCTGTACATTTTCTGCGGGATGTAGATGCGTCTCAGCTTCAAGCCAATATGTAGCAATGCGATAAGTGGTATTTTCAAATACAGTCAATGCCGATATTTTGGGAGATTTATGGCAGAGAAGACAAAGGTGTAGCTCCCCTGTCACCACTGATATCTTAATCAATAAAGTTGACCAATCCCCGTAGGCTGTCGATCAGCCCTGAGTCATAATCGGTAACCCAGGTTGGCTCAGAATCCTCTAACTCATTTGATGAGCTGTCCTCGCTGTCACTTGCCTGCTCTTCATGAACAGGGGTAGAAAGACTATTAACGCAGGACTCGTCCGCATTAATATGAGAATCCGATAGTCGTTCATCCTCCCGAGAAAATATTGGAGCATTTGTGTCGAATGCCGGCAGAGGAGAGCTCAAGCCATGGGTGTCTGGCCCTTGACGGACGAGGGCGAGGGATGAAGGCTGTGATGTTTCGATTGTGTTGTCAGCAGATGGCAAGTCAAATCGATCAGATGCTTTTTGTAGTTCATCAACTGTAGTAAAGCTGAGGTTTGGTGCCTAACCATACTCCATACTTTCCTTCAGGCTGTGTACTACACCAGGATATAATGTCTCATCATTCGCCCAGGCCATTCGTGGCGATGCATTTTCACTCATTTCAGGTACTTCAGTGACTTTTCCACCGCCAAGGAGCTCGTCCAGACCTGGCAGATCAGACATATCATCATCGTCATAAGTATCACCCAAAGGCTCATCCCCGGCAGGTATGGCAGCTTTGTCCACATCTATAGTAGTGAGGGATCTCCCATCATCACCTAAACAACCCTGTACACTACCGCTCCCAGGGGAAGGCTGTGCTTTGTGGCTTTTGGTTAGGCGTGGCGAAAGTATTCCATCACTCTTAACATTCTCGTGGAGATGTAGCAATTTATACCGCTGCTTCCGAGTTCTACTTAGAGAAGGTGGTTTTCTCGTTGATGTACTACTGTTGTCACTCGAGTCGCAGAGATCGATAAACTCAATGTTTGAAAAGCTGGATGAAGAATCGACGCGAGCTAGCTTGGCTCTCCGAGGTATGTGAGCACCATCCAGCGAGCGTTTCTTAGTTCTCGGTGTCTTTCCAGGGTGATCTTGGCCCTTGCGCCTAGTGCGAGCAGTTTTCGGATCATGAGGCGTCATGAGCAAAGTTGAGTTTGCCTTCTTCCCACCCTCACAGTGATCAGCGCGCCTATTCTCACATGAGCCGCCCAAGTTGCCTGACACTTTCGATAATTTGGGCGGTCGATATTTTTCAACCCCTTGTTGACAGCATTTGTGATTGCACGGTTTCCCTAGCTTGGTAAGACCACCATTGCGGCAGTGGTGATTGCAAAGGTATCTGCCATTATCCATTTTCGCCAGAGGGGCATCAGGTAGTCCAGTCATTCCAGTCAGAGCAACTTCTTCTGACAGGATCTCGTCAATGAGTGGGAAGTCCTCTTCCCCTTTGTCCAGAAATTCTGGTGACTTTAGGTTTAGTTCAAGATCGTGAATTCTTGGCGAATTGAGAGCTTCAAGCATAGCCTCGTCAGAAATATCCTCATAGTCCTCTTCGATATGCGGTACATTAGTTGAAGCAGTGGGATGGACTTCTTGTTTGCGGATCTTCCGGAAAACGGAGGCAGGAACCTTGGGCTCCAAATTGACCGTTACCTGCGTTCCTACGACACTTTCACAGCTAAAGTGACAGAATATTTTCTGATTCGGCGCTGTGAGAGCAACAGGGAACTTTATGTCTAAACCGCTTGATTTCTCGAGCTTCTTCGCACTCCCGCGCCAGAAATATGCAAGAGTTCCGTCTGATGTTAGTGCGATGAAGGTCAACGGGGGAATCCTATCCTTCCAATACGGTGCTGTCTTAGTGTTGCGGTGCCCCAAGTGTGCTTTGACAGTGACCGATATAGATTCGTTTGACTCGAGACGTGGTGCTGTAGATTCTACTAAATCAGCCTTCAATGTAAGGCGAGGAAACTTTTCCAGTATTTTCTGTACATTTCGGCCGTACGGAGGATTTCTGCTAGCAATTCGCTCGATATCATGGATATCTTTGTCTGCCACTTCTAAAACTGTACGAACCCCGAAGCTAACCCATTTTCGCACAGCTACTGGTCCAAAACCTGGAATCTGAGATAGCTGCGCCGGCTTGTTTTCCCAGGCCTGGGCCTCTATAGATCGATGGAGTTCGAGTGCGGCCTGAGTTCCTAATCCGTCGCCTTCGTATGCTTTGCAGTCGATCACGCAACGTACGAGCCGCTTTAGGCGATCAAATACCATTCGTCGTTCTCTAAGCAAATCTTGGCGGATGAAGTTGGTATCCTTATCTGTTGGCAGATCGACCCCTCCAAGATAGATTTGGACAATCATGAAGATCTTATGCCAAGTGAGGGACAATGTTTCCTTTATTTGATGGAGAATAAGAGGCGACTTGTTGAGTTCCCGAAAAACAGCTCTCTCAGTTGGCTTGAATTTGAAATCTTTGAACTCCATATCCTTGCAGATGATAGTGAGCTGTAAATGCGTTAACACGTGATGATACAAGGACTTTGCTCGCTTTACCTACCATTTCTCCAACGCCAGCAGCTCGAGGAATCGAAAGTAGAAGCCTCATGGTATCGAACTTAATCATGTATCTAGACATAGCTTGACCATACTCAGTGCACTTGAGTGGTATCTGCTGAGTCACGAGCCCATTATCTTGCAGAAGTTTGACGTCTCGCTCACACCACTCCTCCATTTGTTCATCCGCGCCAGCAGCGCTTTGGACACCTTGAAGGTTATATAAAGAAGGCGATTGCCGTACTCGCACACTGAGAAATGTGCCGCCGATCCACTTCTTCGCAGTCTGAATGTCTTGGATTGTCCCAAGCCCGATCTCAGAGTTTAAGTGCTCTAATAAATTTTGATGTAACGTGCTTTCTAGAAGCTCCTCGCCGGAAACTAGTTTCTCGTACCTTTGGACGTTTCCTGTCCTCGTCATGATAATCGCAATAGCTCGACTATCAAATTGTGGACGGCCTGCACGTCCCAACATCTGTATGACTTCCAAGTCTGAGTATTCTTGTGGCCCATCATCAGTGTAATGGTTAGTGCCTTTGAGAACGACAGTGTGACAAGGCAAGTTGACTCCAACGGCGAGAGTAGATGTACAGCATATAAGATGTAACTGACCGTTAAGAAATTCCCTTTCGATCGCAGCTCTGTCACTAGCTTCCAGACCTGCGTGATGAAATGCGACTCCATAGCGAGTGAGCTCTTGTAAATCCTGTGATATCACAGGAATGCGGTGATTTGGTGGTGGCCATGGCCGGTCATCATTACGACATGTTGACCACCATTCCGCTAGAGACTGGGCTGTACGCTCACAAGACTTTCTTGTGAAACAGAACACCATAATCGGCTTTCCTTTAGAGTGCTTTGCTATCAGGAGATTTAGCTTTCCATCAAGCGACTTTTCAAAAATGAAGTCGTTGGGCGCGCCATCATAACCATACACATGCCTCTGCAGTTTGACCGGTCGCAATTCTTCTCCGAAAACTTCGTGTCTTGCTGGTTCATGCTGGTTCTCATGATCGCGGCCAAGCCATATAGCGATGTCTTTGATGTTTGGAACTGTTGCACTGATAGCAACAAAGCGAATGCTAGCCCCGATGGTCTTCATTCTGGAGACTACTGCTTCGAGGGTCGCGCCTCGAGTGTCCTTTAGAATGTGAACTTCGTCGATAAGCACAAGTCGGACGAGTTCTAGTAGTCTCATATGATCTTTCCATTTTCTTGTGATTGAATCCCACTTTTCAGGCGTAGTAACGATTATGGATGCACTACCAATGCGGCGAGCCTCAGCCTGAGAAGTATCTCCAGTAAGCTCAACACAGTGTAGGTTCATATGACTGAACTTCGCCTGCCAGTCCCTTGCCTTTTCGGAACATAAGGACTTTGTGGGTGCTTGATAGATAATCTTGTAGTTGCCTCCCCCTTGGGTGGACACAAGCTTGCAGATAGCCATCTCCAGAATTGCAGTCTTACCAGAGCCAGTAGGTGCTGAAATAACTACGTTGTCATTCGTGCCATATACCAGAGGGAAACACTTTGACTGTACAACATTGAACAGCTGGAATGGGAAAATTGCACGGAACTTGTCAGGCAACGATTGCCGTGGGTCAATCAACAAGGTATTGTTTACAATAGGTGGTGGGTAGGAAGCATGGTCGAGATCAAGCTGAAACTTTTGGTTCCATTTTGGGAGAGCACTATTGCGTTTGAAGATCGATTTTTGCTTCTCTTGGCTGATGCGAACTGAAGGACTCGAGTTCACCGCTTGCGAGGGAGAGCTACTTGACAGTGAGGAGTGTATCGGTGGCGTGGTCTTTTCTGCAAGCGTGTCAGCTATGTGTTGGTACTCTGACAATTTGATTATTCGCCATACCAGCATATAAAGGCTGCGCAAAGAGCTGTCGGCCGAATCTGATCTCTTCATCTCTTGTGCTGTTCCGATTTGATATTAACTGGGTGGATGGTAGGTGCTGAGATCTTGCAACCTGGGCTAAAGGGTTGCGTGCTAACAGTTGATATGGGAATTCTAAGGAAGGATCTTGAGCACCGCAAATAGGAAATGCACGGTTGAGCTCGGGAAGCCGATCACCAAGGTAATTGGGAATACTTTGGAATTGTGATGGGTGATCAGGATCTCTAGGCACGAAGGGTCTGAAATAATGACTTGCATCCTCTAAAACGCGACGTGGTCTGTCAGAGCTAGTGTACAACGGTAAAGAAATCCGTTCATTAATAGCGCCGTTACTGGGAAAGTTTCTAGTGCTCGGAGAGTGGTACGTAGTTCGTGGATGGCCAAGTACTGTGCGATCTAGAGAGAGGGCGAAATCAGAGTTTTGTTTGATGCGCGGCATAATTGAGGGGGCATACCAAAGTCATCCAGGCCATTGTATTCAACCCCATCGCGTGTCATGTGGTCTAGACCAACATTGAGGTTGTCTTGGTCGCAATAATCGCTAGCAGAGGTAAATGTCTGTGGTAGGGGATAGCTAGTCTCAGGGAAGAGACTGCTAGTATGGTCGATGATATGCTGTATATGTCTGTCATGGTTGTCGCCACTGGGTGGACGGTAGAGACCGAAGATATGTCCACGGCCACCAGCTTGAGACATAGTCGTGGGCTCCCTCGCTGGACAACAGAGTGTGTTTATATATGCAGGAAATGCGGAATACTATCGGAAGCTTTCGTCTGATGATCTAGATTATTAGAGACATGGTGTATATAGGGGGTCCCACGAGATAATGGAAATGTAATGTAGAGAAGAGAAGAGGGGAAGATGAGAAGAACATCATCAAAATCCGTGGGAGATGTGTGCAACCCGAGTGTGAAACACCGCACTTGCCTCCTCGGTTCTTCCGTTCTTCTTTCCTTCGCCGTGAAGTGTTCCATCGTTCTTTCTCATGTAGATGCCGCAAGTCAAGAATCACGTGACAACCTGATAATGTAGAACTTCTATGCACTGAACATCTCGAATTTCTGTATCATTAAGTGCTCTCAATGCCAGTAGGACATGAACTGACCCTTTTCATATGCCGTGGCTAACGATACTCGGGGTCCTGTTTGGACAAGTCTCAAGTTTCAAGGTTACTCAGCCTTGAGGGTCTGTGAAACTCGAGCGTCACATGATACCCCAAGGGCTTCAGAGTATGGACAATGCAGATATTGAGCGGATCCTCATGAGATATAAAATATAATCTATTCATTTTCTATACGTTTCTCTGATGTGCCGCATGTGTGCTTACTATCCCAAATTCTGGGGGCACGAATGGTGAAGTAACTCTAGAGTTTGGTCATGAACCAAACACTATCATTGTGTCGAGTTCTTTTTGACTTTGTACGCTTATTACTCCACGATGTCTCTAGCGCCTCCCGAGGGACTGTTCGCTGTTGCGCGTAGTTTCAGAAGCCACGGTTCAGAGGCCCATAGGGTAAACAAGAGAGTACAATGCCCCTTGTGCAAGCTTCAATCTTTTGAAGCACACGACGTAGACACAGTATAAATACGGCGCGGCGCTTGTCCCACCTGGAATGTCGCAGCATTGCTGGGACTAGGTAAAGCACTCACTCGCATATTCTCGGCGGGCTTCATCTAGTCAATTTTCGTTTCTTGATCCGTTTTCTCATTATCCATCCTCAATCATCTCGCCCCTTATCTCTACCTGAAGGCCCACGACTGTGATAGCGCAGCGGCGAAGAAGGTCGCGACGTTGAGAGACCCAGACTCTTGACACTGTCTATTGGATTTGGCACAGAAAGCCTACCATTTGACTGAGGCGTAAGCATAGGGTCAATTGTAGTCTTTTCGTAGCTAGCGATGTTGATCGGTGGCGGGCGCCGTCGCTTGCGGTCAGGGCTCGTGTAGAGGTAGGTGGCAAAAAGGACAAATCCAGTGCCTAGGACAAACTGGAACAAGTTAGTGGATTATGGCATATGGAAATCTGAGGAAGACCTTACTGTAAATGTAATCTCGCAAGTAAAAAACAATACTGTGAATAGGAAACTGATGATGATGCTTATGCTCGTTGCAAAGTTCTTCGCGATATTGTCGGCGTAATGGATACACAATGAAGCCAATACGCCACCCATCGCTTGAAGGACGATCAAAGCCCAAACTACCCAGTTATAACCATCGAAGAAGCCATGCTTTGCGATCTCCTCGCCGTCCTTGAATACGACGCCGATGAAGAAGGCAGGAATTATGGAGTAGAAAGAGAGCTGAATATTGCGAATCCATACAGATGCAGTCGTATGAGGATCTTTGAGAACCTTTTCGAAGAAGACCCCTGTTAAACCTGATAGTGCGGCAACAGCCAAGACAGCGAAAAGGCCAACTGAATAGTTCATAATAGGTGGGTTATTTTGATCTTCATCGATTCCTTCATACGTAGCTGATCGCTTTACTAGCAGCTCGCCAGCATCGGCTAACGAATCCGTGCCGCGTCTTGTTAATTCCATGGCCACTTCGCGGAGATCATTAACTGCTTGCCCTAATTCATGTACTGATCGGGGGAAAAAGTGGTCCGTCATATCGTTAATGAAGAAAGAGCTGTCTTTCGAGTCTGATGAAGGTACTGAAACGATAGACACCCCAGCCGTCAAAATAACTAGTGAGATCCATTTTCTCACTGACAGGGACCGGCCCAATATGGTCACAGTGAAGATGGCTGTCGTGAGTATCTAACCGAGTCTCGTTAGTTGCCAATCGGCAAGTTTAGGGAATTGATATCATATACCTTAAGCTGCAAGATAACTTGGTAGTGAACTGGATCTAGGTTCTCTACAGCCCTGTATTGCAAAGTATTTTGCAAAGTATAGAGCATCGCTGGAATTGCCAGCTTCCACCCGTCCCCCTTGAACACAGCATTGTAGATCTGTTGGAATAGGACTGTCGCTGGGGTAGAAGGAGCAAGGGTTCTGGAAACTTCGTAAATGGCAAAGGTCAGAGAGATAGCAAGCTTGAAGAGCTCGGTGAGGAATACAGCGGTGGATGGAAAATATCGGTGGTCACCACTCGGGGGCATTCTCCGTGAATAGTGCGCGAGCAGGGTAACGGCCGAATTTTGGAATGTCAGCTAGTGGCAGTGAAGGTTAGTCTTGGTATGGATTATAGCGACGAGGAGAGGCAGAGTGACGGCAGGATTGACGTGGTTCGCAGCGCATCGTCGGGTACGAAGTGTACGCACCGTTATTAGGGAAATATGCTTCAAAGGCACGCCGAAAAGCGTTGGCCCACGCGTCATCCGCGGTAACCCGTTTGTAACATCAAGAAGAGCCATGGTGAAGCTATCCGTTTTCTATAGGATAATCTCGTCGTTTGCGCCTGCGACACTTTCTCCAGATAGATCCTCCCAGCCTGTCCAGCTGGGGTCGGACTCCGTTCAGCTAGTATAGGCGGAGCGCTTCAAACCGAATGGTCGATCGAGTAATGCGATTCTAAGTGGTGGATGTATAGAGATGTCGAATGTAGTAATGGACGCGGCGCGATGGTCGTGCAGGCAGCATCAAGTCGGCGACTGGACCGCGCAACGACACAAATTGAAAAATAAAAATACAGAGGTAGGTATATAAAAGATGACGATACCTTAGTAGTCACCAAAGGCCGGGGCAAACCCAATTATGCGAGTCGCCAAACTGAGCAAAGCAGAAAAACAGCAAGGTAGCTGCATGCACGTTTCAGTGTGCCTCCAGCTACCCAATACGACCAGAACTGACAAGGGTGCCGTCAACCTGAAGAGGATGCTTCACCACTGTCAACGATGTAACCCTTGCCTGCTCTTTATCCCAGCAGCCTCTACCTGTAAGCTGGGGGAGTAGGTGTTGGGCTTGGACGTCTCGAAGGAGCTGCTCAATCGGGGTTTCCACTGGATCCTAGGGGAAGGAAGATCGGGCGGACAGGTCGCACCGAGGATCGAAGAGTACTGATTACTGCTGGATAAATGAGACTGTCAGGTTTTGATTTTTTGAATATTTTGTAGATTGCTTCGTCGAAAGAGTGCATGATATCAATGGCGTTTTGACAAGCTTGGGGGTTCATGCTGACTTCTACCTACCTACGTAATCGACTTCAGGTGCACCGGTAGGCTAGCTGCGGCTGTATCCCCACGATCCCACCTCCATGGCTCCATGGGAACCTAAACCTCACTAACCTTAAGGTACCTAGGGTAGCGAGTAGGTTCCTCTACAGCACTACCTACTTGACGATTCCTCTGATTTCTCTTTGTCTTACTTAATTACTAACCTGCAGAGACCTTCTTTCTCTTTGGCCTGTGATTAACTGGTGTCTTGGACCCCGAGAGTATGCACCTTGGTACATTTTCAGACAGCGGTACTGGTACTGGTACCTACCTAGCCTGCCCATAACTGGAGAGTGGGTTGGTTGTAGGTACTTGCTCTTCACTGCATCATCATGTGCTGGTTAGCTCCCATACCCTTCCAATAGTGCATGTACTAGTGCAACTTACAGCACCTCTGTGGGTGTCATGATGCTTATTAGGTAGGTATTCGCATCGATCTCCAGGGCAAACTCAAAATTGTGTGCTGTCTTAACGATCATCCATAGATCTCACCGTTCTCTAACCAAAGCACTCAATCTGGATATGTGCTTCAACTGGCTTCCTACTAAGTCTAGGCTGTACAACATAATTAATTAAGTATTCCCCTACGTGGAGTCATTCAAGCTCTGTCACAGCCATTCCGATGTCTATGATGTAGATATATTACATGTAGGTAGTTACCCACACGCATTTAGGGAGGTAGGGTAGGTAGGTGTGTTGTCTGTGTGAATCCAATTCAATCTCCTCGGCCAGGAACAGCATCTACCTACACTGTAGGATCACGCCAATCCAAATCTCGCTCGATATCGATGATGACCCCAACCATCGGACTCAGCTGTGCATGGGGGAGAGATGCGAGGGTGGACTAGAACCTCCGGCCCTCTTCCTCAGCATCATCTCTCGTTCCTACGCTAACTATATACCTGTACTATAGTAAACCACAATGTGACTATATACCTGTACTATAGTAAACCACAATGTGGTTGCATACTGCGAGACCTACGGCACATGGTTTTGGAGGTAATGTGCGACACCACCAATGGGGGGGAAAGGCAGTGTACCAGCGACTTACTCACGTAGTAGTACGTGCATACAGACCTGCATGCAAATTGCATCGTGGCAGCTCCCTGTGTCGCATCAAAGCCTGCGGATCATCTCTGCCTACCCGTCTGCTACTTGGTCTGGTTACTGGGGCAGAGCTGGGGGCCCTAAAGCAGAACGGCAGTTGATCTCACATCGACGTGGAAGCGAGCGGGCGATCGCTAGGAAGATCGACTAGGGGCATCTCCTCGCTCAAGACCTATCCAATCAGCACCGAGAACGTGTGAACACGACAGCAGGAAACAGAATCCAAGATTTATGCCAGCATGTAGACAGAAGGGGTCTCGTGGTCTTAGACCACGAATTAATTTATGAAGCGCATTCTCAGCGTCGTCATAGGCGGGATCGCGTATTTCGTTGAGCATGGCCAGCCAGTTGTCAACGATTATTTTAGATGACGTACCCCAGAAGGCTCGTTTATTATTATGAATATCATCGTCCATATCACGAAATGCCGAGTTTCCTCTGTGCAGCGCCAACAGTCGTGCCACCTGCTTAAATGCAGTCTCGAAACGTCGGTAAGGGGCTTCATCTCATCTAATGCATCATCCATTATGTTATCGTTCCAGCCATCAGTAGGTACGCTTGAAGACCTTTTCCTCCCATTCCCGCCCAGTATTAATATAATAATGTCTTTTCCCCCGCATCCAAATACCGCTGAATGCAATGTAGTATATAGTTACATATGAAGTATAATTAGTTCGGCGTACTCTGCCGAGTAATGTCTTGAATTTGACAGACCCGTCTATCGGTAGGTGTGTCAATTATAAAAAAAAAGAAGGTAGTAAAGGAGGGCGGTTAGAGTGACTGGTTCTGAGGTATCGTGATTCTGTGTAGTGTATTTTAAGTCGTCAAAAGGTGTGTTGCTTTCAGTTATCGTCACCCATCCAAGGCATTGGAGAGGTTGGGCTTCCAACGGCGCTTAACCGTACCATGCTCCTCTTACTTTTTACATGGCCAATTTTACGCTCGGGTGAGAGACCCTGTTGCATCGCGCTCGACGGGTGGAGAAAGTCAGCAGATGGAGGGCTATTTGGATTTTGGGTCGAGGGTTTTCCTGGCCGAGGGGGTAGTGGCCAAGACGGCGGCGGCATTGGCGGCTGCGGAAATCCATCGAGACCAAGGTCGCCTAGATCATCCTCATCATCTTCATACTCAATGTACGGAGGCCGGGATTCGACTTCAGGCACGTCTTGTAATCGTCGTACTCTCGCCGGGGCGCCCAGGGAATCGGTGGATATCGAGTCAGTTTGGGACCGGCTGCTATAACTGCTACTACCCCGTCGATTACCAGTGCTGCCACTTATACGCCCTCGAACCGGCCCGGATGCGCTGTCACGCCTAGATTGCATGCGGCTAGAACGTCGCTCGTTGACTATGAGATCTTCTCCATCACTGTCATCCATGTAGTCGTCGCTAAAGTCCAGGCTCGTGTCTCTCGTGTTAGTGTCATCAATGGGGTGGTCAAGATACAAAGAAATTTGTTCGTGTCGAGAATCGGGCGTCGCCAAAGACGTAGATCCGGTAGCTGATGTTGAGGTCCTATCAGTAGCGTCGCTCCGGCTCGCTGTTGAGGGCACGTCAACGTCACGCGACTGAGAGCCGGTCACGAAGAGTGAAGAGGCTCTCTTCGGCCAAGGGTTGACGAGAGGCCCGAGTGTCTCCCGGTTGCTAGTTGGGCTTGACCTTTTCACATTCTGGGGGCTGCCTCGATTTGAAATGTCTGCTCGGCTACTCCCATCCTCTTCAGATTCCGAAATCGTCGTCTCACGCATCTTAGCCCTCTTCTGTCGTAGTGCCGCCAATAGCATCTCTTCCTGTCTTGTGACTGCCATCATACGCGCGTTGTGAGCTTCACTGGAGCCATTTGCCATCGCTTGTCTTTGGAGTGATTCACGGGATGGCATATAAAATTCCATACTGTTAGGTGATAGCGGTGGGGTCGGTTGATCCGAGGAATGAGAGACACGGGATGTAGCAGTGCTATTTTGACGTAATAGAACTTTTTCTAGATGGTGGGCATCATCGGTTAAGGAGACGTTAGATGCAGCTTCCACTGTGGAAACCAATGGCACGAATGACACAGTTGTGGCTTCTTGAACGCTGTAACCTGCCTGATGAGCAAAAACCATTGTATCAATGGTGTCAGCAGATCTCGACGATATTCGGGAGGCTGGAGTGAAGGGAACCGTTGGATGTGCCGAAGTTAGCGTGCTCATAGAGGATTGACTGGAGCGACCAGTGTAGTTTGATGGCGACCGACTAGTATGAGCTCGTGGTGCAGATTTCACAGCGAGATGCTCATCTACCTGGTTGAGGGAAGGTGTGAACTTCCTTGGGCTCGCGACTCCATGTAGATGATTGAAATTCTGCGGCGCTCTATTTGGAACTGGATATTCGGGAATTTCATCATCTATGACACCTTCACGATGACTAGGCGTCGACGATGTTGGGCCGATAGCCTCATCATCTGAAGAATCCGATAGAGATAATACACTGCTCTGTAACCGGTCTGACTCCAATAAGCTCTTGCTTGAAGGTGAGGCTTTTGATGTTCGTGTATGCCGGCTTGATATGCTGCCGGCATAGTCTCCTCTAGATGCAGGATGTACCTGGAGCCCAGCGGTCGACTCGGCTATCGACGCAGCGACTCGACTATCGTGAGAATTATTGCGTGAGTGATTGGACCTTGCGTCTTGTCCCCGCGATATTATTACGGGTAGCGGTGCGATGAGGCTATGTGTAAATATGCTAGCCGGTCTAGGCCTATCTGAACTTCGTTCCGAGTACGCTGCTAAGTGCTCCGGTTCAACCTCCTCCACGAATTGCTGCTCATCCTGGAATGACATCTGCTCGTAATGGTGATAGAGTTGGTGCAATCCAGTAGCTTCAGTGACGCCCTTTGACCGAGACTGTTGGACAGTGTGCTGTTTCATGAGCTTTCGCGGAGTTCTCTGACGTTCTTCCACTGTAGAGCCTGACATCATGGGCGACCTTGGCGTTTGCGCCATGAATGATGGCGAACGCATAACATAATTATTGCCTAGAATGGGATCGGTATTAGGGGAGTTGCGGGTGCGGTCCTTGTGTCCCTTCGGCCGTAAGCGCGAAAAGTCAAGCTTCGCAGGTTTCTTCTTTTTCATAGTTTGCGGGCCCGCCAAGCTTCCATCTATGTCCAGGAGCTCGTTCACCTTTGTTGGAAGACCTTTGGCCATTGCCGAATTCGACGTTTGCTGCGATATCGCAAGAGGCATTTTCGTGGCATCGTAGTGAGTGTCAATCGTTGACGAGGACAATTGTCTACCTCTTGTAGATGTATTCGTTACGTTATCGCGTGATTCGTTTCCGCCGATATAGGGTGAGCGGCTTCCCGCTAGGCCTCTGTGAGCAGAGCCGTGCGCACTTCGATTATGTCGCGGGATGATGGCAGATTCCTCTTCCCAATGACGTGTCCTTCCATATTCCTTTTCCAACCCAATGTCATGCGCGGCTTCACTCGCACTGCTCTCAGATATTGATATGCTGATACCGCCGGTGGAACCTGTCTCCCACGCCCGGCTAGGTTCGACTGTCAGTCTCGACGATCCGATATTAATTCCATCCGCACCTAATATCCTTTGTGCTTTTGAAAGAGGGACTGGGACAGCAAGCGTTTGCGCCTGCTGCTTTTTGCTGGATCGACCCGGTACAGGGAACTTAAACCTAGACTTTATACCGCCACCCATCGTGAAGAGCTACCTCATCAATGGCGTAGGTAACCCGTCTTGATATGGTGAAAGACCTTGTCACCGTGCTTACTTCCGAACCTGTTGGCAGCCGAAGACCTGTCCACTGAGCATCGTCTTCGGAATGCTATGGACAGAGCAGCCTGAATGCCTGTTATCTCACGTATGGCTGTAATGCACGTTTGTTTGGATGGCTTGAACCTCAGAGCGGATTTCGGCTAGCGAGAAGCCTGGCAGGGTCTCTCAAACAAGTTCCCCGAGCTTCTCAGTTCAGAATAGATAGTGTCCCAGTCGTCACGATCATTGTACGTGTAAATAAGGCGATGATGTTCGATTCGAGATTATGTTGCGACAGTCGACCTTTCTCTCTCTTAGGTGCTTGTACTGGCTCTGCGTAACGTGTGCCAGTTATCAACGAACCCAGTAAGCTGTGGAAAAGAAATGGTCAGATACTTTCCTAATATGAGGTCGAATATCATCCGTCTTTTGATGAAGGATCTCTACCCCAGACTTCAGGGGTGGTACGTACACTATATTTGGTTCTCTCAAGGAACCACACACGGGCTCGGATAAAACCAACCATTAAATGCCACGAGTGGATCGATTCATGAGTGTGAGGATGAGGAAGAAAGTAGAATAAAATGAAAAATGTCCCTTCGCGGTTTGCTAGAGGGACACGAGAAGTCAAGTTATTCTCCCGCAATATGAAAAATGGGGATCCGATCCGCACCATGCATGCAATGAAGAAAGGGCTAGGTATTACTAGCGCATTGCCTGATATACATAGTAACTCAGGAAAGTCGCAAGTGAGCGTGCAGGCGTCGTTTCTACCTTTCATTTCACAATAGCATCGCTCGAACCCACTCATGTGCATCCTGGATAATCCTGAGAGCTCGGGATCGCTAAACTAATTTGGGCGTTGATTCATTACCAGAACCACCACGCTAGACCTCTGCAGATTTTGGCACCGAGAAACCATCTCCAGACTACCATCGCTAGCAGTACACTTCGAAACGCAGCGTATCTGGGCGCTGCGAGGGATTGCCTTCCTACACGCAAGTAGTGGCGGAGCCATCCCGCTGCTCAGGAACAATTTACACGAGTCGGCCTGGCTACTGGACTAGCCAGATCAAGATCGCAACGAACAGAGTCAGGGGACAAGCAACCCATGACATACAGACATGGCTTAGTGGTAATATTGGAGATACACTATACTTAACCCCCTGAGGTTCAGTCGGCTTAATCCCTGTTACAAAGCCCCTTAGCAGCCAGGGTCCCAGGATTCCAAGAAACTGATCTGAGTGCAAACATACGCGGGCCGAGGATACGGGAATTAGTGTACGCTGGCTGCCCAGCTTCCTCTGTCGTACAAATTCCCTGTGGTAATAATACACAGATCAAGTCTTCAGGACGCGTTCGGCAGTGATGGTGATATGCCGTCATCACGGCATGGTTCGCGCCGCAGAGAAGGAATGCTTCATACCTACCTGGCTATATACTTATTGTATATAAATAGTGTCCATAGACTGGTATAATTTAGTTAGTTGCGAATCCATGAAGAGCTCGTTCACTCCGGCTCTAGCCTGGAACGTTTACTATGTACACTAGGTAGGTAGGTAGTTCCCAGACCGTAACAACAATGGGGTTTCTATCGATAGTTCAGCCAATAACTGTAGATCATACTTCAAACCGTCTGGATCTTGCGGCATGTATGATACTGCGATAGGGAATATTCACGGTAAACATCATTGCCATTTACACAGGACGATGTTCACCTTCTTAGGCTCAAGGTCAGGCGAAAGAGCAACAGCAGACTCGGTGAGAGGCAATTACGGCTAATTTACCTACGATCTGCCGCCAAGGAAATGATACTGAGTATCGGTTGAGAATAGGGAGAGCCAGGGAGCCTACGATACATACGCATACAATCACGATCCAGCACACTCCTTTGATACTGTAGACTCTAGGGTAATGGTTCGTACAGTATATCGATTCTGCTAACAGATGATAGATCACAGACATTAGGCAACTCTAAGAGTAGTGTATCTCTGTGCCAAGCCACCGAACCAGTTCTGCTCTCACGTACAGAGCTACCGCATCGTGTCCACCGTCGGTCGCATTCCGATCTGCTTAACCACGGAATCCTTTGGCTGGTCAGACCTACGCATGTAAGATATCTACCAAGCGAACAGCATGAATCTTAGATGCATGAAACGGCCTGCCCCGTGCTTTCGCTGTTGGAGTCTCACCGCACACCGGCTTGTGTCGCAATAGTACCCTCGATTAGATCTTCTGGGAGCATTCGGGGCACCTAAGTGGGTAACGACGACTACTATCTTCAAACGTCTTTCAAGCAGAGCGACGCAGGATGCGGAAGACGTTGAATATTGGGTAGCATCATATGCATTACCGTTACTAGGCGATATAACAGGACTTTAGCGCGTAGTACTTGCTTGTGCAGATCTCCATGCTTAATGACCTCCTTGATCAGCCACATTTTGTCGCGTGCAGCGCAGCCTCGATTCATGACATGTCGGTGACACTCAGAGTGATTGCATGTTACAAGTAATCTTCCCCGACGACAGTCGCCTAAAACTAGATATACCCTGTGCACATCTCGGTGAGCTCTGCTCAATATGATCGGCTCATGAGAATGCAAGCCCAAATAGCCTTATAACTAGCTTACCAGTGCGTAACGGTGCACATCTGTGCGTTCCGTCAGTGGCATACGTATTGGCAAGGACTTTATGCATGGGACGGCTCAATGTTGTCCACTCGATTGTCATACATATGTCTCTTATCAGAGCGCCATGTCTGAGCGTTCCATAATAACACATCGAATCCAATTTCGGGGAGCAATGGATTCCTAAGGATTTTTAGAGCGGTACTTGGCTGAAGCTACTCGCGGAAGCAAGATCCAGCGCTCCCGTGACGACGTCATAGACCTTCAATTTCGTCTTGTCATCTCACCACCACTGCAAGATGTAAAGATTCATCACTTCACAGCGCAATATGTCAAGGTGTAATTATCATGATCAGGACTGCATGATCATATCTCACGACCCTAGCTGACGATCACAAAAATGCCACCTCCCTACGAGACATGTTGAGCCGTGTGGGGGAGATATCTAACAAGCTCCCCACGTCTAGATACCCAGTCAAGGGCCGGGATTGCCTCCCACACAAACCACCGTCTGGAGATCAGAGTTGTTTACTGCGTTTTTCGCAGAAGACCAGACTTCACGGTGTCCGGGCCGGCTTTTCCTCCGATATCATGGTAACGTCAAACACATTGTGAATCAAGAATCTCAGCCTCTTGTTCCGAGGCGGGATCCCCCTATACTGCTTTGGGTGAGCTGGTTAGATCTACCTACCCAAAGTCCTATGGTTTACCCCGCAAGCAGGATTCAACGCATGAATTTCATAGAGTGCATGGTGCAGACATCGGATCATAAAATCAAGCCTAACTCAAACTCAGTGTGCTACCGCAGAGAGAGACTGGCTTCTGACAACAGAACCAACCCCTTCTCCCAAGCTCAACAATTCAAAAATCTTGGATTATCCCGCATAGTGAATCTTTGTTTTCCGGATCGGTCGTGATGCTCAAGATTGCATGAAGACCTAGCCCTCTATGCCTCAAGTTTACTGTATGCTAAACAACCTCAATGCCAGATTCCAGCTGCAACTGAATAAGCATGTAACCTTACACGAATCGTGGACCCTGAAACGCGAGGCATCGGCCAAATAGCAACGCCTACAAGATTAAAAGTGCCTATTCGAGACGTGCTAGCAATCATCATGAGAAGAATCTGATCAAATAGCAACTTGGTTCATTCGTTCTAAGCTTTCCCTGTGTGACACTACGCCCTGTCCCCTGGAGTAAAATCAAGTAACCCTACCTCCCTGCATCCCGAAGCAATAATCCACAGCCTATAAATTTAAGGGCAGGGCATTTGACATGTTTGACATATGCCACCGGTCTCCATCCCTACATCTTCGTTTTACGGAAGTTGAACTTGACATTTATGCAAGTAAAGCTGCATGATGCTGCATATACCAAGCTACTATAGTAGTCGTAGAAAGGGAGAAGTTAGTATTGTTATGACTATGTATGCCCTGCATTGCATTTTAAGGTTCGAGGCAAGCTTGTTCAGCCAACGTAAGCATCCATACTGCTAAGTCTCTTTGATCATTACGAGCATACGGTGCAAGGTTCAAGAGTATTAGATCAGATACTATCAATCGTCTTGCAATTCTTATATCAGGTTGTCCAACATGAGCTGTGGAAAACAAACGGAACTTCTCGCAATACCGTATATATGCATTCTGATCTAGGCGAATATCGATCGTTGCCTCGGAGCCTAGCAACTGCAAAGCTGTCCTCCAGTCGAACTTGTTAATACTACTGCCGCGTAGGGCTAAACGGGGAGTATTAAAACGAGCCATCTAAAATAACCGAGACGAAGATGCCACCAAAGTCGATGACCTGAGTGTGTACCCTTAAGATATGCACAAAGAAACTTGTATGGTTTCTGTGTTTGCGTCCGGAGGGTTTAAGCAAACAACTAGCTTGAGAGCTAGCCCCGAGACATCTCTGATATCAATCAACTTTGGGACATTGATGCCGCAGAAGGCGATGAGAACTGTGGACATACTCATGGGCTTGGTTTGCCATGAGAATACGGCCGAGATCCAAGGTCAAAGAACATGCGATAGTCGTCGTTTTATCAGCTAAGCTAGGCAGCTTACATCAATCTTCTTTCACACGTATCGAGTGTCTGAGAGAAGCCATCCAGGTCTCTCGGCCACCTTGATCACCTACATACGGGATTTATTGGACTGGTGTCAGAAGGTATTTAGTCTTCGAGTCACGTACTTCATGAGTCCTGGCACAGACGAGCTTCTATCCAGCACGTGAATGTCCCTGTGAATGTATCCATGTATTGCTTCGAGCTGAGGTGTATCGATCAACTCCTCAAAATGATTTGACCACTTTCACATCGCGTCCGCGCAAATTCTTTGGTGCGGGTGTAGTGAGATCGATTACCTGACCCAATGTGTAAGAAGCTGTAGCGCTTCAAGGAACATGAGGCTCTATAGATCTAAGTGCCCTATACCATGGGCTGGGATTTGAGCTCGCAATCGACTCTATTCACTAGGCACCAGTCGGAAGGCTTCCGGTTGCAGGGCTAGCCTGGGTCTATATAGACAGGTAAATCGGTATAATATGTCTCATACTGCGACCGCTAAATAGCCTCACCTCAATTACTCCGAGACTGTCTCTGATTAGTCGCCGAGGTATCCATGCTTGATTGGCATAGCCTGCCACACACTATGATGATATGAAGCACGTCAAACCCTTCCCGGAGACTGTTCTTCGTTGACCAAGATTTGTTGTTTCATGACAGCATGTAATATACCAAGTTTACTGGGTAAGCTGCTATATCTGCACATCACCCTAATTGGGAATCTTTAGTAGGCCATAGCGCTCCTCGCAACGGGTAAAGTAGTGGCAGTTCAGACCACACTCACGGGGCATCGTGTGTTCATGATTGTTTAGGACTATGATTGCGTGTCTTTGACTCTCTTCTAGTGTTGGACCTAAGCCACAGTTTTACATGGGATTGTGGCTATATGTTTACATTTAAGCCGGAGGAAGGAAGGATGCGAATAGTGCACCCTGAATACCTGCATACATGACCATATGCATCACAAAGTTTTTACCAACGCCTGCCGTTTTGTTGTCAGACAGTACGCTTGCTAGCCACCAATACCAAAGAGGATATCCAGACGATATCCTCGTAATAATTTGAATATGATAGTTTGTGATAGCAAGGACGGCTATAATGAGCTGACCCAATACCATAGAATGGATGAATGTGGCGAGATTCTTCGAGATTGGCGCACTCTTCGCTTCTTCGCGTAAAAGAAATGGATTAGAGAGGAAGGCAGTTCCTGATTTTGCTAAAAGATACAACATGGGGGCGGCTAGGAGGAAAAGGGGTATATTTCCAGGTGTCCAATATCGTAGAAACCCAACGTTCCTGGCGGGCATTAGTACTGTCGGATTACAACATATCAGTGAGACCTACCAGTAGTGCTCTTGGACAAAAGTGTAGATACTGGGAAGGCGTTTGGTACACCACGGTCTGATTTCCGAATCGAGTACATCGTAACAGTAGGTTTGATATGCAACAATCTGTGGCGCCACGAACCCAATGGCAAGAGCAGAGCCACCAGCAATCAAAGCTAATCTCCTTCTGACGCTGTTAGTGGTAGGCGGCTGTGACAATTCACGTAACAGTTCAATTGCAAACAAAATGCCGTTGAATATTCCGTTACTACGGAAATTGACGGCGAACCCGAACCATAGACCTGCAGCCACCAAGCTTGCATCGTGAGCAACAGTGCGCTTCTCGCTTAGGGTTGCTTTCGCGAAGAAAAGATAGCCCAGAAAGGAGAGGAGAGCATAGGGGCTCTCCGAGTAAGGCGCTGAGAGAAACAGGCCTCCGGGTGAGAGTATATGAAGCACAGCGGCAACGAAAGAGACCCGCGAGTTTTTCCAAACAGTTAGACCGAGTTCGTAGAGTACCAAAGCCGACAGAAGATGTGACATATTGGCCACAAAGATGGCTATGCTAGACTCGAGTGTCTCATTGTGTTCGACACCGAGACTTAGAAGAACTGAGCATACAGTCAGCGCAGTGTAACCTTTTGATACTGAGCCGAGACATACCATTTGCCAGAAAAGAGACAACCGTGGGCAGCCCGCTTGCGAAAGCCCATTCTTGCTCGAACAGATAGCCGCGCCGAGACGCCTGGACGAAATAGATGGCATCCCATCTCGTCAGCCTCGTGGCCAGGTCAAATATGGATTCATGATATGTACTCCGGTCAGGGGACAGCAGCAGAGTACTGGAGGTGTCGTATGCTGGGCCCACAGCGCTGCCAAGTGCAATGGAAAACAGGAACAGCTTCCAAAAGACAAATATGCAGCCCAAGGATCGGAGCGGGTGAGCGGCATCAATGAAAGGCATCATTGCTCTTGAAGTTGGTCTGTACACGTACTTAACCAACAGTTCATCCCTTGAACCCTGAAACTGCCTATTCAAAGGCCTGTGGCTGGTATAAGTGGCTGTACCTGTAGCTTAGTTAGGTACCTACCTATACCTCCTACATAGAGGTGGTACCTTGCCCTTTTGCAGGTGTGGCTTAGTGCCTATATTAGTGAGGAATTGGTAGCACTGGCAGTGCACTGGCTTACCTGTGTCTGCCTAGGTACCTATATGTAGATTCAAACCTCACCTGTTGGACTGTATCTAAGTAAGGCTACATAGGTAGATACCAGGTACATGTACCCAGATCCTCGGCAGACAGCTCACTCTCTTAACTCAAGTCGTTGGATGTAGAGCTATACACCAAATGGACACCAAGAAATTTCTGCTCTTTAGGTGCCAAATAGTCGTCAGTAAGTGTAAACACTATGAGTCGTTGGTTCACGAAAATTATCTAGGTAGGTTCGCGTTATTCGTTGCTTTTGGCTAAAGAACCAGGCTAGGACACTGAGCCTTCCAAGCTAATTACCTAGGTAGAATACGAGTCAAGCACCCCAGGCTACGAATGTACAGCACGATAAGGTTATTTCTACATACTGGAATCGCAAGCTGATGACGAAGCCGAGCTACATGCATGGGACTCGATGCACTGTTGTACATTTATGCATGCAGACTGATTACCACCTACAGCACCTACCCAGGGACCTGCCCAGTTGCAATGGTAACTTGAATGAAGTGTGAGCGAGGGGGAAGTTAGGTCGAAGGACCAAACGGCTTGGCTTCTGCTACTTCGCCTTCTCATGTCGTCGTCGGCTTGACGGCGGTTGGTTAGGCATGTTAAGCGGTGGCCCCCAATATGAAAATTGCCTCCGGCTTGCTTGCTTCAACTGGGCGAAGTATGGGGTATGATTTGATCATTGGCGCTTGACCACTAAATGTCGTGCGCCGAGGCAATCTATTTTGACGAGGGGGATTGGAGCATTTTCCGTGCATTTTCAGGTTGCAAGAATTATATGCAACTGGTGATGAGCAATGGGTAACCACAGCATTCTGATATGTAGCGTCGTCTTGGGGTACTTTAAGATTACATAGTAGATAATGTGAGTAGGGTCACCATTCATGGATTTTGGGGTGCTGAGGATGCAGATTTTGATTTCACAGGGTAGCTGCATAAGTAGGCATTCAGTATCGGGAGGCTTTCTCGGACCCGGACGGGTGACTCCGTTCTTTGTAAGGCGGCCGAATAATCCGTCACGCACAAGACAAAAGTAAACTCATCTCCGATACTTCCGAGGGAAACCAGCTGGCATGGTGTGGTAGTCTGTGGCGGTCGGTGAGACTGCTATGATGTCTTAATCCGTCGCAACCAGTCCTACCTGTCCGCAAAAAGCATAGGTATACCACGTCATTCTTTATTCACCATCAATCTGGCTATCATCCGTCATACGATGTATTGATCTCCTGACTGGTGGTATGCGAAGTGCGAAAGCGCAACATACCTAGGCATCAAATGTCTTCATCATTGATAAGCCTAAGATCGTGTAAGTCTTACGGTAGGCTAGTTAGTTAGTCGCGCCATCATATGATCAAGAAAAGGTCAGAAGAGAATGGTAAGCCGAATAAGAGAGAGGACGATGCTTTTATGGGAAATGAAGGCACCATCGCTGAGGTGTGGTAGGTATATTATAAGCAATGTAGGGCTATATCTGATCTCGTTTTCGGGTTCTTACCAAGTTTCGATCCCCCAACCATTTACAGCAATTGCCCAACTAATAATAATATTAATAAATCAGGCGACTGAATCGCAGTGCAGCGATTGGAGGTACACTGTACCTATGAGTCTGCCCTTGTCCAAGGTCCTACCGGCCACCTTCTCTCACGCTCCCACACCATTCTTTCTGCCTTCAGACACCTCCCAGCCTGCGAGCACAGCGGTACCCTCTACAAATGTAACCCTCACACAGCTCGTCAAGTAGGGAGGGTGGTAGCGGTCGAGTGGAGTTTTGCTAGCTGAACTTGCCGTTGGCACCCTTCAAAGCTCCAAAGAGCGCGCAGTAGCAGTAAATGAAATGTCCATGCTACCTGTGCCATGCCGGGAGATCGAGAATACGATTACGCCGGTACCCACTCCCCCCTTAGTAATTGCCCTACACTACACTACTGCACTGTAACTATACCGCCTGGGTACGCTACACGCAACTGTACATACAGCGCATTTGGAGGTCGCCTCAGTGTACCTGGGCGGTATGGGCATGCTAATGGCCACTGTATCCGGGTAGATCGCATCAACTACCTACCTAGCATGCTAGCTCCTCCTACCTGCTGTGTTAGTCGAGCCAGAGGCTGGTCTGTCTCAATTCGACAAACCCAACCTCATGTTTCCTTGCCTGAAAGCATCTCCTTGTTTCAATATGTCGAGTATCTCATAAAACCTATCGTTTGCCATTTGTAACCATCACTTTGTTTTCGATTCCTGTACCTGGTCTATACCACCTTTCTACCCTCGAACTACTCTCTTCTCTCCTACATTCTCTGTCGACAGAGCTGGCGCAATCATATTCGGTCTGGTGATACCTACGTTCTGTTCTGCCCTCGCTACGCTACCTACACACGCAATCACGTAACTACCGCATTGGTCCTCGGTCTGCTGTGTGCTGTGTGCTGTCTTCTGTGTCTTGTCGAACTTGTCCAGCAGGCTGTCAGCGGCATAATACTCGGCGTTGGTAATCCTGGGTGAATCTGACCTTGAGGTTGGATGCGTACTGTTCGCAGTCTTTCGGCTACACATACGAAGTAGTCCACCGATTGCACTAGCCACCCTTTACGCTAACGACGAACGACGACGACAGCAACGACTTCACTTTCTAGCGCCGCACTGACAATTCGAGGCATGGTCTAGCGCCTTGTGTCTCGGATCAATTCCTATCGCATCTACACGTGTACGCATAGCTGCACCGCTGAATTTCAGCAGTTGTTCCGTTGTCATTCCGGCTCCTTGCTTTCTCGCTTTGGGTATAATCACTAGTGAAGCCACTGCTTGCTTGGCAATTTACATTGCGTCTTGTCCTTCGAACACAGCGTTGCGCCATCCTGGCCTGTCGACTTTCGTTTACGTGAAATATTTTACTGTGTGATATATGTTATCTTCAATCATTCAGCTTCTCTTCGACTAATCATTCGACTGGCTTGGAAGATCACCGCTCGTTCATCTGGGTCAGGTATTGGACACTGCGCCTTGATGGGGCTGGTCACCACTCAGAGAACCCTTCTATGTTCACCGCGTTTCTTGGCTCCACTTGATTCAGTGTCAGCAAAACGCTCTTCAGGATATTTGCATCGACATGTTCCTTCACTCTGGTGCTAGCCTTCACGGTCACGAATTTTCCAAGCGGGCGACTCTAGCTGCGGCGCCTGTAAACCTGAGGAAGCCTCTTTTCCGCTCGACCTGGTCTGCACCGGTGAGCAGTACCTCCGTTCTTGCTGCTGGAGCGCCACTATCTCAGGATAACGAAATATTGCCCGGTCTGAAAGGGTCTACTACTTGCCCGGAGTTCGCCGATCAAACACCAAACAATGCCTTCAGTGTATCTGGAGAGCTCATGAACGACCAGCCCACGTCGCCGCCAGAAACTATGAGCGGAGATGAGGAATCAGTCGTTTCTGATACCGAGGTTAGTGGGGTGTCATCCTCACGTCGTCAGAAACGCCTGTCTGGTGTTCAGAAGGGTACTACATATGTGCTTGCTCACCCCCCTCCCAAGCCTCGTACCAAACAGAGAATCATCCACATGCGTCCAAATCTTGTGCTTCAGATTCAGCAGGTCACCCCTGGATTGCGTCCTAAACCTACCATTGATGTCTATCCATCTTTTGCAGGTGCCAGATCAATAATGGCGCCACTATTAAGGAGTATTCCTGGGATTGCCGGCATCAAAAGAGAGCTTAGTGGTCAGGATATCATGTTGGTCAGAAGCGAAGATTATGCCTCACAAATATTGGGAGTTGAAAGTGAAAACGATGAAGACGGCATAATGGCGCGTGACTTGCTCGCTGTTCTAAGCCCATCCAAGACGGAGGACAAGGCAGAAATCATAATGGCTGAGGGAATGGTTTGGGTGGCGACGACTCGATCTGGTGGGAACTCTTTCTCTTACGAGTTTACATCGATTACTCCTATGGGGACGACTATGACGGCTCGATGGGTTCGCAAGCAGGTGGTGTCCAGTTCGGTGCCAGGCACACCAACTTCGCCTAGTCAGAAGTCGATGAAACCACAGTTTTCTGATACGAAGTTCACGTTTAGTTTCTTAGAACCTGGTTGTCGCCGGCATCCAATACTTGCTACACTTTCAAGCACGTCCCTCACTATACCCGATACCTATACGACCGTAACTCAGACTTCAGACAGGGGTTCACCAGAGGCAGAAAGCCCTTCTCTCCCCAATTCACCGTCCAAAGATGACTGGAGCCCAACTGAAAGGCGTACTAAATCCTTGGAAGAGTGGCAGAAGTCGTTTATTTCGGTTTCTGCGGTCTGGGTCGCCCTTCGACACAGCTGGGCACCTGGATTCCGGCCTGAGGATTTCATGACATTTCGCAACTCGGCGGCTCCCCAAGTCGAGGGTAGTTTGCGTGGTCGGCGGCGATCTCTTAGTGCCAGCACTGACCCAGCGCCACCTTCGCCATATTCGGAAGGGATGGGACGGCGGAAACATTCACTATCAATACGCCAACACGTATTGCGGTCCACAAGTGACGTGCCTAAACGGGCCACGTCCACTGGAGCTGCCTTTATAAAGAAGAGAAGAGCTATTTTGGCGGAGAATGATGGTGCTCAGCCCGCTACTGACGAACATAACAGATTAGCCAAGCTCAATAGGCGGGCTCTTAGTGGTGACTGGAATATTGGGCTGCCCAAAAGTGTTCGTGAGAACTCGTTGGCTGAATCCATCATAGACGCTGCCTATGTTTCAAATAGTGAAGCGGATCGTCGAAGCCCTGCTCTAGCACCACCGCCAATGCCTGTCAAGCGTCGCACTGTCTCAGCATATTCGCCGCTTAGTTCTCTGACTCCTGACAACAGCGAGTTCGATGTGATGGATCTAAGCGGAACATCTACCAATGCGGCAGATAGAGACGTTGATACTGGAGAGGTCTGTTCCAAGTTCAAGCACCGCAAATGGAAGAGCATGGCAACCTGGTTTCGAAAGCTATCGGGGCGATAGCATTGCCGCCGTTTTCGCACAACTGGCCGAACACCTAATAGTAGTGATGGTTGCTTGAGGTGCCGAAGTTTATCAGACTTGCTTGATGGCTTATCACGGCGATGGGAGCACCGCAACGGGTGCAGCAGACATGAAGTATACAGCAGACCATTGTAACAACAAGTGCATTAAAGGGACTGGGATTCAAAGATCATTGCGCAAGGAGTTGGTTAGGTTGGGTCACATTACCAGATTAGAATTTTATGTCATTATCAGCATAGAGGGATTGGCGTGAGCCGTGTACTATCTTAAAATCACAAAGAGCCTGTCCCTCGCAGAGTCAAGGGCATGAACAAGTCTATCTACTTATCAGAAGTTGCCAAAAACCTTGGCTAGATCACTATAGTACCATATGGGTCAAACCTTTCATCATTCTTGATCTGCAGGGTATTGTTGCTGCAAAGTATTCTACTAATGAGGACGAAATCACCTTGGACATGGTTCCTCATCCATAACGGATAAGCATAATGCCTTGTGCTATTCCCTTGATGCACTCTTCATCCTAGCCATGAACACAGATACGCCAATACGATACGCAGACAAGTGGATACGAGAAACGTTCGTGCATGGCGGAGTTTCCAAATACGTTAACAATGGTTCTGCGAAATGCGGAGGCGGCAATGGAGAACCATGGGCAGACTATGGGGTCCCGGTGTTTTGCCGGCATGTAAGTCAGTGTTGCCGCATGTTCTTGGCCTCGATCACGATGCTCTTAGGGCGACGATGGTCCGCCGACCGCCGGGGAACTTATCTGTCTTCCTTCCCTGGGCACTTGGTTCGTGCAAGGATTTTTTATATATCGTATGTGTCAGAGATTCGGGTTTGTGGGATTAGTTACTGGGTAGGTATATAAAAGGGAGTCTGACGGACGCTTGCTTCATTGTGTTGCTCCCTAGTCGACTGTCGTCATATCAACTTTAGCTCTCTTCCCCACTTGTTTCTTCTTCACATACCTAGGTATATATGGTATCTATTTGCCGAGCTGCTGAATATACATAAATCTATTGCTGTTGTTACATATATTATTACAAGAGTTTCAGCACAAGTAGGGAAAGGGGTTAGAAATATGGCTTCACAATTCCATCAGAATGGCGGCTCCAGCACCGCCGTGATGGAGCTCCAGCCGATATACATGTCGTCGCTGCCGTCGGATAACAAAAGTGTGCCGCAACCCATCGGTACACCGCTGCACTCGTCGACGAGACGGGGCAGCTCTGATGAAGAGAAACAGGTCGATGATAGTGCGCCGCCGACGGCTGCTGAGGTCAAGGAGCGGTGGAATTACCCTCGACATAACATCCCGCGGGTTTCGTCGTGCTTTTACTCGTTCATTGTAATGGGGGCAAATGATTCTGCTTATGGCGTAAGTGAACTGATCTTCTGTCGACTGCGAGTATGTGTGTTGATATGTATGCATACTCATCGGCAGGTGGAAAGGATATGGAACGCTAACTTGGGCTAAATACAGCCTCTTATTCCATATGTATGTTCACACACACAACTCATTTTTCTACATGCCCTGCTTCACACCCTTCAATGAGCGGTATAAAGAGTGAATATATTCTCAAGGGGATAGGTAGAAACTGGTTAACTAACGGGTGACTTACAAACCAACAGCTCCAGGAATTCTACCATCTCTCTTACATCATAATATCACTGGTCTTCCTCTCACCATTCATTGGGTACACGGCGGCAGCGATCTCCAACAACACCATCCACCAGCGGTTCGGACGGCGCGGCGTAGCCTTCGTGGCGTCGCTGAGCCATCTCGTCGCGTACGTCATCATCGCCGTGCACCCGCCGTACCCCGTCCTCGTCGTCGCGTTCGCGCTCGCCGGCTTTGGCAACGGCGTGGCCGACGCGGCCTGGAACGCCTTCATCGGCAACATGGATCGCGCCAACGAGCTCTTGGGCTTTCTCCACGGGTTGTACGGCGTTGGCGCTGTGATCAGCCCGCTTATTGCGACGACTATGATTACTAAGGCGGGATTGCCCTGGTATGCGTTTTATTACCTGATGGTGAGTATTCTTTCTGAATTAGCTGGTGGTTTTCTAGATATATCGGAGGCGGGTCTGATAGTGTGTAATTATTTTGTCGACCTGAGTCTAACGCAGAGATAGATTGGCCTCGCCGGTCTTGAAATTGTCGTTACTGGCGCGGGTTTCTGGAAGGCTACGGCTCGCGAGTATCGCGACTCGGTGGCTGCGAGCTCGAATTCCTCAGGCGGCAACGGCGGGCTGAAGGAGGTGCTGTTCAAAAAGCCAGGAGCACGCGTGGCTTGGCTATGTGCTGTCTTCCTCCTAGGTTACGTCGGCATCGAAGTTGCTCTGGGAGGATGGATCGTCGAGTTCATGATCCAAGTTCGCCACGGTGGCGCTTTTGAAAGTGGTCTCACGGCCACCGGGTTCTGGCTCGGACTGACAGTCGGGCGATTCGTTCTGGGGTTCATTACACCCAGGATCGGTGAGAAGCTTGCTATCATGGTATGCTGTTTACTCTGTTCCCCGTCGTACCTCTCTCTTCGTTAGTAAGTAGTAAGCTGTTTATTAACGACGCCTAGATATATCTTCCTATTACAGTAGGCTTCGAGCTTCTTTTCTGGCTCGTCCCGCAGTTCATTGTCTCGGCCGTTGCTGTGGGACTGCAGGGCTTCTTCATCGGGCCCTTGTTCCCGGCTGCCATTGTCGCCATGTCGAAGTTGCTACCACAGCATCTTCACGTTGGCGCGATAGGATTCGCCGCCGCGTTTGGAGGGAGCGGTGCGGCTGTCCTACCTTTTGCTGTCGGGGCCATCGCACAGGCCAAGGGTGTCCAAGTGTTACAGCCCATCATCCTCGCTCTTCTCGCATTTATTTTCTTGGTCTGGTGTGGGCTACCAAGAATTGAGAAGAAGAAGGTGTAAAATATGATGAGATTGATACGAAGTGGGAGAGAGGCGGCGATAAATACAGCAGCCTATGCCGAAGTCATATAGCTGAATGAAGATGTCGATAACAGGAATATACATAGTATTATTATTTCATCATTGATATTTCATGATGATCAGCGTGTACCTATGTACCTACCTACAACTTCAAGTAAACGTTCATCGTGAAACCGACAAACCGCCATGTGAACTATAATCGAGTTTGATTTATCGTATAAGTTTGCTTTTTGCTTGGTTGTTTGTTGACCTGTATGAACTTGTGAGCCCCCATGACCGTCTAGCTAGTGCGGTGAAACGGCCGTACCGAGAGAGGTGGATATTGCGGTTGCCATTGGTCCGACGGTTTTATGGATCATGGAGTTTTGGTGCTCGGATCACGGGGGCGTTCAGCTGACCAGTTCTGATTTCCCATTTCAACTTTGCATGTTTTCTTGAGGGGTTTGGCAGAGCACAGCGAATCTATTTTCCTGATTTGCATGACATTGCCGTAGATGGCTTAAGCTGGATGCCGCTGCAATATTCAGCGTGCATATCTGCCCAGTCTGTAATCTAGGTATACTGGATAGATAGACCATCGGCGCCGGTATTTGACCAATGTTGTTGTAGGACACCAAGTAGATGCATCTTGACGTACATTGCAAGGAACAGGCCTTCAACGAAGACCCGTTGTTATTTGCAGCTTTTATATACAGAAGCCCATCGAACATGATAGAGACATTTGTTGCAAGACCGCAAGACGATCAGCAGGAGGTACAAACTTGGATTCGCTTAAACGGGCGAATGCCTGGTGACCCGTATACTCCTATCTTCGCCAGTTTTTCTGCTCGACCTATCCGGCGAGGTGAGCTGCTCTATCCTCACACGTGCCTATCCTACCGTTATGCCAATCCGAGCCAGCCGGTAAAGTCTGCCGGGTGGTCCGTCGGATGCGCAACGTAACACGAGGGCAAAGGGGAGCGGCTTAATCCGGCAGGATTCGGCAGGCAGAGCTAGGTTTACGTACGCGCGCGAATACTGTGGAAGCTAGCTGAACAACAAGAACAAAGGGATGGTGAGGAGAAAGTAGCAGCGGTGGTTGTTCGCATGTGAGATGCCGCGCGCCCAAAGTTGCAAGGTTGCAATAGGCTGAAGAATTAAAGGGCTTGCTCTCGTCATGCGCATGACCAAGCGCTCTGGCACGTCCTACTGCGCTTGCAGTCGACACATCGGGCCTGGGATCTGGAGCCCGAATACTCGGGAATCAGGGTGTGTATATGTGCATACGAGGCCTATCATGCTGGAGAAGACGGCGCCAGAGTGGACGAGGGGTAGGCACGTATGTAGATAGCGATGCAATGTGGATAGCCGTGGCACGACGACTAACACGCACTTCGTGTAGGCTGTGCAAGCCGGCCGTCGGCCCATCTCGAGCTTCACTTGTGGGATAATAATGCTCTATGCCTTACCCCGCCATTCCCTCTGCGCGAAGTAAACAGAGATAAGAGGATAGAGGGATCTGTAGGCGATCTCATGATACTATTCGATCAGGTGGTTTGAGACTGAATGCATCCGTTTTACATTACTTGCAGCTGCTGCAGTAAGGGTTTCGAACTCCCGGTCTATAGATATACTTACTTCGCTCTGCATGCAGCTCAAGATGACAGGGGGAGAAGATGAAGATGTCTAAACCGTGCATGGTAAAAAGCTCGAAGTATTTCTTATACCCCTCACAGTAGATTAATTGCCTGTATCTTTACCTACCTAGGTATCTACCAGATACCTATTCACTTGTCTAATCCTGTAATGTAGGCGACTTGTAAAGTAAGGAGGTTAGGTTGGTAGTTATTGCAAGGCCGTATGCTCTATTGGCCAGGAACAGTGGCAGACAAAGGTAGTATCTAATGTAATCGCATAAGCAAGCAACTCCTCTTTGTGCCCCATTACACAGAAGCCTTTCGATCCTGGAAGAAGGGTGGAAGGAGCAGGGCCAATGAGTCCCGAGGTCTGGTTTAACGATGGCATCGATTATAAGCTTCGTGATATGGGACAAATACCAACGGGGAGAGGCGTCAGGTCGAGGACTTGACAATGTAGCCCCTTTGGCCAAGATAGCTAGCTACTTAGGTGGTTCGTTCTTAGCATGTACTATGATCATTGTAAAGGTTCTCTTCATACTGCTGATAACGAGGAGGCTTATTAGAGTGAACTTGTTGACATCTTTCCCTTGATGTTACGCAGGGAGGGAGGCGTTTCCAACCAGATGGCGTCGATTGAACGGGTATTGTCTCCTCCGTCAAAACAAACGCGTAAACATACAGACATGCATTCTAGAAGGTTCACTGAACATCATCAGGAGGTCTGTAGTCAATGCCAATGAGAATGATCTATCGCCATTAATTCAACATCATATGCTACGCCAGCCAAGCATCCATTGATTGTTGGCAAGTACTGGTAAGGCACTGGCCATGTACCCCCAGGCAGATCAAGAAGGTACCTCGAAAGGGCCTGGAAAAGGCCTGGAGAGGGGCGCCAGTGATGACAGGCAGTACCTAGGTAGAGGGGCAGGTGCTGAAGATGGGGCCTTGGACCGCTGTGCGTCGGCTTGTTCGGGTCACCCGCGGAGGTACCCAGCGACATGGTGCGACCTCGAGAGGTACAGGATACACTAAGCGCGTCGTTGACAGACAAGGCACCTGCAGTGTGACGATTCAAGCTCGCCTGCCCTGATTAGGTAGATGAAGTAGAGCTCTCCAAATCCCATCGCTTCGATGATAAAACGCCCAACGGATCTGCCTCTAAAGTGCTTGCTTGCTTGTCTTCTCATCTCTCTCATGCTCATTCCGAATGCGAATCCCCCAGTGTCAGCGCAAAGGTAACCTCTAAACGACTGACCTGGACCCCTCTTCACTGGTCCCGCGCTGCCTTCGCTTTCGATCCACACTTGTACATTATCGCTGCTCCCAGTTCGTTAGTCGTTAGAGAGCCAACAAGGTATTGTTGCAGAGAAGTCGACCAAGGGTCTTAGCTGAGGTATGTAGGGGAATTCCCAACGTCTAGATTAGTCAAATCCTAGCATCTTCTTACCATACTGCTCTTCTTCTCGTCTCGCTCTCCTGCCGTTTCGCCGCGTCGATTCGTGCGAAGCCTCCCTATCTACTCGGTATTCTATATAGCCAGGACTAACGACGGCGCGGTGTAAGGGTTCGGATATTCAGGACGCAAAGTACCAACAAACCGATGACCCCCCGGCCGATACGATACGCCGACTTCCCCCCCAAACTAGCCCGCCCATATATCTACACGCCAGGCATATAGTGTAGTAGTAGTAGTAATAGCTCTGCCAACTACGGGCTTAAGGTACGACGTCACACTAACTGGCTACTTGGGTCGCCTGCATACCACCCGATTGATAATACCCATTCCTGAACGCAATCTTGCGACCGGGCGGTACTCTTGGAACAATATAAGCAAGAGATCGAAGCCATTTCCCCTCGTGCGGCCGGTCTAGAGAGCTTGTCTGATTGTTTGCTCTGCCACATCGGCCTTTTTGCGCCCTGCGAGACGATTTCGCCACGAAGCCCCAGTTATAGCCACGAATACGACTCTCGATAAACCGCACTTACAGGTTGATGCCACCGTTTTGTGTCACTATACTACTCTCCTCCCCTCGCTCGAGTCGACACTTCCTCCTCCAACACCTTTGCCGCGCATTTCCATAACTGCAGCGAGTGAGATTCTCTGGTTGTCATGGATGAGGGCTACGATCCGTCATCGTCGACGGCCTTCAACTTGGCCAGTCACCTTATAAATTCTCACACTATTGGTGAAACCATATCCCGGGCAACCTCACCAGGTCTGCCTTCAGAGGCAAGCACAGATGATAACAAACGGTATCGGCCGCGAACTTTTGCTTATTTCAAGCTCTTGCCATATGACGTCGAGGCGGAATCCCGGCGTGATGCTGCCCTGCAAGGGATACTAAAACAGCTCTACATCGCAGTCAAGGCCGAGGACTTCTCCCCAGGCGCCTTGCACTGGACACGACAACTGCAAGCATGGCTCTCTTTGAAATTCGACATGCCACACGAGCTGCGGGCTAAGCTCGCAAAGCTCTACTTTCACCTCGCGCTAGCTCCAGGGCTGGATAGCAGTGCAGCGGACAGATTCTCGAGGATGGTTGTGACATTGACAAGGTTTGTTTCGCCACCTCCCTACCTCCCGACCCCTCCCGTTTCCGGCAGCCCCCCATATCGATTGAAGCAATGAAGCTAAATGTATGTGACTTATTAGGAAGAAGCATTTCCTTAAACCACAAGAAGATTTGACACTCGATTGGCGACCGCTCTGGAAGGACATCAAGACTATTGTTTTGCCTGCGGAAGCGCCATCACACACAGCCACTTTGAGGCGAGGGCTTAAGGGTCTTTGGAAGCTATGTCTTCACTCTCAGTCCTACTTTGATCCAAAAGAGCGATATGCCATGCTACAGGAGATTCTTCCGTACTTTAGCACGTCAGATCTTTCCGATGGCTTCATTGTGCTCGGTGTTTTGAACGTCTTGATGCCCACGGCTCCTGCCCCACCGACTGAACCGCTGTCTCAACCATCCGACTTCCTTCCGACCTTTTTCCATATGTGGTCGCTAGTATCACGGTCCAGGGTTGTCGACAGCACAGTGCTCGATATCTTCTCGCGGCTGGCCCGAGATTTTCTGTCTTGCGTACATGTACCCTTTGGCGAGCATGGTATCTATACACGCGAGCAGTCAGACCTCATCTTCACGGCCGTTCTTCGTCTCACCGACATCCCTGTTGGTCAGGCCAACTCCCCGTATAGCAATGTCGACTTTTCAGCCGGCATGGCTATGTTTTTGGAGAAGGATAAGAAAAAACATCCCGTGACATATATCATAGCGAGGTGGATAGTCTCATCATTATCACCACATTGCCTTGAGAAAGAGAGTTCCGTTCTCAATAGTCTAGAGGGTCTCATGGAGTCGGTTGACACGTTCTTTCACCCCTCCAACCACGGGTCATGGACCAGAATGCTCTCCCAACTTACATATTACCTATCCGAGCTATTTGTATCTCGCTGGTGTAAGGAACAAAGCGGAGAGATGGATACACCTGCCGACAGGCGTATCAACGTGGAGCTCAAGCGGCGGTTTGTGTTATGCTTGCGCGAAGTCACTTTCATGGGACTCTATGGCAAAGGCAGCTCCGTCACCAGCATGTACTTTGGCGCTCTTCAAAATCTGACTTTTCTGGAACCTAATTTGATGCTTCCCGGTGCTCTCCAGCGTTTCTATCCTAGCTTGCAAGGCCTGGTCGAAGTGCACCGAACTACGTCCAGTCTCATCGGCCTGCAGATGATTGCCAATGTCATGGCGAGAGAGAAAGGCTGGCGGTGTCACATCACCGCACTGTTAGCACTTGCCCTCCCAGGAATCGATGCCAACGATCTTAACAAGACTCAATATACGCTCAATTTCATTCAAACTGTGGCTTACAGTATTCCATTCGTCAATTTGGCCAAGGAGAATAGCAAGATACACGACACCAGCCTAGCAATGCAATGGGTACAAGGAGAGATGGACCGAATGGAAGCAGAAGGCCAAGATGTTCAAATTGACTACAAGAACGAGCTCAACGATGAAGACGAGATTGATATAGCTCGGTCGTCCACAGCTGGCTTTGGCGAGTTTGTTATCACGCTGCTGGGAAAGGTGTTCACCTTGTTGGAAAATCTTCCAGATTCATCGCAAGTGAGGTCCGGTTCACCAGAGGACAATATTATCAATACATTACCAGCAGCATTGACCCCGATGTTTGCGTCTCTATCCCCTGAACTTTTCGACATGGCTCTGGAGAAACTAGCAACCTTTGTGTCGTCACACGTTGTACACCAGGCACGTGATGCCATGGCGTGGATTTGCAATGCCCTCTGCAAGGTGAACCCAGAAAAGACACTGAAGGTCTTTATCCCGATGCTTATTGTCAATATCCGCCATGAGATTGACTCGAACGGTGCTGCATCCGACCGTAGTAGTGGTACGGAAATACTTCCCCGTGATAGAGCTCTGGTCTGGCACATAAGTATTCTGAGCATGTGCGCCGTCCATGTGGGAAGCGAGGTGCTCAATTACAAGAAGGATTTATTTGACATAGCGGAGTACATGCAGGAAAACTGCCGTGGTCTTCCGGCCATCCACATCAGCAACTTCATCCATCATTTGTTGCTTAATCTCACTCATACTTATCCAATTGATACCGCATTGTATGAGCCTGAAGTCATCCAGCGTGGCCTGGACGTAAATGATTGGGGGCAAACAACAAAGCCTGCAGATCTCACCATTCGATGGCACCGGCCCGTGATGGAAGAAATCCAATTCGCTATTGAGCTATTCGAGTCTCAGACAGGCTCTGCAATGCGCCGGCTTGAGGCTCTCATGAGCGACAAACCGCCTGTAAGTAGAGGCGGTAAAAACAAAGAATGGTCCGATGAAACGTCTCGCCAGCTCAGCCAACTGCGACTTGTTATCTCCGGCATTGCTACTCTTTTTGACCCGAAAAGAGCTTCGGGTGAGGTTAATGGCCACGTAAATGGTTTCACAAACGGAGATAGCGACGATGTGATCATGCAGGATGATGATGATGATCCTGAGTCTAACGATCCACTGGCAGAAGCAGGTGAAGATGATGAGACAAAACCTCAGTTCAATTATCAAGCTGGCTACCTCTTGACTCCTGGAACACCTCTTTATAATCATCTCCACAGCCTTCGAGATGACATAGGCAAATTGTTGTCCAGAACACATTCATGGTTAAACATTAACCAAGAAGATGATGTTGCATGCTTCACGGCGCTTTACTCTGCCTATCGCACTTGGATTACCGATGTCGGCTTTGAACGGTCCGCGCACCCACTAGACCGCCTTATTCGACTTTATAAGGCAGACATAGCTCCCTTCAAGATTAGCGGTCTGCGCAAGCACTATCCGCGTCCTTTGCTTATTAAGCGAGCGGATGGATACCAGCAACAGCGTGTTAAGCACAACTCAACTGTTCGGCGCAAGAGTGAACTGGACAAGCAATTACTACTTGATCTTGCTGAATCGTCCGTTTCATCGTACGCCGACGTGCGTAGGATAGCACAAGGCGCTCAGGATGCTTCAGTCAAAGCCTTAATTGGAGGAAGGCCACTGGTCATTCCTGTTATCCTCGAGAGGTTCCGCAAGGCTTTGGATGAGAACGACCATGATAGAATTAAGGGCGCCATGTACACTTTGTTATTCACCAGTCTTCTGAAAACGTCGATCAGAGATTGGCGTTTCGCCCCTGACCTTATGCGGCTGTATATCAAGACTGCCGGGGTTGACAAAACATCCATCCAGACTCTCGGAACCACAGCCGTATATCCACTCATTGAATTCGGCAAACGCTTTGAGTTGATGGTTATAACGGATAGCGATATCGTAGACTCGATCAAACCAGATGAAGATTGTTCAAAAGCCATTGAAACGAGACATGACTTCATCGTCGAACGTAGGGCGAAGGTCGAAAAGAAGAAGGCAAGTCTTGGGCTAGAACTGATAGGACTAGCAAGAGAATCACACTGGAAGACAGCCAGTCGATGTGCCATCTTCGCCACCAACCTTTCCATACGCTTTGACAGCATCGCACCCCATCAGTTCATTGAGCTTGTCGCCAGTGGTACTAACGACCCTCATCCCGGCTTGAGGGCTAACTACATGTCCGCATTTTCCTTAGTGTTTTCTGCTATCGACCAGCGAGCTGTTTATAAGCACAATTATCGGAACTATCTCGAAGAAAAAGAGTGTGAGACGAACAAGACGTCTATACCAGTACCCAAAGGCGACGCTGAATTCACCGCCAAATACCTAGATGACTTCAACCACCCAGAAAAAGCGGAATACCTCATAGACGCAGATTATCCGGGATGGCTGGTCTGGGGAAAGAAATTCCATGCCACTAAGCAAAGGTCCAAGAGATTTGATGGCTACGATGAGCTAGAAAGTGCTACCCGGCAGCATATTGGCAGCTTGCTCACAAGGCAGTGGCTTGCTAAATTTTTCGATCATTTGAAGCAAGAGCCGCGAGATACGTCGTCTGATCGGTTCAGGACTTCAAATGTCGTGCTTCTGATGCATGTGTTTGATCTCATGCATGCTGGACAGACTGCGATCACATTCGAAGATGTCAAAGAGTTAGTGGCTGAGGCCTACGGCGACGGTAGCGACAAACACCAGCATCGAGCAACGGCTGAGATTTTGGGTGCCATTCTGGTTGGCTTGCCTGAATGTACTGCCGAGACACGAAAACAAGTGTGGGAATTCGCACTACCACTAATTGTGAACATATTTGCGGATAGCCTAACCCCTGAAAACCAAACATACTGGGTTACATTCCTCCACTTCCTCTTGGACAGCAAGGATCCCAGGCGAGCACACGATCTTATCAGCAAGCTCAGTTCATTCCGCCTTGACATGAACTCCAATGCGGCTTTCAAAGAATCCTCCAAGGTGCAACTATTAGAGTTCATGATCAATGATAATGGTTGGCATTTCCGACACGAGAAACCTATCCTCGAAGACTTCCTCGCGCACATAGATCACCCGTATAAGTCTGTTCGGGAGGCGATGGGGCGTGTTATCGCTACAATATTTCGCACTCGATATTACGAAGCATTTGAGAGTGTGGACGCCCTCCTCGAGCAGAATAAGACGGAGTCTAGCATCGGCATTAAGCCTTACAAGCCCACCGAAGAATTCGTCGCCACCATAAAAGATGTGTTTGACCGCCTCGAGCTATGGCGGCAACAGCGTACTCCTGGCCAACAAACGCCCTCCCCTTACACGTCAGGATCCAAGACTGTTTTAACATGGCTGGACAACACTTTGTCGTCACAGGAATGTACACAATTGATTCCCTTCTTCCCAGACCCATTTGTCGACCAACTGCTACATATGATGGACGTGAAAGAAGACCCGGAATTGATGCGGCTGGCGTACCATGTGTATCGTCATCTACCGAATATTCCCTTCCGCACTGGAGAGGATGGGCCATTTATTGCGGCGCTAATTCGCCTCGGCACGACATCCCCCAGCTGGCATCAGCGACTGCGTGCTCTTGTGAATATGCAAGTCATATACTTCAGACGCCTATTCCTTATGGATACCTCTAATAGAGAGCTACTCTTTGATGCGGTTGGCGATATGCTGGCGGATTCTCAGCTTGAGGTGCGAACAGTAGCCGGCGCGACGCTCGCCGGTATGATCAGATGCTCTCCTGTAGCCATTCGCAATCCTATCATCGCAACGTTGAAGTCCCGCTTCGAGACGCAGCTAGCGCGTAACCCTATGCCGAAGAGAAAGACTCCTGGCACTGAGACACCATCGGGTGATACACAAAAAGTCGTTAAGAGGCATGCTGCTGTTCTAGGTCTTGGCGCCCTGATCGAAGCATTTCCTTATGCGACTCCACCGCCAAGTTGGATGCCTGAGGTATTGGCTCTCTTAGCAAGACGCGCGGCAAGTGACCCCGGCGTGGTAGGACAGGCTACAAAAGGTATTCTCTCTGAGTTCAAAAAGACCAGACAGGATAGTTGGGCTGTGGACCAAAAGGTTAGTAAATCATCACCTCAGAGCTTGAAGGCCTCTTGTTAACTAAAGCTTATCTAGTACTTTACCTCCGATCAGTTAGAAGACCTAGAAGGCGTCCTCTGGAAGAGCTACTTCGCATAAAGTTATCGATCGTAAAGAAGGACCGATAGCTTTATGTCACTGCCAATATATCTGCTGCCTATACGCAGTCACCACAATTTGTCCATCCCAGGTCTAGAACGAAGGAGAGCTGTGCACGGAAATGGTTCAGGAAGGATGTCTTCAGCGACTGGCTATTGTTACGTGGTAATATTTTATTTTAATATGGCGTTTCTTATTTTCCCTAAAGGCTAGAGGGTACACATCGTTCAGCACACGATGCATAAGGAATACGTTTGGCATTACGTCGAATCAGTCATTAGTGTATGATGGCGGCAGGTTTTGATAGAAGCATAAAGTGCGAGAGTTGGCCAATTCTAGGTTTCTCTTCCATCCTCTTTTTGATCCTCCATCTTCTTTCTCTACATTCGTGAAAATTATCAAGCCTGCTAGTTTTGTGCTATAGGTTATGGGCCATCTGCGTTTCTTTCACCGTCCACCGAGCTCCGATTTTCCGTTTCCTTCATTAATCATTCCAGATGAAACAGCCTTGTTATGTAACCCGTTTGACTAGTGAATCCTAAGTCTTCGAATTACATTCGCACCAAAAAGGGGGACAGAAAGAAGAAACTGGTGGAGTGCGTTGGTATATTTTTCATGCTAGCTACCGCCTTAAGCTGGCAGAGCCTCGTAGTCAGGGAAATACTGCTGTTGGATCCGACGCGCATATTCGATCAGTACGGGAAATCTCTTCAAATCAGCCTGTGATTCAGGGCCACTTTTATAGATGTTAGCAGCGAGATTTCTTTCTTTATTTTATTTTCCCTTGTGCGATGTAGTTATACATAGACCGAGGAAAGGATAACAAAAACAGAGTGTGTAAGCAAGGGGGGTTTATTATTATAAAAAAAATAAAAATAAAAAAACTTACGCGGTACACAGCAAAGTCGAGACAACGAATCCGAACATCACGGTGTCTACTTCGGTAGGCTCGGGTCCGCCTAGGACCCAGAATGGCTCGTCTTCCTTGGGAGTCTTGGACCGCGACTCGAGCAAAAGGTCCGCGAAGCTCGCCCAGATCTCCCGACGGAAATGCCCGATTTCCTCGGCGCTGAAACGCCCTGTTCCTTGCCCGTGGAGTGTCGATACGGTCGAGCGGTGGATCATCGAGCCTACGAGTGCGCGGACGGGCCAGGGGAGAGACCAGAGCACGTGGTCGCGCATCGTGTAGTAGTTTTGCGTCCAGCGCTCCCAGGTCTGTTGTTGTTACGGTGTTAGCGGTGTGTGTGATGTCTTGCGTAGGTTTGGGGAATGTAGGTTTTTGTAGATAATTCATGCATTATACGCAGATGATGAAATGGTGATTACATGAATCGATGTTGGAAATGGGTGTATTGGGGATACGCACGTGATACGCCGACAACTTCTCCTCTAGTAGAGCTCTGAGCGCCAGATCGTGCGCCCGCTCGACTTTCGATAGACGAGCTTGCAGATCTCGCAGTGTGCCGCGATCGCATAGGGCGTCGACGATGAGCGTCGAGTCCGCGAGGATCTCGGGTGTTGATGAGCCGGGACTTGATAGCTCGACGTAGGGGATCTTGCCCTTGGGTCCGTTGCGCGGCGAACCTACGTCTGTCTTGTAGGACACGCCGGCGAAGCGCAGACGGGCCTCGAGCTTGGTCACGTAGGGCGACCAGACGAAGGCGTTGGCGTCTTTGAAGCCGCGGAATATGGTTATTGTTGTTTGCGGAGAGGACATGGTTGATGGACTGCGGTGATATCAATGATGTATAGATAGAGATTAAAGATGTTTGCTTCACGGGTGCGAGTCTGTTTGGAATAGGATTGCAATGCGATTGATTACTTTAACTTTCGGCGACGTGCGTCTATTGATATAGCAATGAATCGTACATTTAACTTTGAATTTTTTTAAACCCCCTGTTCGTTCCCTTTGCTTTCATTATTCAGCAAGAGAAAGCATTATGTGTCAAACCCGTCTGAAAATGCATTTTGGATGAAGCATTTGCGACAATGTGTCGCGTCGTCGCGCTCTCGTCGGCCGAGGAAGGGGCTTATCTAAACCCACGACGCGACATTGCCGTAAGAGTCACACGGGCTGGAAATAGCTTCATTAACGTCTATAAGAGGCAGAGGCTATGCCCGGGTCGGCGAATCAAGTCCACTTGGGCGGTGATACTAAGCCTAAGTCTTTCCAGAGGTGCACTTAGTGGGGTATTACCAATCCTTCGGACTTGTTCAGATGCCTGCCTAGAAATTCGGGCGGAGGCACAGGGCTCCGAAATGAACACGCTGCCGCTAGTGTAGGCATCCGTCAACATTCGGGGTCTTCGATGGGGTTTTCCATATATCGTATAACTGTATGTCTTAATAATATAGTTACAGCTCTGAGATCTCCAGGTCTGCAACATGACGACTCCGCGATTAGTTTGTGTAGGAAGAAGCCAATCAAGAATAATATTAGGTATATGCTAACCAAGCAATGCACTGAGTAGAGCGTCCAAAGCAGATCTCTCACAGAGCATATATTTGTAGGGTAATTTTCAATTGTTGTTATTCAACTAGTGTAGGTGATTATCTAGACTTCGCGACAATTCTATTAATCAATTTCCTGCTTCTTTTGCTCGCAATCTGAGTTCGGAAGTTTGCGAACAAGGACTGTGACACTAAAGCCCGGTATTGTACGGAGTGTTACCGCGACGCATCGGAGAATGCCCGTGATCAGTGGAGTATTGTGGCTTTTTACTGCATGAATTCCCAAGCGACCACGGCTTAACACTTTCTACTTACTTGTAAGAGTCGTTTCTTCAGAGAATCGTCGCACAACACGCATTGCGCTTACTCATTCGGCGTCGGGAATATACCCGGTGAAACCTGTTCAGACCACATTGCTTATACCTTGCTGGTACCGCCACAATGGCCGACAACACGGACGCAAGCAGCCACAACGACGAGGCCATCAAGTCGCATATTGAGAACCTGGTCCGCACGAACCTGCCGAACTCAGCTATATACAACTTTCTATTATCAGACGTAAGGATCGTGTTCGCGACCAAGGGAACAGTCAAGGCACGGCTGACGCTTACGCGCAACCACATCAACTCGGGCGGTGGCATTCACGGGGCGGTATCGGCCGCTATTACCGACTGGGCCGGCGGAATGGCAATCGCGACATGGGATCTCAGAGCAAAGACAGGCGTCTCGGTCGACATCCACGTGCGCTACCTGTCGTCGGCCCGCGAAGGCGACGAGGTCGAGATCGAGGGGACCGCCGAGAAGGTCGGGGGATCGATCGCATTCACGCGCATCGTCATTTCCAAGGTGGTCGACGGGACAGCTGGCCCCATTATCGCGACTGGCACACATACCAAGTATGTGAAGCTGCGGGAGCCGCCAAAATAAGACTGGCTGGTTCTTTGCTGCTCACCGGGGCAGGGTAGCAGCCGTGGCTACAGGGGCGTTTTTTCCTCGTTCGGATGGTAGGAGATTCCATTTTGGGCGGCTGTGCCTCTAATCCCCTTTTTCCTTCCCTCCATAGATCAATCTAGACACGACAGACACGGCACGAGATGTCTGGCCATTGCAGACACCTTAGTAATAGCAAACTCCCTTAAGACCTGGGGTTTTTGGGCGTCGCGAGGACAGAAGGGGCCTCTTTTCTTTGACAGATCCGGTGTAACAGCCCAATAGCCGTCATCACATAAGGACGGGGGGGTGGACGGGGGAGCATTGGGTTCTTTTAATCCTCCACCCTCTCCTCACCGGCCTCGAGTCGATGTAGCCATTCGCATTCCCAAGTAAGCGAGGCACGCTACCATGTGCCTATCGTAGGGTAGATGTGCTAGAGCTTCATGCTACCCTCCAGATAGACGTTGTACAGATCTAGGCTGCTCGGACGGTCGCATGGGATTCTCAACGCCTCTACTTAGCGTCGCGCTCTGCGGTGCGCATGTACGGTAAGCAGAATCGGTCGCGGGCCGTGAAGTGTGATCGTACCACGTATGAATGTCTATTGGATCCGGAATTCGGTCAGGTCAGCCCACCTGGACATGCCATCCCCTCTGGTTGCTGGAGGCTTGCCCCCTCATCCATCTGTTCCTCTACTTACCTAGATCCATGATGCGCATACAGTGGTTTGGTGATCCCCCGGACTCGGCTAGAGTTCATCATTTGTCAACGCGGTAAGTAGAGTGGTGTCGGCAGCATGCCTATAGATAAGTCAATTAATATAGGGAGATCCTGTAGGCGTGCAACCGCATGTTACACACGTGTCGGCACGGCACCCAGGATGCCTGCTTTTTACCCCTCATAACACAAATTAACCTGTGCCAGGGGCATAGGTACATACATGACCATACTACGTACTTACTTATACATATACGCAGCGACGGAAGCAGTTCCGGGGTATGACATAATACCGACGTAGTATTTGGTCGAAGGATATCTCCATAGTAAGTGTGCGTACAGTATTTATGCAATCCTATATGTGCCTGGTTATCGGCTGTGGTCTGCCTGGTCTGTCTGATCTGTCTGATCTGTCTGATCTGTCTGATCTGTCTGATCTGTCTGGCCTGCCTGGGTTGGCGCTGAGTAAAGGTGAGGACGCGAGGGTCTACGAGGGGAACGATGGGCGCGGGGTAAGGTCGCATGTCGAATCCTGGTGCCCATGACAAAAAAGAAGTGAAACGTTTGCTGCGAGCGCGAGCGAGATCCGTCTCTTCTTACCGAATCAAGATATCGCCAACGCTGGTTCGGCTGTCGAAGCCTCCAACTCCGCTGTTTCCGGACAACGGCGCGGCTCGGTACCGACGCCTGCGCGTCTACCAAAATAGTGCGTTCTTTTTGAGCCAACTATACATACTATGTATGTGTGTGCAAGGATGGCGCAGCTTCTTAAGACAAGCAAGTCTCTTATATGTACATATATCGCCATCCTCGTCACCTACAGTCACTTCGCCCTGCCTACCGACCGGCCTACCTACCGGCCTCCCTGGGTTGCCTGTTTTAACTGTGCCGATTCATATGCGTACAGTACTTATGCCAGAGACGGCTCTCAACAGTTATATGCAGGGCTGAGCCAACAAATTTGACAAGTTTGCAGGGCTCGTTGGATCAAGCAGACAAGGGTTGTACTTAGCGCAACCCAGTCAGCAGCATGGTAGATGTAGCCTTCCTGCCTAGACCCCAGATCCTCTCGTTCGTCCTATCTGGTAAGATCATTACGTGCGGCAGAGATGGTCGCATCAAATCGTCATGGCTCCTCCTGGTTCAAGGTGGCCGTGACATCAGCGATTTTGTCGCACGACAAATAGATTACTAATTGCCAATGATGGTCAGATCTTGAGCGTTTTCATTGAGTATCTCCGTCTTGTTACATTGGCCTTGATGGATTTGTGAAACCGTATACGGCATATATAAGTTCCTTCTAAGCGTTACGCTAGGAATTCCATCTCGCAATCCAGTCGCATTGAGCGGCTACCTAATTTATTTTATCCAGGTGTTTTATAGGCAAACCTTGCAGGCTGCGGAGATATCGTCTTGGACGTCACGAGTATACTTCTCCAAGATGGTATATGTTACGCGATGACAACCAAGACCAGGTTATTTTCTTGGACGGTGCATTGCTATAGGCACAAATCAAAATCGAGATCCCATTGATGTCACATATATGTGCAATGATGCCCCCCTTTTTATAGACCGAGTAACATTTTCCTTGCTTGTGATTATCTGACAGCTCGGAGATTCCAAGATCCGAAAGAATCCGAACCCTCCCGTCTAGTGTGCATATATAATTTGATTTGGATTTAACGCGGGGAAAGTGTATTGTAAGTCTATGTTAATGCCTTTTGAAGCTATATTCCTAGATATATGGTCAGCTAATGTAGCACGGCTATGACTGAGGCCTCCCAATTGAAAATGTGGCCACAGCCAGTAGGAACCAGCAAACATGTGATTCCCCGGGTTGTTGCCCCAGACGCCACACCATCACTCCTGACTTCTTTGAGGTTCTGAATAACACGGAAGGAGTTCGAAGTACCTATGTAATTATAGTAATACTTCACACTGCTCTATCCAAGTACATGCCTACAATAGGTATCTCAACTATACGGTACATTACGTGAAACTACCGCGCGGTTTGCGGGGATCATGAGCGAGAGTACAGAGTTACAGAGGCCAACCGGCTAAAATACCAAGCACTATTAACTGTTCTACTTGATAAAATGGTACTTCTGCCTCTATCCTGTAGCAGATCGATCTGATAACTATGAACGAGCGTGAAATATAGAGCTATAGCACGCGTCTATATTAAACTGTCCATTCCTATCCCAAGGGTTGCCGGTTTTAGTGGTCTAAATGTGTTAGAAGATGCTCGTAAAAATTTTATTCTAGATTTAAAGTTGGGCATCCTCCTTGGCATCAACTCCTTTAGTTAAATCTCCATTTGCACTCCTAGTTGACACATGAATAGTAAATATTTGGGGGCTTCGAGCTTAGTACTCCCATCTAAAAGTTTTTAGGTTTCGTACAATACTGCTATATTTCGAGGATTACCGAAACACTATCTGCAGGTGTAACAAAAGTTTGACTGTTTCGGTCCCAGTGAGAATGCCGCGACACTATGGCCCAAAGAGACAGAGAGAGCCTCTATAGATAGTATCAGCCTATAGGATAGTCAATCAGGGCTATCTGTGCAACAACAAGAGTATTATACGTCATTTATGTGGGGGTTCTATCCAATACTGTGACAGATATGTAGGAGCTGATTAGAACTTTCTAATTCAAAAGTTGGGAGTTGGTAACTTTAATAGCATGCTGATGCTAGACTGTTCTGAATTATTCGATATTTGGCTAGTATGATAACCATAAATCAAGGTATCTTTCCTTATAATATTCGAAACTCTAGTTACGACGGGGATGAAGAGTGGTGATATATGTACATAGTCTCATATCAACCGATGTATTGGTGACCTCTTTTGTAAACTTGATGTTCATTAATGCTCGTGTAGCTCCCGACGTACAGCTTGTATAACCTTGGTTGTTAAAAGTTGCTACAAGCTGGACCACTCCGCTTACAAGTGATACATATTCTTGATAGTATTTGCCGGAATAACTTATGATTAGGTCAAGTCTCGTTCGTGTTAGAGAAACGTCTCCAATGTGTAATCTTGTATAGCAATAACACTAGTCTATGAAGCGATGCAATCATGTACAAGATTCCACATAGTCTCAAGCTCTTAGGCTAAATGTATAGCCCCGAGTATACTATTTTGAGAGCACCTAAAGTCTTATGATTAACGATCTCACCTAACATCACCAGTGAATTAGATCTACAAGCTTGAAAGTGGTATATGTATGGTTTTAATTGAAACCGCAAGCTGTTACGCAAGTTTTCAAGAGATAATGTGGCATCGACTGCGAATGCGACATTCGTCAGACAATCATATTTTAGTCTAGAAGACTCTGGTAGGTTCTAGGCTGTCCTGCCTATATAGCCTGCGATATGATGTATACCTTGTATCAGGAAGCGAGGTAACTCTAGGGATGGATAATCTCAAGCCTATAAATCTAAAACGTTTATATTTATATAAATATCAAGGAGCGTTGCTTTATGCCTCGTACTCGATGCAATGTGATCAAGGATTGTGGCCAAGATATTGTGATGATTATTGTGTGATTTGATAAAAGAGTAAATGTGATCTCGTCAGGTTGGCGTAGCCAGTTGTTTTGGTAACGTTACTCGATGTTATTTTACTCTCATATACCTACGTGACAGCTAGGAGATCAAGTTCATAAAGACCTCCATAACCCCTTAGCTACTGGGTCAAAGCAGTATCAGCATTAACATACTTACTATAGGCAAGAAATGATATAAGGCACAATTACCTATTACTAACTCTAAAGTCCGTTTTACCCAACTCGGGGCCATGCCTCGCTTGGCTCTCATCTGTTGCGAATTCCCCAAATGGTTATAATTCCGCAACGTAGCGCCCTGGCGGACGCATGATGAGGCTCAAGGGGAAGAAACTGAACCGGGTTTCTCTGAGTTGAACCTGCCAGAGGTTGACGTTGGCGTTCGAGGCGCAGACGGCATCCAGGTTGTACGGATGGATTGCGAATACCAGGCGGCGTCTGAGACCAACATGAGTCGCATCTTCCGGCGTAAGATACACCGCTATTTTCTCTTCCTGTCTTGATCTCAATCAATATTGGGGGTTCTCGGGAGTTGCTGAAGAGATGCTAGTCCGGGGTAGGGGAAGTTACCTAGTGCATGCTAGTTTTCGGGAAATCGTTAGTATCTTGCATAAGCCGGGTTAAAGCAGACGGGGGTCCCAGTCACGAAACAGCATTCTCGTCACGGTAGCCATACAGATGCAGCGGCGCCGATTGGCCTGAAATGAGATCCCTATAAGCGAGATGGGTATGGGGTCTGATCGCATGTTAACCCTCCGGTAGAGTGTAAAACATCAGCACTGCTGATGCGTAAAGGGAGAGACTTTCCGCCCATACTGTAACCAGTTTCGCATTCTTCCAAGACACCCCACGAGCGATTTCAAGGCCAGATCCTCCATGGTGAGCCTGTTTATATGTAGGGACTGGCATACTACATGCACCATGCGCATCTAACTGTCAGCACTAGTGTAGATAGGTAACAAGAGCTCTCTCTGTACTTGTTCAGGTAGACAAGAAACGCGCTTGCATAAAC